ATAGCACCTGGGACCCACCACTGGCTGCACTGACCCCTCTTCTTGTTCCCACTCAGGTACTGGCAAGCTGGGCTTCTCCTTCGTGCGCATCACAGCCCTACTCATTGCAGGCAACCGTCTGTGGGTGGGCACTGGCAACGGGGTTGTCATCTCCATCCCCCTGACTGAGAGTAAGTTCCCAGCCCTAGAGGACACCTATCAAGGAAGCAGCAGCTGCGCTAAAGAGTTCGCCGAGTAGGTGGGCTGGGGAGCCACCTTTCTGGCCAAGCTCAGCCTTCCTTTCTCTCTCCTCCCCAGCTGTGGTCCTGCATCGAGGCCAGCTTTTGGGGCTCCGAGGTAAGTCCTCAGCACTTGCCCCCTTGTGGTCTAGGGCATTTGCTATGCTCCCTGCACTCACTGTCTCCAGCTTCCTGCTGAAAATAAGGTAGTCCTATTCTCCTGTCCCTGTTTTCCCAGCCAACAAGACATCTCCAACATCTGGGGAGGGGACCCGCCCAGGGGGCATCATCCATGTGTATGGGGACGACAGCAGTGACAAGGCAGCCAGTAGCTTCATCCCCTACTGCTCCATGGCTCAGGCTCAGCTCTGCTTCCATGGGCACCGCGATGCTGTCAAATTCTTTGTCTCTGTGCCAGGTACACAGATGATCTGAACCCACTTTGCCCACTGTGCTCCAGTAGCACAGCTGTGACCTTTTCAGGAGGTTACAGCCCTGAGATTCCTCTGCCCATGACAGGAAATGTGCTGGCCACTCTCAATGGCAGTGTGCTAGACAGCCCATCAGAGGGCCCTGCGCCTGCTGCGCCTGCTGCAGATTCTGAGGGCCAGAAGTTGAAGAATGCACTGGTGCTGAGTGGTGGTGAAGGTTACATTGACTTCCGAATTGGTAAGTAGGCACAAACTAGAGGTAGGGCCCGGTGTGGGCATGTGGGAGTCCTCACGGCTGCCAATTCTCCAGGGGACGGCGAGGATGATGAAACGGAGGAAGGTGCCGGGGATGTGAACCAGGTGAAGCCCGTGTTGTCCAAGGCTGAGCGCAGCCACATCATTGTGTGGCAGGTGTCCTACACCCCTGAGTGAGAGCCTGCCCTGCCTGATGCCAACTGTACATAGGACCCTACCTGCCTGCCCACTCGCCTGTTCCCTGGGGCAGTCAGGTTCGTCCATCCCCTTTTAACCTCTCAACTTGCAGCTTTTGCCTGAGGTCCAGCCCCCAGCTGTTAGAGAGGGGTAAAGCGAGTTATGGGGAGTGAGGCAGGAGCAGATGTCTTTCCCATCAGGGAGGAGAGAGCCTCTGGGACACCCTCTCTCCAGCAGCTCCTGGCCCTGGCCAACACCCAGCCCAAATGAAGTCCCAGGGGCCCCTCAGGGCAAGTCAGGACCAAGATTGCTATGGGCAGCCCCTACAGGTGGCCCTAGCTCCACTCAGGCCTCATTAGTCCTGGCAGGAGCAAGAGCCTCATACTGCCGAGTCTTCCCCAAGTCTACTTGCTTTGCATGCAGCCCTGAGGAAGGGGTTCCTGAGTCCCAAACCCTTGCTCTCCCTGAGGGACCCAGGCCTGGCCACTGTCCTCTGCCCGGAAGCAAGGCTAGGATTGTCTCGATTCCTGGACCTCAGCCAGCCTTCTCTGGGCTTTTCCCCATCTCCAAACTTAAATTCCCTTGGCCCCTAGCCTGGGTCTTACCTGGGAACCTGGCATGAAAGCTCAGGGCCAGCCTCCCTGGGGCAGCTGCTTCAAAAGATGACAAATACCCATTAACCCGAGGGACCCCAAGATTGTCCAGCCCCTATGGACCAGTGTCCTCTAGGCTCTTCCTAGGCACAAGATTCACCTTGGAGGAGCAAGACCCTAGTGCCCTGCCCATCCCAGAAGTCCCAAGGGTAGAATTTCTCAGGCTGCCAGGGCAGGCACAGGCCTCAGGAAGAAGGGTGTCCCTGGTGTCCCCAGAGTTAGTCCTAGGATGCAGGCTCAGCCTCAGGTTAATGGAGGATGGTGTGCTCCCAGGGCCTGCCTCCTGCACAGGGCTCCAAGGAGCCCAGTTCCCGGACACGTACTAAGTGCCTAGGGTTACCAGCTGTGGCCTGCTCCCTTGGAGAGCAACTAACAAGAGGCTGCCAGGCAGAGGCCAGAAGAGCTGAGGAATGGCCAGGATGGGCACAGTTAGAAGCAAGTGTGTGGAGGCAGGTGCTGCCCTGGCCCTGGTCTTACTCTTCCAGGGGCATTGATCAGAGTCAGCTGGCCTCTACTGCCCTTTCCCCACCAGAGAAGCACAGATCCAGGGGCATTGCCCCTGAACCCATCTGGCCACGACAAGCTGCAGCAATGTGCAGCTGCAGGCTTCTCCCTACCATCCTGCCACCTCTCCACTGTGATGTATGTCCCTTGTCTGTTCCCACAGGAGTGTGAAGTGACTGGGGTTAGCTGGGTGGGTGCAGCTGGAGGAAGGGGCCAGTGCAACTCTCCTCAGGCTTTGGCCTTGCAAGTGAACTCACATATCTGCTCTGTATGTAATAAATGTCTTAACACTACTTTTGTCTTGAAACTACACCAGTGCACAAGGGTTTTCTGCAGTTTATTATGAAAAGAAAAGGGAGGGATGTGGGAGTGGCTGTCCCTGGACAGACTGGGTCGGGTGGACCTGCACCCACAGCAAGCACTATCACTGCTGCTGAGCTCTGTGAGGACTGCAGAAGACCAACAACCTCCAGGTTGGTAATGCTGAGTTCAGTAGCATCTACTCATATAGCCAGTGCCCGGTGCTGTCCTCCCAGCACAGAAGCTCATCCTCACCGAACCAAAGCGCAATCTCTCTGTGAGCACTTTCCACCGAGTCACTGCCATGAATCACATTCCTGTGTGGAAATGGCGAGTTGAGCAGCAGAGGAGGGGTGAGGGGTGGCCAGGGAGTTTGGTAGGACTTACTTGCCAACCTCCACGCAGAAATCCCCACGGATGGTGCCAGGCATGGCGTCCCCTGGGTCAGTGGCCCCTATGAGGGCCCGCGAAGCACGTACGACGTCCAGTCCTTGCCACACCTGCAGGGGCTACTGTCAGCACGAAAAGAGCTCCCAGGGCCTCACCTTCCCCTTGCAGGTCATCGGAAACTCACCATGGCCACCACAGGACCAGAGCTCATGTATTTAACTAGTCGGCTGTAGAAGGGTCTCTCACTAAGCTCCGCATAATGCTCCCGCAGCAGCTCCTCGGAGGCCTAGGGGAGGGATAGCTACCAGTACCAGGGCCCCAACCCTAGACCCGCCCGATTCTCTTCCTGGATCCACCAGCTCATTTGCGCGCCCATACCTGCACTAGCTTTAGTGCCACCAGCTTGAAGCCCTTCCTCTCAAAGCGACGCACGATCTCACCCACCAGCCGCCGCTGCACGCCATCGGGCTTCACTGCCAAGAACGTGCGCTCGTTCACGCCGCTGTAGGCTGCGGGAGTACTGGCTTAAGGCATGCCCCACCGCGCTGCCCCCAGCCCGGGCCCAGCCCGCCCTGGAGCTCACCTACGGGGAAGAGGTTGGCGAAGATGGTCAGCACCAGGCAGATCATGGCGGCGGACGGGGCGGACCAGGCGGCGAGGGGGCGGGGCCTCCCTTAAAGGACCTTCGGGCGCGGGCTCTGCAGTCCCAGCACAGTTGAGCCCAGGGCGCAGCCACAGGGCCTAAGACCTGCTGGAGTGTACTGGAGCACTAGGCCCTACTGCGGACCGCCGCCTTCCCTCCCCCGTACTACGGTACCCACGTAATGAAAACACAACACAGGCCACTTCGTGCGTTTATTTCCAGACCGAGGTATGAGCAAGAGGCCGCCTGAAAATGACAGCCTGTCAACTGCCCCATCGATTCATTGGCAGGTGTGTCAGGACTGTAGGGTCGAACTGTCCACCAAAAGGGAGGTCTGGCACAGTCAAAGACACTTGTCCATCAAATGACTCACATGACTTCTCTGCCCGTTTTGGCAGTTAGACTGGGGTGCCCTTGGCCTTCCCTTTGGTCTCCTGTTTTGCAGGGTAGTCCCAGGGATGCACCCGAGTCCTCTCCAGGTTCAGGAGCGGCTCCTGGACGCTGGTATCCCCGTTTTTCTGTCGTTCAGCGAGGATCATGGCCCGCAGCAGAGGTGGGTAGGGGACAGGGTTCAATCCGTCCTCTGGTTTCGCAGTGAATGCAGTGAAGGCCTCCTCTTCGTGCTTGGGTACCAACCGCCAGTCGTGGTACATGACTTGCTCGATTTCCCGAGCCTTATCCTCACTTTTCCCTGGGGAAAGAAGACAAGCTGACTGCCTGCTGGCTGGATAGTCTGCGAATCATCATCGGCTCCAACAAGCACCCAGCCTTACCTTTGAAGGTCAGGATGCCCCAGGCCCTCCCGTGGTCCAAGTTCTGCAGAACAAGAGGGGGAACTGTCAACATAGAGCCCTTTGAGACTAAGTTACGTGGGTAAGGGAGACATACAGGCCCAGGTGGTTCAGGGTGGGTAGAGCCAGCCGGTATGGTCCTGGGTGGGCAAGATGAAGAAAGTGCAGGCAAGAACAGGCAGCACGGGGAGAGAGCGCACCTGCGCCGTGTAGTCGGGCCTCACACGCGTGAGGCGCCAGTAGCACGGCTCGTCGTGCTGCCACAGCCAGGACTTGCGGGTGACCAGACGGCCCAGGCCGAACAACGGGAGGCGGGCGAGCAGCTGTAGGAGGCGGCTCTCACGGCGCACGTCGGCCCAGGCGCGCACCGGCAGCCGGCGACCCGAATGTGGCCGGGTCAGAGTCTCGTAGTCTAGGGCGTAGAGCTGCGAGTCTCGCGGCTGGTTCCGCTGCTCGCGCAAGGCGCGCACGCGGCGGGCCAGCTCGGCGATTAGCCGGGGTCTCACTTTCTTGCGCGCCATGCCTGTATCCTTACACCACCGGAAACCTACCCTTCTAGAGCTCTCCCGATCCGGAAGCGGCTGGTGTCCTGTACAAAAGCATCCGGCTACACCCGGAAGCTGTAGGAAGAGTGGGCTATGGCAGACGTAGAACCTAGGAGAGCCAAGAGCCCGCGTCGCGGCCGAGGCCGGGGTCGGGGCCGGGGCCTGGGTCAGCGGCGACCTCAAACCTGGGAGATCTCCGACTCAGACGGCGAAGGGGCCGCCTCCAGGGAAGTCGGCACGCAAACCTCGAGTACAGTAAGAGAGCACAGGGCGGCGGCCAAGGCGTTACGGGCGGATCAGGTCCTGAGTCGTCTGGCGGTGTGCGTGGATCCAGGTGCGGGGCTAGGGGCGGGAAGGCTGGGAACTTGGGGCTGGCCACCCGTCACCCACAAGCTCTCACGGGAGAGGGTGGAATGACCGAGCTGTCGTCTGCCGGGCCCAGCTGTCCTGGAATATGCAGGCTCCGACATCCTGATGGAGGCGCTGGGCAAGCTAGGCTGTGAATGCCGCATCGAGCCGCAGCACCAGTCCCGCAGCCTGCAGTGGAGCGTTGTGAGGCCCGATCCAGCCCCCAGCCGTGTGAGTGTCTCCCTATCACCAGCCTAGTGCCAGTCTTATTTCAGGTTTCACTTTTGGCTAGCGAAGTAGCTGCATTCATCTTTCTTACCTTGCACAGGAGTAACCTAAAAGCTGAAGGATGCTCAAGTCGCATTTCTTAACACAAGAAACCTGAACTCAACTGCTGCCAGAACCTCCTGTTGGCAATGAGGATGGGGTCGGGGTTCCTGCTGTTCATGGAGTTGGGCTAGTTTCGTACTCTGAGACTTCTAGGGAGCAGTCCTGGCAGGCCAGAACTTCACTGTGTGGAAAGCTGGAGAGTTATTGACAGTGTTTGGTGGCTGGGCAGCAGGGGGAAAAGCCTTGGGTCCACACAGGTGGTTAGCAGGGCCGGTGATGTCCCCTACAGGTGCCTCTGGAGGCGTGGGCTGAGAATGAGCAGGAACAGTTGCTGCTGCTAGAACCCCAGGAGTTTCTTCAGAGTGCTATGCAGCTGACCCAGGTACTTGGGAAAAGACCTATCATTTGACTTGTATGACTGGTTGCCCAGCCTGGGATGGGCTGGAGCTACCGTAGAGGTGTTGAGGGTAATATGAGGGAATCTACTGAGTGCTCTAGACACAAGAGCATGGAAGGTCCTTTGGGAGAACTGAGAATGGTGATCTGGGCTACAGGCTGGTCCGGGGGTAAAGGAAGAACCTAGAATTCTGGCTGGTAGTGTCCATATGAGCTGGCTGTGGGATCTGCCTACAATGGCTGATAATCCCCCACTTGGCTGCTCATGCTCCCTGGACTCAAGAGGAAAAAAATGCCTGATATTTGCCTGGAGCACAATTCTGCTAAACTCTTTGTGGGTGCTGGTGTCCAAGGACCAACATTTTTCGAGGGGGGTGTAGAAGTGGACCAGAAGCAAGGGGGCTGGCTCACTTCTACACCAAAACCTGGAGTGTGCCTGTGTACTGCTGGGCCTTAAGGAAGCAGAGCCAGTCCCCAGAGAACAGATAGGACCTCTCAGCTTCACCCAGCTCCTCTTCCCTCTGAAAACGGGCCATACTGGTGGCTGTGGGCCTGCTGCCATAGTACTCCTGTGAACAGACATGTGGCTGTTCTTGCTTCCAGATCACAGGTCCACCTTGCTCCATGCCCTGGCTTTCTCCCAACAGCCCCATCCGCCCCCACCTGGCTGTCATTGGACTGGATGCATACCTGTGGTACCACTCTTCCTAAACCAGTAGGGTTGGCTTGAATGGGATTCCAGAAAAATGGGATTGCCCCTAGGGGCTACTGTGTCACAGCTGGCCCCACTTGCCCTGGGTGGGTCCTGCAGAAGCAGGAGACTTGGCAGCCCAAAGGTCCCCTCTGTTCAGGTCTCACCAGCCCAGTTCTCAGAAGACATGGCAGCTACAGAAGTCAAAGGAAGCCCATGCCGAGGTGGCCATCAGTTGGCTCGAGGTGGAGGAGGTGAGGGCTGCCCGAGTTGTTAATGGCTGGCCTTGGTCTCTGCACTTGGGCTGCTGACTTCGGCCTGTCGGAGCTGGGCTCAGTTCGTAGCACAACTGGGTTGGCATTCCTTAGAGGCCATCCAGCCCATACCCATTCTCACACTACCCAGGCCCTGGTGCTGCTTCAGCTCCATGCAAACCTGGATGTGCTGCTGGTGGCCTCGTGGCGGGAGCTGAGTCAGTACGTGTGTGCCTTCACCAAGGCCCTCTCCCAGCGCCCCTCCAAGTATGTACCCCTGCAGGGACTGTGTGGAGGTGGAACAGGGCTGGAGGCACACAGATGAAGAGTTCTCAAGGCTTGTGTCTTGGTTCCCCTCTCATTTCAGGCAGTACCGGGACTCCTGGGCCTTTTCCTTCTGCACAGCAGGGCACTGGGCCTCAGGCCAGCAAGTGACCAAAGATGGCTCTGGGCTCCGAGGAGTGTGGTGGCGGCAAATCAGGCAGTTCAACCGGGTCAGCCCAGCTGTGGCTGATGCTGTTGTCACTGCCTTCCCCTCCCCCCGCCTTCTGCAACAGGTGAGTTCCCCAAGTCTCCCCCTCCCAGGACTAGGACCTACAGCCCACCTACTCACACCTGTACCCACTCTAGGCTCTACTGGACTGCAGCACAGAGCAGGAGCGCCTGAGTCTCCTAGCTGACCTCCCTGTGAAGGTCCAGAGAGGCAGGCAGCCCCGTAGGGTGGGACCTGACATCTCACGCCGAATCTGTATCTTCTTGACTACCACCAACCCCGACCTCCTGCTGGACCTGAGCTCTTGACCACACCTGTGACATCCTTGGGCTGCCTCCTGACCATCAGCAGAATAGGACAAGCCTGCCCAAGAGACTGACTAAGTCACTCTGAGAGGCAGGCAAGGTTTAGGGCCAGTCACCATACTTTTTTCAGTCTGGGGTAGACTATTGTTCCCTGGTCAAATGGAAGCATTGTGGGAGGTGAGGGGGTAAGGGAAGCTAGGGTGAAGAGAAGAGTCTGGAAGGTAGCAGGCAGCAAGGGCCCTGAAGTGACTGGGGCTTCACCGTGCCTTCGACCTGGACACTGGTTGCAGGGCTGAGTGCCCAGTTGGGCAATTCCCAATTCCATTCTATCTATATGGAAGCTTAGGGCACACCCTCAGGAGAAGAGATCCAAGCTACTGGACAGACAGACACAGTGGAAGGGAAACCATAGGCACAGGCAGCTCAGGCCTTACTGAGGACTCTTTAATGTTATAGGCTATGGGAATGAGACAAAAACCCTTCACAGGGTACCCGCTGACATCTTTGTAATGGGCAGGAGCTGACAGCATGCAATTGCAAGTCAGGAAAACCCCAAGGCCCTGTGGGTTGGGACAGCCCATCTCCTTCTCCTGGGCTGTCAGTGTTCCTCTCTGAGTCAGCCAGTATCCCAGGCTTGTAATCTAGGTCCAGAAGGGTTCGAGCTGCTGTTCCCAAGATACATGGCCACTCAAAGCACAGACAGAGCTGCTTCCCCAGCACCAGCACATGCAGTAGGATGGCCTCCACACTCCTGGCCAACAGAGACTGTCCTGGCTTCAGGGACATGGGGACAAGCCTGGACGGACCTCAGCTCTTCCCTCTCCTGCTGCGCTGGAAGGGACAGAATAAGGTAGTTGCATCCAGCTGGAGAAGTCAGCTTCTTCTGCAGCGTTTCCTCTGACAGGGCCTGGTCTCGGGGCTCTCGGCACCAGCTGTGGCTGTGCCCGAAGCAGGTACAGGGGACTTCCAGCGGTTGCAGTTCATGCTCAGGACCCAGCCCAGCTTGTTATGCAGCACTTGCTTGAGTCCAGGTGGCAAGGGCAGGCCCTCCAGGGTATCCCCCGAGTTTGGCCGCAGCTGGCGCAGGCGATAGCAGCACAGGTATTGCAGGGAGGTGGAGCTGGCACAGGAGCGGATGACTTTCATGCTGCTCTTGGCAGCTGTGGAGCACACCATCGGGTAGAACCTTCTGTTTTGCAGCCGAGTGGCAGCCACTCCTGGAAGGAAGACTCAGCCTGAGTGCCATGTAGAGCAGGAACCAGGAAGCTCCTCCCATAATGCACCATGGGGAACAGATCATGCCACTCTGAACACAGAAGACAGACTCACCTCTGGCCTGCTAACCCCACCTGGGCTTCAGCCTTGTCCATCCTTGAGAGCCTCAGATCAGACTGCCTGACCCCACCCTCTAGGCTCCCACTCTGGTCTCCAGGGTCAGGCTGAGACCTGGTCAGGAAGGACTCTCACCTATGCACTGCCTGTTCTTGAAGAAGGTCAGCGTCCCATGCCAGGTGTCCAAGTGTACGCCAATAATGGAGCCCTGGCCGAAGCGTGACGAGAAGCTGGTCTTGTCCCCTTTGTGATGGAGGAGTCCTGGAGCAGGAGATGGGTAAGCCTGGGAGGTCTGTGCCACTGCCAGCCCCACCCACAACCCAGGCAACACCCACCAGTGTAGGAGAGGCCCCAGCTGTCTTCATCCCTGCCAAGCAGGCTGCAGAATGTGTGGTGGTACTTGTCCAGGTCGACATCTGACGTCCCAATGCCCACCATCTGCAAACAGTGGGGCTGGGCTAGCTAGGTGCCTAGGGGCAGGGCCCAGGGCAGCTACCCTTTTGCCTGGCCATTTACCATGTCAGTGCCATACACAGGAGAGGTCATCTTGATTTCCCAGAAATGCTGGCCATCCCCTAGCTCCTTAGTGCCCCGGATGGCTGCAGTGCCACAGCTATACTCCATGTGAAAGCTGACCTTGCGGTTATCACAGCTCAGCAAGGTGGCCGAGGACTTGTTCAGGTCATCCCAGACCCAATCAAAATCTGAAAGACAGAGGGCCCAAACTAGGCAGGGCTGGAGCAAAGTAGTACCTTGTGGTCCCAGAGACCCTCCCCAGCGCTCCACACAGGCGCTGTTGACAGTACTCACCCTCATCCTCCTCACCACAACGGCAGTCCTTGCCACGGTGTGTTGTATGGAGGCTGTTGCAGAAGGCAGCCTCATTCTGGCCCTCACAGTCACAGAAGGACTCTCCTGTCACAGGCACGGCACTGGGGATGGATGGTGGCAGGGAAGAGTACTCAGGGTCAGAGTCTGAGTCGCTGTGCTGGGAGGGAAGGGGTAGATTATTCTACTTATGGCAGTTTTCCCATTGCCAGGCTACCTGACCCCTTCTCATAGCCACCAGAGAAGAATCTAGACACCTGTGGTTCTCCAGTGTACAGCATAAGCAACCTCAGTGCTAAAGCTGGGCTTCTAAGCCTGCAACAGTGCAGTGAAATGAGGCGGTGGCCCGGGTGTGTGTGTGTGTGTGTGTGTGTGTGTGTGTGTGTGTGTGTGTGTGTGGGACAGCTTCTCACTTGGCTTCTTAATGGATCTCTGAAACTCAATCTGCACAGCCCTCAGCCCCAACTGCCACAGCCTATTGAGATGGACCCCTCTAGCACCCACCTCTTGCCTTCTCCAGGTAGCACAAGGTCTCCTAAATCATGGGGCTGGTACTGTCAGGAAGGTCTAGCATCTGGCTCCTCACAGCCTAAGATCTAAGCTCCCACTCCATGCCGGGTACTTAATGAATCCTAACGGGCTAATGGAGCTGCTTCAAGTCCCAGCTGCAGCACACTCCTCCTAAGGTGCAGTCCTTGTGGCTTGTGCTCAGTCCTCGGAGCCTGGTGGAGGTGTAGACAAAGCTGGCCTGGTCAAGTTCCAGCTACTGACACTATTCCTATTCAGGTCCTCTGCAGGCCCTCGGATCCCTGTTTTGATGCTAGGGCTAGCTGGCGTGGCAGTCCTGAAGCTTTGGCCTCTGCCTCCTTGAGTTGTCTGGCTCTGCCATACGCCACACAGTCCATGACCCTTCTATAACCTGAGCAGACCACCACCACCATATCAGTTCTTCCATCTATATGGACACACAGCCCACCTCTTATGAGCAAAGCACCAGGTGATCACTGCACTCTCTGGATGGGAGCATTCAGCCAGTAAGAGGGGCTCAGACCAGACCTTTCACCCCATATTCTTTTCACCATATTCAGGCTCTCCACTGTCCTGCTCTCTGCTTCTTTTGCAGTATCACCAGTTCCTTGGGGAGGGCCCCAAATCGCACACCAAGTCCCAAGAACCATCATGGTGGTTGTACAGTATCATGAGCAGGTGAGGAAGTGGCCAGCAACAGACCAACTCCAGGCCTGTGTGCTGGAATAGGGGAGTATAATTCTACAAGGAGCCAGACACAAGATGTTTTGTCAACCAAGGTTAACTTAGGCCCCTCAGAAGACAACCTGAACAGCTATCCTGCCTGAAGGCAAGCCTTATGCCCCAGATAGAGCAGACCTTGTATCCACTGGCAAAGATGGCATCCTCTAAAGCCAAGGCAAATCCACTGAATCAGGAGTCAGGGTTTAAGGTCAATCTACCTAGGCCAGGAGGGAGGGACCAGGGACACCAGGAACTCACTGCCATCTGACTACATGGCACGGCAAACTCACCCCATCACAGGCATGAGTATCACTGCTTCCACCCCTCAGTGATGACTGTGAGGCAGGAACAGGCACACAGGCTGTTCCAGGGTACCCTGTCATTGGGTGTAGCTGAAAATCTGGGTTGACCCCTCAAGCTCAGAGGCCTCCAAGAACAGCAGGGACACTGCTGACCCAGTCAGTAAATCCATGGCTTCCAAGTTTCCTCACACCCTGGTGATCCCATGGGCTTATAGAGGGGACTCTATGTTGTAGGGAGCTATGACATCAGAGCAGAGGCAATACAGGGCAGAGCCAGAATACCAGTCCAGTATAGCAAGACAAATCAAGAGCCACCCTCAAGATCCTAGTCAGGTGCCTTAAGCTGGTATCTACCCTGTGTCCTACATTCCTGGGCCTCCCTGTGCTCAGAATCTACAGCAAAGCCGCTCTTAGAAATTTGAACTTACAGATTTAAAAATTAAAAAAAAATAAAAAGGTGTTTGTTGATGACCTGAGTTTACCACATAGAAGGAGAGAAGGAAGTCCTGCAAGTTGTCCTGACTGCCACATGTTCGTCATAGCACACATGTGCCCACACACAGTAAATAAACTGCCTCAAGTCCAAGGCCAGCCTGTGTTATAGTGTGAGACTATTTTTAAAATGAAAAAGCTGGGCATGGTGGCACATGCCTTAGATCTCAGCACTTGGGAAGCAGAGGCAGGTGGATCTCTAAATTCAAGGCTAGCTTGGTCTAGTTCCAGGTTAGCCAGAGCTACACAGAGACCCTGACTCAAAAAGGGAAAAAATTTCACAGATCCTTTTATACACAACAGATGGAGTATTTACACACATGAATATAAAGTGAACATTTGTGTAGCAAAAGAAACATCCAGCGTCATCAAGATGGTCCAGCATGTGTATGCCTGCTACTGCACATCAGGGACAACCTGAGTTTAACCCCCAGATCCCAAATAAAGGTGGAGAGAGAGAACAAACCCCACAAAGGAAAAAAAAGTCTCCTGATAATCTACCCATTAACTGGTACACAATAATAAACAAAAACATCGAGAAGGTGGGTACCAAGTTGGCAGAGCTGATGAGCAGGCATCTGTTGTACACTGACTGACCAGCACTGTCCAGGATTTACATTCCCTGGGCAAGTATCCCTGTCAGTCTTGAGTCTTTGTCACACTCAGGCTACATGATATTTACCAGGCCAAAGAGCCCTCCTTCTAAGCACAATATACCTGGAGACAGTCCAGTCACCTGCCTCAGCGTCTTTTTCACTCACTATCCATACACTGGTCATCACCACCTTGCCACTGGGACCTACCTGCCCATCAGAGTCATAGCCCCAGTTAGTGGTGCCTGCCAAAGCCACGGTTCGGGCATCTGTGTCTCGGCGGGCTGCACTCAGAACAAAGTGCCATGCCCTGCTACTCCGAGGACGCCGGGCCATAGTGGAGAGGACCTGAAGAAAAAACAAAACAAAACATAATTGTAAGCCTTAAAGACACATATGTGCCAGAATACCCAAACAAGGCCCATACCCACACCCCACAACTCTGCCCCTGGCATTTCTGGGCCACCTGGCAGGCTAGGCCATAGACCCACCAAAAGATAGGGACCCCAGGACCCTGGACACTGAGCCTGGACTCCAGAAACTCCCACAAGCTCATACCTGGCTCCAGTATCTGAGCACCTCAATCAAGTCCAGGGCGACGGTGTGAAACGCAACCCAGACACCCATGACTCTGGACGTGCCCCAGCCCATTTTTGCATTCCGTTCAGGAGCTGCTGCCCCTCAGGCATATGACACTTAACTTGCTCCTCCTTCGCTGTCCACTTTGGCAAATGGCATCCCCAGCATCCAGTTCCTCATGCCAGAAACACAGCTGTCATCCACTCCTGACACCCCTTCTTAAAACACACCTGAAGTGGTTCCTCCTTGTCGCTGGAGACCCACTGCTTCCTGCACCACACAACTCCCTCTTACCCATCCCGCTCCACACTACAAACCCAGTTCCGTCTTTGGTAACATCCTTAAACTCTACTCGGGCCTTGACAAAATGCAAGGCTCTGGGAGGGCTGGATCTCCTCTCCCGAGTGGACTGTCTGGGTCTAATAGTAGGCTCCGTCCTAGTTGCCTCCCGTCCCCTGCAGACCCACTGCACTACCCTACCTCGCCCCGGTCACCCACAAAGGGGCCGAGCGCGGCCTCGCCCAGCACTCCACAGCAGTTGGGCTGGCTGAGCGCCGTCCAGGAGCACACAGAAGGAACCCAATGAATGAACCAGAGACGTCCCGGGACGCGGCCGCGCTCGGCCTCCGCGGGGCCGGAGGTTGCTTCCCTCGCCCGAGGCTCGCGGATCTCGCCACGGCGATGCTGCTGGCGCCTGGCTCCGAGGTCCCCGCCCAGAAAGCCGAGCGCCACCGCCGGGGAACAAAAGGTGGCCGGTCTGACCGCCTGCAAGGTCAGCGCGCCGCCCGCCGGGCCTGGCCGGGCCGGCGCGGCTCACCTGCGGCCAACGCGCTCCGCGGGCGCTGACCCACTTTCCGTTCCGGCCGCGACGCAAACAATCCCCGCCCCCGCACTGCATTGGCCCGGCCGCCGAAGGCGGGCTCTCCCGCGGCTTCGCGCGGGGGCGGGTCTCGCGAGACAGGACTGCGGTCGAGAGGCTTGTACGACCTGTCAATCCTGAACCGAAGTTCCTACTGGTCCTCGCTAGAGCTGTCAGAAAGAGCCTCGCATCACCATTGGACAAGCTTGCGGAAGTAGGTCTGTGTCCGTGGCGTCATCATCAGTTGCCAGGATCGGGAACTCTTTAGGTGACCTGATTGGCTGAAGCGTGCGTGGCCAGGCCTCTCAAAATGAGTCAGGGGCGGACCCTGGTTGTCATTGGTTCAAAGGCTCGGCGAGTTAGGAGAGGAAGCGGAAGGGAGCCGCGAGGAGCGGCTGGTGGCGGGATGGAGGCGGTAGCTGGTGAGCGTGCGGGTTGGCCGAGCGTGAGGGGTCGGGGAAGTCTGAAGGCGGACCGAATGCAGCGGCCGAAAGCCCGAGACGCCAGTGTGTGCCATGTCCGCTTGTTTACTGAGGCAGCCGGGTGACGCGGATGCACCTGTAGGCGGTTATGGCTGCTCTGGGTCCTCGGCTTTACTCCTCGCAGAGAGCTGGAAGCCCTCTGCAGATTCTCATGTGGAATCTATGCGTTCGTGCACAGGTGCCGCCTAGCCGTGATAAACTATCCTGTTAGTTTCCTCTGTGTCTGTTGAAATTAGCTGGCAGTTTGAGGATTTATCACGTGTGCACATACATGCCTTCAATTGCTCCACTTCATATAGAAGTGAGATCGAGACAGGTGTGGGACTTCTAGAAAACCTTCTACCTGGGTGCCTTTGTCTTTGTCGCTCTCCCGGATACCCCAACTCCTGTTTCTCACCAGAGCCCGGGAACCTGGCCGGCGTGCGAAACATCATCCTTGTCCTCTCTGGAAAGGGGGGCGTTGGGAAAAGTACCATCTCCACGGAGTTGGCCCTGGCGCTACGCCACCAGGGCAAGAAGGTGAGGCCCCAACCAGGGTCGACAGCTGCTGCACTTACTAGTCTCTAGCCCCCAGCAAGCCTGGAAGGCTTCTCCCCACTCCTCAGCATCCGCCTTCTTTCAGGTGGGGATCCTAGATGTAGACCTGTGCGGTCCCAGCATCCCACACATGCTCCGTGCGCAAGGCAAGGCAGTGCACCAGTGTGACAGTGGCTGGGTGCCTGTCTTTGTGGATCAGGAGCAGAGCATCTCCCTCATGTCTGTGGGCTTCCTGCTGGAAAACCCTGATGAGGCCGTGGTGTGGAGGGGTCCCAAGAAACATGGTAAGAACTGGGTGAGGGGAAGTCCCCCAGCTGACTCTTCAGTATCTCTTTATTGCGCCTACTTTCCCTCTTATCATGGCTGAAGTCAGAATCCAGCCCTGGCCTCTTGGTAGTGGAGACTTTGTCCCACTCGAGCGCTCACGCGTGCCCACCCAGCAGAATATGCACACCCCTGTGCCCCTGAGACGCCTCTCGCAGCCTCTGGATGGAGGGAGTGCCGTGAGACCAAGATCAAGGGAGAAGCTGTGTTTGGCGTTTGTTGTGAAACCGCCAGCCACTCCGAGTTCAGTTAGGAAGGGAGGTCTTCGGAGAGCCTCGCCCTCACTCAGCACACGCAGGTGTAAGGCCCCACGGTGTGCAGTGACCCAAGTGCCGAGCTTCAAGGAGGGAACGCTAAACCATCCTCGCTTCAGTGAGAGGCTGCCTGGGAGGAACAGCACGCTCAGGGTGAATGGCTTGTTGCTCCTGGATGTGCCAGCAAGGTGCTTCAGGACAGGCCGTTTTCTCTGGGCTTGAGGGTGCAGAGGCCCTTAGGAGACTCAAGGTTCCATCCTCACCTGGGGCCTTCATGGAAGCCGGCTACAGCCCTGTAGGGTGGAGTGTGTGGAGACAGTTCAGGGCTAGCAGGTGGTCCAGCTGTTGGAAAGGAGTCCCTGTGGGGGCCGTGGAGCTCTGCCTCCCCAGTTACCTCGCAGACCAAGGACCCTTGCTGCCTTGTGTGGCAGGTGTTCCCATTGTCCTCTAGGAGCTGCCCAGTAGCAACTGGTAGATCCTAGAGCCGGAGAAGATGGGCCTCCCCCTGCCTAGCCCTTTCTCAGGTCACCGCTGGTCTCTGGGTCTCCGCAGCACTGATAAAGCAGTTTGTGTCTGACGTGGCCTGGGGGGAGCTGGACTATCTGGTTGTGGACACGCCACCAGGGACATCTGATGAGCACATGGCCACTGTGGAAGCCCTGCGCCCCTATAGGCCCCTGGGGGCCCTCGTGGTCACCACACCACAGGTACCACTGGCATCTCCTCCAACCTCACCTGGGGTGTGTGTGTGTCTGTGTCTGTCTGTCTGTCTGTGGCATCTCCTCCAGTCTCACCTGGGGTGTGTATGTGTGTGTGTGTGTGTTGTCTGTGTGTGGCATCTCCTCCAATCTCACCTGGGGTGTCTGTGTGTCTGTCTGTCTGTCTGTGTGTGGCATCTCCTTGAATTTCACCTGGGGTGTGTGTGTGTGTCTGTCTGTCTGTCTGTCTGTCTGTGTGTCTGTTCTGATTGGGCTGGGCAGTGGTGGGCCATGTTCCCAGCTGGTTACTTGGTTCTTGGCTGCCTTGTGACTGACTGGCCCCTCACTTTGATCTACAGGCAGTGTCTGTTGGGGATGTGAGGCGGGAGCTGACTTTCTGTAAGAAGACTGGGCTGCAGGTCATAGGGGTCATAGAGAACATGAGTGGCTTCGCCTGCCCACACTGCGCTGTAAGTCTTGGAAAATGAGGCTATTTCAGGGTCTGAGGGAGTACAAAACAGGGTATTCAGCCAGGGACTTTGAGTGAGTAGGTCCCTGTCCATCAGTCAGGTAAGTGACTTCCTGGCTAGAGAGGACACTGGTACTACCCGGGCACTCTCCCTGGCCCAGCTGGAGGTCTCACCCTGGCCGTGGGTCAGCAAACTGGACCCTCACAGCCCTTGTTTTCTAGGAGTGCACCAATGTCTTCTCCAGGGGCGGTGGGGAGGAGCTGGCCCAGCTGGCTGGAGTCCCCTTTTTAGGTAAGTGTCAAGAGCAAGCCAGCTGGGGCCCCAAATCCCACCTCCCAGGCTTCTGAGTGGGTCTGACTGAAGTGCTGGGCCTCTCTTCCCTATGTGTCCCATTTGAGGTTTATGTGGGCTGCCCACCACCCAGCTATGTTCTGGGAATGCATGTGTCAGGGGTACCAGGCTCCTGCCACTTGCCCCCCATTGTTTAAGTGGGAGGTCACAGGGGCCAGCAGCTTGAGCTTCTGGCAAGTGAGTGGTAGGTTGGCATTCTCACCTTCTCTCCAGCTGCCGTCTTTTGTTAGGCCCCCTCTTGTTTTTATTTGTTCCTTGGGGAGGGGGTTGTGGATGTGCATATGCCACAGTGTACGTGGGGAGGTCAGATGACAGTTTGTGGGGGTCACCTATCACCTTCCACCATGTGAGTCCTGGGTATTGAACTCAGGTCGTCAGGCTTGGCAGCAAGTGCCTTTACCCACTGAGCCATCTTGTCGCCCTTTCCTGGCTTTTGTTGTTGCAGGCTCTGTTCCCCTCGATCCCCAGCTCACCAGGAGCCTGGAAGAGGGCCGTGACTTCATCCAGGAGTTTCCCAAGAGCCCTGCATACTCTGCGCTCACTTCCATCGCCCAGAAAGTTCTGCACAGGATGCCTGTTCTGCTCTCCTGACAGCCGCCTCCAGTCACTGTGTGCTCTGTTCACAGACTACAGGAACTCTGGGAGCGGAGGTCCTCAGGACGGTCTTGGGACCTGCGTTTGCTGACCTGAGCAATGGCTGGTCTATGTGATTATCTCCATGCAGTGGAGTGACATTTCCCAGTAGTGTTTGGGTAGAGTTTACTTACCATCAGCAGCTGAGGGGATGGCTTGGGTCCTAGTTTCTTGAGATAGTCACAGCCTTAGCCTCCAACCTATGGGCTTTGTCGAGCCCTGGTCCCTTCTGCCCCAGATCCACAGGCTGCTCAGACAGTCACACCATACATGAGCTGGCCAATACTTTCTCATCCTGACTGACCCTGAGTGCCCACAAGGGCTGTGCTATGGAGCCTTCTGTGATACACTGTGTGGTTTACAGCTACATCTGGTTAACTTACAGGAATCTGCCATTAAACATATCACCCCACCTTGTGAAGAACTTAGCATCTAGACCCTTCTGTCCTCAGTAAGATAGCTTTTGATACATTCTAAGGCTGGAACAAGCAGTATTAGTAAAGATATAAAGGGGCCTGAAGATGTGGTGAGGATGTGTGTCTTGTTTTGGGGGATGGGTGTGGGCATGTTGTGTTTTCAGAAACCCGTGGGGTCTGCTAGGCACATTAGTGAAGGCCTGGGGCAGCTGCAGGCCATAGGATGAGCGTTCAGGTGTGAGCTGAGGCCCAGAGGCCCTCTCCTCATTCTGGAAAGGTCAGAAAGGAAAGCAGATGGTGATCTGTTGTCTTCCTGGGGCAAAGCTGAGGTCTCAGGGGAGACTGGGGGTCTGGGGCGCCTTGCAGGGGATGGCTCCTGTAGTCAGATGGGAAGGCGCTGTCCTCAACTCCTACCATTACTGTCCAGCGGTGGGCAGTGTGGTGACCTCCACACCTGGGATCTGGACAGCTGTGAGAACCTCACCTGGCTCCAGTGCAGTGCCCTGAGGGAGGGATGCAGTGCCAGCATTTGGGGAGGCTTGAGTGCCTGCAGTTCCTTGGGTTGGAGGACGGGGTCCTAAGAAGCCCTAGAGGACCCATATGGACACAGCAGGATGAAGTGGGACACATGTTCCCAACACCAGCAAGGCACAGACTGGGCTCGGCAGAGCTGGGACAGGACAGAAGGCATGGGGACAAAGAACATGGAGACCACAGATCACCTTTTCCCAAGTTCACACTCAAGGTTGATTTAATTGTTGCCAGCAGGGAGTGCTGCTGAGCACTTCCCTCCTGGTTGGGCCCTCGGGCACCCAGCCTGCACCCAGCCTTTCTGAATTTAGGCCTCATAGCTGCCAGTACTGCTCTGCTTCCAGGAAGTGAGCAGCCCAGGCCTGGCCCCTAGAGATGGGCAGGTATTTTTCCTTCCCCCACTGGCTTTGAGAGCCAGCTTATTCTGGTAACAGTGAGAGACTGTCCTGACCACAAGGCAGCATTAGGCCATCCCAGGCCAGTAGTAGCCAGGGTCAGCAGTGCACAAAGTGAGTTTCGCTGATGTCTCGTAGGTCGAGGCCTGAGACATTGGCAGGGCCGGCACAGGTGATGTTGTTGAAGGTATACACTGGCTGGCAGTCATCCCCCTCACAGACAGTCTGAACAAAGCGGGGGACAATGCTGGGGTTCTGCAGGGCAAAGTCACGCAGTGCCTTGAGGGGACAGCGGCAGTCCCAGGGGTTGTCATCGAGCCACAGGCGCTCCAGGCCATGCTGTGGCGAAAAGGTCTGCAAAGAGTTATTCCTGAGGCTGAGGTAGCGCAGCCGCCCCAGTGGTGAGAAAAGGCCTTCAGACAGTGCCTCCAGACGGTTGTGTGAGACGTCCAGCCAGAAGACCCGCTGCAGGGGTCTCAGGCCATCCACAGACAGCACCGACAGCTGGTTATGTGAGAGGAGCAGGTACTCGAGCTGGCCAAGGCCCTGGAAAAGCCGGCGGGGCAGATGTGTGAGCTGGTTGGCGGTAAGGTCGAGCTCTAGCAGCTCGGAGAGCCCTGCCAGGCTCTGTTCTTCCATGCTGGAGATGCTGTTGCCCCTGAGGAAGAGCCTGCGCAGCCCTGAAAGGCCGGCGAAAGTGTGCAGGCGGATGCGGCCCAGGCAGCTGTGCTCCAGATGCAGGCTGTGCAACTTGCCCAGCCCCTGGAACACCCGCTCCGGGAGGCTCCTGAGACAGTTGCCAGAGAGATTCATAACAGCCATATTGAAGAGGCCAAAGAAGGCACCCACCTTGACCTCGTGGATCTGATTGTCATTGAGTGTCAGCACCTCTAGCTGCCCCAGGCCCTCAAATGTCTTCTCACCTAGCTGCCGGATGCGATTGTGACCAAGCTGCAGTTCCTCCAGGAAGTGTAGATCTTTGAAAGTCCGCGGCCGCAAGCTAGTGATGGCATTGTGTGCCAAGCGCAGGACATGCAGACCCAGCAGGCCCGGGAAGGTGTCCTCCAGGAGCCCTGCCACGCGGTTATGGGACAGGTCCAGCCAACGCAATGCCTTCATGCCCAGGAAAGCGCCAGGGGCCACAGCTGTGACCAAGTTGTGGCCCAGGTACAGCTTCTGCAGCCTGGGCAGGTGTATGAAGACGTTGGCCTTAATGCTGCGCAGTGCATTCCTGCTCAGATCCAGCTCGCGCAGCTCACCCAAGCCGCAGAAGAGCGAAGGCTGCAGGTAGGCCAGTCTGTTGCCGGCCAGCACCAGCTCCCGGAGGTTACCCAGGCCCTGGAACACTGTGTCAGGCAGTACCACTAGGCTGTTCCAGCCCAGGTTGAGGGCCCAAAGGTGACCGAGGCCCTGGAACAGCCCCTCTTCCAGCCGGCCCAGGAGGTTGTTGGCCAGGCTGAGGGAAGCCAGGCGGGGTGTGTGCATGAACAAGCCAGCAGGTAGGCCCCGGAGCAGGTTCCGCTCCAGGTGCAAGTGGTAGAGGTTCTGCGGGCCCAGCAGTGCCTGGGGCTCCAGGCTGCTCAGCCAGCTGCCCTGCAGGTTGAGGAAGTCCAGGCTGGACAGGTTTTGGAAAGCCGCTGAGGGAATGGAGGAGAAGTTATTGCCATCGAGCCACAGGACCCTGGTGCCGACTGGGATGCCCTCAGGCAGCTGCGTGAGGTTTCTCGAACTGCAGAAGACGCTGAGCTCATCTGTGTAGTCGTCATAGCTGCAGGTGCAGACGACGGGGCACTGGGGGCCCTCGGCATCTGCTGATGCTCCAGGATCTGTCCCCTGCAGGTCACAGGGGCCTAGTGCCACCCAGAAAGCCAGAAGCACCACCAGGGCTGGGCCTCCTGTGGGGAGAAGGGCTTGGCAAGGAGGTGCCCAGAGGACTGTGGCCCAGGATGTGAGCCAAACCCTGGGCTTCCCTAGTCCTCGGCCATTGTAAGGGAAGGATGTTGTTTGTACACTAAGACATTTGGTCAACCCACTTTGATACCAAGCAGACAGCGGTAGGGTAGCCAGGTCCTAGGCTTTGAAGCAACTTCACCTTTCCAACTCCTGGAACCAGCAAGTGGTGGTCCCCATCTCACTGCAGGGACACCGAGGACTTGGCTCTTCATTTCACCCTGGCTTCACAGGCAACCCGGGCCCCGGCCACTAGGCCATGTGGCAGTCTGTATCCTCTGGGGTATACACAACAGTCAGGCTGAAAACCAGAACCGAGCTGCTGGCCTAGACCTGGCTGTTCCAGAATATTCTGGAATAGACCCGGGCAGCGTATTCATTTGTGGTCCTCAATGACTGGACAGCAAGCTGGGCACTCCCTGCCTGTTAGGCCCCCAGATGGGGGACGCACATCCTGTTTTGCTCCCCAGTATATGCAGGCTGTATATTCTGTTGGCAGAAGAATGGGGTCTAGAAAACCCTGACCCACACGGACTCGGCCAGCACCTCAACTCTAAATCTACCTCAGGGGTATGCTGAGAACTCCAGCTTAGGCTAGGCAGGACAGCGCTGTTCCGCACCTACACGGTATGCGTCTCTTGTGTGACTGCATAATGGTGGTTTTGGGGTGAGACTGGCGGGACAGCCCCGGCCGGCATCATGGTAGCACGCCAAAGGAACTATAGCTAGAAAGATCGCAGGCTGTGGCTGGTACACCAGCCATCCTGGCAAGCTATGAGATAGGACTGTGAGGAGTGCTGAACCCTGGTTTCTGCACCTTGTCACACTCGGGTTAGGTACTTACTTGCTCCTGCCTGCCCTGCCTTCATTTGGCCCTTCCCCGGTGCCACCACCAAGGGGAAGCGTCACAGAGACCCTCTGCGGTCAGGATTAGTAGTATCCACGACCCAATCCAGAATTCCCACCAGCGGGTCGAGGGCCAGCTACCCTCAGAGCAAATGGCAGGGGATTCGGGTTCCTCACCTGTCCTCGGGGCCATTGTGCCTTGTACAGAACTGGCTGCAGGCAGGCAGTGAACGAGGGCCGTCTAAGTGCAGGCTGCTGCCCTCTGGATTTCCTCACGGCCAGTAGCTGGCAGCCTTAAGCTGGCCCTGCCCCACACTGCTGTCTCCTTTAACCCTCTCGTGCTGGGTGGTTAGTCTAACAGCAAGTCTCCTGGGTGTAGAGATGCAGGGGAGAAAGTCTCCCTCAGGGCTGAGGAGGGACTCTGAAGGCTGCCCCTGTAGGGTTGAAGGTAGAGGCTTGTTGGAGTAGCCTTACAAGATTTGCTGCTCAAGGTAGAGGGCCCTTGCTCCAAGTAGGTTCAGCCAAGAGGAGGGTACACTAGGGGAGCTCGCGGGTCCTGGGGAGTCCCCGACTCACCCCGGTACTGAGCAGATGGCTGTGTCAGGTTAAGCAGCAGATGCCTGTTTCTTACAGCCCTGCCCATGTTTCTAGCACATTGTCTGAGCCGGGGTTTCTTTTTCTTTTTCTTTTTTTTTTTTTTTTTGTATTTTTGTTTTTATGAGACAGGGTTTCTTTGTGTAGCCTTGGCTGTCCTAGAACTCGCTCTGTAGACCAGGCTGGCCTTGAACTCACAACAGAGATCCGCCTGCCTCTGCCTCCCAAGGGCTGGGATTAAAGGTGTTCACCACCGCAGCCTGGCTTGAGCTGGGGTTTCTTAACAGCCTGAGTGGGTTCCGCCATTTGTGCTCCCCAGCCCTGGGGTTTGTCCAGGGCCCAGTCTCAGCCCTCCTGTGACCTCTAGGTCAGCTGGTGTCTGGCCACTGCCCCTCCCCCAGGGCCTCTTCTAGGAACACCTGGCAGGGCCACCAGCTACCTCATGTTTACTTTCCCCAACACAACCCTCCTGGGCAAGGCTGGCAGGAAGGCAGTGGGGCACCCAGGCCTGAAGGGCCAGAGCCAGCCAGCTTCCACAGGCCTCTTGCTGTCCTCACCAGCAAGGAGGGCCTAACTACCCACTACTTCCTTGTGTACAGAGACCCCAGGAAACACGCTGCCCCCGGGGGAGGTTTCGGGGGCTGCTCGTGGGGCCCTCAACCTGGCCCTGGCTCCACTCACCCTGCCGGAGCCACATCTCAGCTTCCTTCTCCAGGGCCTGAGAGCTGTGACCTGGTGGACACTCCGAAGCTCAGCAAACCCTGCCTTGAGCTCTGTCCCTTTGCCCTGCCTGGGGTGGTGGGAATGCACACGGGAGGGGCCAGGAAAGGCAGTGCTGGGTTTCAGGAGGGGCAGCTTCTCAGGGAGGTTGTGGGCTGTTAGGACCTATCTCGAAGCAGACAGAGGAAGTAGACAGGTCTGGGAGGGGCAGGGGGCTGTGGCTTCCACTATGCTGCCCCATCTCTAGGGCATTTTCCAGGTTATTCCTCAGCCTTTTTTTTTTTTTCTGGGAAATTATAGATCGGCAGGGGGGAAGGCTCCGCCCAGAGCCACAGAGCAGTTTACACAGTAAAAGTGCGACCTCAGCAGGGCTGTGGGGCCAGTGGCCAGCCTCAGGCTCTGTTGGGAAAAGGAGCCAGGCAGCAGTGGCCATGAGTCCCTGTGGGTCCCTGCTTTACTCTGGCCTTGGATCTCCTCCTGTCCACTGCAAGCACCGCTTGATATGGTGTGGAAACCTTAGCAGGCTTTTGACAGCTCAATTAGACCCAAGTCAGCCTCCTGCAGCCACACAGCACAGTAACAACACCTGAAGAGTTCCCTACTCCCCAATAGCCTAGCTCTTCTGTCCAGTTTTACCTACAGGGGTCATGCTTGAAGCCCATGGGACCTGGGCCTGTGTCTAGCCCTGAATATGCCAACAGATGCAGAGCACACCGGGTCTGCTCCTTCAGACATCATCCAAGGGAGATGCTGCCGGCCTAGCTGGACACCCAGTCCTCCCTCCAGGACTACTAACTGTGAGGCCTGAAGGGATGTGGGTGTTTCTGTGGGGGCAGGACTTGAGGGTCCACACGGCAGTGTGTCTTCCCTAGCCTGCCTCTGTGTGTCACCTACTGGTGTATGGCTGTGCTGCTGTTCTGTGTTTTCTAGATCTCTGGTTAGGCTGAGCAGCCTAAAACTGTCCAAACACGAGACCAGAGGTTTTGGCACATCTGTGTTTTAGAGTCTTGCTGGTTTCTGTCAGATCATCTGTCAGTCTGAGATTTCTGAATTCCAGATACAGGTCTGGTCCATAGCTTTAGGCTTTTCATTCCTGTGTTCCCACTCAGTTCTGTGTGTTCACGCACACAGTGCCAGGATAGGAGCCAGGACCCGTGTGCAAAGCTCCGGCACGCCTTACTCCCCCAGCCAGAGTCAGTAATTTCATGGTTTAATTTTTTTTTTTTTTCTGAGACAAGGTCTCAGGTAGCCCAAGCTGGCCTTGAAGTTGGTATGTAGCAGATGTGGCTTTAGACTCCTGGGTCTCCTGCCTCCACCTCCCAAGAGCTGGGATGACAGCTGGGATTAAGCCACCATGCCGAGGCTTATTTTACATTTCTGCGACAAGACCTTACTGTGTAGTCCAAACTGGCGCGCAAATTCACAATGACCCTCTTGCCTCAGCCTCCAGAGTGCCAGGTTTATAGAAACGCACCACCAAGCCCAGCTAATCCTTCATAATGTTTTATGAAGTTCGATTTATCAGACTAGAATTTCGAGTCCTGTTTGCGTTTGTACCCAAACATGTTCCCTCTGGGCCCCTCAGAGTCACCTTTATAATCTGTTATCTTGCTATTGACAGCTCACCTTGTGTCTTTGTCTTGCTGTCGGAAAATGATTGTTTCATCCTCAGAATTAGACATCCATCACTGCTCCTCCTATGTGAGTCCTCCCAGCCAGGACCTCCACGGTCTCCTGGGCAGCTGCCATTTCAACAGGCTTTGCTATACATTCTGACATCCGGTGGCAGGGTGAAGATTCCAAGTGAGTAAACAGCTTGGTTTCTCCATGTTCTGAGTCCAGCATATGGTATCTTCAGCAACAGGGTCTTAGTCAGTCCTGGAGGGTAGCCAAGAGTATTGGCAATAGCCTGTAATGACCTGGAGGGGAGGTCTGTGGGGATTTTGTTTTGTTTTGTTTTTTGATACAAGGTCTGCTCTGGCTGTCCTAAATCTACATTAAAGCTAATTTGTAAAATTTATGGGTGGGGGGTTTTGCCTGCATGTATGTCTGTGCACCAGTGCACATGCCTGGTGCCTTTGTAGGGCAGAAAATGGCATCTGATCCCCTAGAACTGAAGAGGTGGTTTTGGAATGCCATGTGGATACTGGGAATCAAACTCGGGGGAGAAGCCAGTGCTCCAACGGTGGAGCCACCTCTCCATCACTCCTTATGTATGCATATGTTCTAGGAGGTCTCTATATGGCTTTTTCTTTTTCTTTTTTTTTTAAGGTTTATTTATTTATTATGTATACAGTATTCTGCCTACATATATGCCTGCAAGCCAGAAGAGGGCGCCAGATCTCATTACAGATGGTCGTGAGCCATAATGTGGTTGCTGGGAATTGAACTCAGGACCCCTGGAAGAGCAGCCAGTTCTCTTAACATCTGAGCCATCTCTCCAGCACCCCTCCCCCAATATGGCTTTTCCAAGAGGCCTTTAGTATTAGTTATCCCTCCCTATCATATCTTCTCTACCTGCCCCCCACCCTCACCCCAGTTTATCTCTTCCTGTTCCATTATTTTCCTTGAGCCTTGTGTACCTTTTGTCCCCTCCAAAACTTGAAATCCCAAGGCCCTTTAGTGACTTCATGACATCTGTGGCTATTTCCAGACGCAACACACATCTGAAGATTCAAAGCTAACATCCACAAATGAAGAAAACATGTGACATGTGTCTTTCTGAATTTGGGTTTCCCCATTCAGAATGATTTTTGTTTGTTTTGGAGTTGTGGCCCATAGCTAGCTGTTAAAGGTCAGAATGTTTCTAATTCCATCCGTTTGCCTGTGAATTTCTTGATTTAGTTTTAGTTTTGTTTTGTTTTTACTTTCTCAGTTATATGTATTGCATATTTTGAGAACTGTTTGGTTCTATGCCCCATTTTAAATAGGGTTGCTTGTTTTCTTGATGTTCAGAGTTTTGTTTTGTTTTGTGTTTAGTTCTTTGTATATTATATTCTAGATACTAACTCTCTGTCAGATGAATAGCTGGTAAAGATCTTTTTCTATTCTGTAGTGTGTCTCTTTACACAAATGATGGTGTCTTTTTTTTTTTTTCAAGATAGAGTTTCTTTGTGTAGCCCTGGCTGTCCTGGAACTTGCTCTGCAGACCAGGCTGGACTTGAACTCACAGAGATCTGCCTGCCTCTGCCTCCTGAGTGCCTGGATTAAAGATGTGGTCCACCACTGCCCAGTATGACAGTGTCTTTTTCTGTACAGAAGCTTTTTAGTTTCATGTGTTCCTATTTGTCTGTTGTTGGTCTTAACGCCTGTGCCCCCAGGGTCCTGTTCTAAAGACCCTTTTGCTGTGCCTGCACGTTGAAGTGGATTCCCTGATTTGGGGAATTGCTCTTATGTTGAGGTCCTTGGTCCATTCAGAGCTGAGTTTTGTACAGGATAAAAGGTAAGACTCAAGTTTCATGTAACTATCCAATTCAACCATCACTGTTGTTGATGATGCTGTCTTTTTTCAAGTGTGTAATTTTGGCCTCTGTTTAAAAAAAATCAGGGCTAGGCACCAATCTGTGTGTATAACAGAATATCATTAGGCATCATTACATGGACATTTTTTTCCTCTCCAGTCATGTTTGGTTCTATCCTAGGTCTCTGGGTCATCCAGCTTGTGGATCCTGATGCTCCAGGCAGTATGGAGTGGGCTTACTCTCCTGGCATGGGTTTTAGGCCACTCCTCCAATCTCTAGGCACAGACCCACACGGGCAAACATCAGTGGAGTTCAGGGAACCCTGTAGCAGAGGGGGAGGAGCCAGATTGTAGGAGCCAGCGGGGTCAAGGACACAAGAAAACTCACAGAATCAACTAACCTGGTCTCAGAGGGGCGCACAGTGACTGAACCGACAACCAGGGAGCCTTCGTGGGACTGACCTAGGCCCTCTGCATATATGTTACAGTTGCGTAGCTTGGTCCTCTGGTGGGACTCCTAACAGTAGGAACAGGGGCTGTCTCTGACTCTTTTGGGACCCTACTCCTCATACTTGGTCATCTGCCCAGCATTAACACATAGAGAGGTGCTTAGTCTTACTTCAGCTTGATATGCCATGTTTTGTTGACACTCGGGAGACCTGCCCTTTCCTAAACAGAAATGGAGGAGGAGTGGATTGGGGGTGGGAACAGAGGGGCCATGGTGGGGGGGAGGACTGGGAGGAGGGGAAACTGCGACCTGGATGTAAAATAAGTAAATAAATTTATTTAAAATATCAGGTGAGCATAGCTGTGTGGACTTACGTCTCGGTCTTCAGACCTCTTCTCTTGATCAGTATGTCTGGTTTTATTCCAGTATCATGCTGATGTTATTATTGCTCGGTACTATAATTTAAAATCAGGATGTTAGTGTTTTAGCTTTGTGTGGTGTGTGTATGCATACGTGTGGGGGCCAGAGGACAACATCAAGTGTCCCTTGGTCACTTTTCTGACTTTTTGTGAGGCAAGGACTCAAACTGAACCTGGAGCTCCCTGGTACTGGCTAGACTGAGCTGACCAGAAAGCCCAAGAGACTGATGTGTCTCCGCCATCATGTTACTGTGCTGGTGTTACAGATGTGCACTGCCACACCAGCCTCTATGTGGGTGAGGGGTCTTCACACGGATCCATTTGTTTTTCAGAGCAAGGACTTGCTGTGCTCTCTCCCCTTTCATGTGTTTTATTAGCCGTTCTTTCATCACTTGTGAAAACGTAATAATCTTTTTGCCCTTTTTGTTTTGAAAATATTATTTTATGAGTGTTTGCCTGCATGTATGTATATGTACTGCATGCAGACTTGGTGCCTGCAGAGGCCAAAATATGGCATTAGATCACCTGGAACTGGAGGCCGAGACAGTTGTGAGGCACCGTGTGGAGGCTGGGAACTGGACAGCAGCAGCGCTCTTAACCGCAGGGCCTCCTCTCCAAGCCTCTGCGTGATGTTGTTTTCTAAGACTCCATTGTGAACTCGAGACTAGGCGTCACATGTTACCAGATATAAGATTTGGAAATTTCCCGTCTGTAACATGTTGATTGTTTAGAATGTCTTTTTATTGCAAGTTTCTGATTTAAATGAAGAATATCAATCTGTTTCTCTTCTGACTCAAGACTTGTGTGTCATATCTAAGAACCTTGTCTAACCCATAATCCTGTATTTTCTACTACTCCTTCCTCTAAATTTCAGAGTCTAAAAGCTCTTTGGTTCTCTGATGCAATCTGAGTTAATTTACACATGTTATATGAGTTCATTGATATTTCCCCTGTGAAAGTCCGAGTCGCCCAGCCCGTCTGTTGAGAAGACTGTTCTTGGCACCCAACAAAGGTCATATGGCCACAAGCATAACGGTTTATCCTTGATTCTGCATAGCCGTCTGGTGCCCAGCCTTGCCCTTGCACCACCCTGTCATTGTTGTGGCTTGCTATTTCAGGTAGTCTGAGGTCCAAAACCTTGCTCTTTTTCAAAGTTGTTCTGGCTTCTTTGAATCACTGTACAATTTTAAAACTTGCTTGTTATTTTCTCAAACATATGCTAGGATCTTGCTGGGGCTGCACTTTTTTCATTTTTCTTTATTAAGAAATTTTCTACTCACTCTACATACCACCCACAGATCCCACCTCCTCCTTCCTCCCACCCCCAGCCCTCCCTCCCAGGCATCGCCACATCCCCCAAATCAAGGTCTCCCATGGGGAGTCAGCAGAGCCCAGCACACTGAGCCTAGGCAGGTCCAAGCCCCTTCCCACTGCACCAAGGCTGGGCAAGGCGTCACACCACAGGCACCGGATTCCCAAAAGTCTGCCCATGCACTAGGGACGGATCCCAATCCTCCTGCATGGGTGCCCCCCAAACAGTTTGAGCCAAACAGCCGTCTTCTGTATCCAGAGGGCCTAGTCCAGTCCCACGGGGGCTCCACAGCCACCAGTCCACAGTTCATGGGTTTCCACTAGTGTGGCTGGTCATCTCTGCACATCTTCCCATCATGATCTCTACGTCCCCCGCCTGCAGAATCCCTCCTCTCTCTCATCAATTGCATTTCCGGAGCTCAGCCTGGTGCCTGGCCATGGATCTCTGCATCTGCTTCCATCAGTCACTGGACAAAGGCTCTATGATAACAGCTAGGTTACTTGCTAGGCTGGTCACCAGAGTACACCAGTCCAGGCCCCCTCTGGACCACTGCCAGCAGTCCAAGGTGGGGAATTCCTTGTGGATTCCTGAAAGCCTCCCCAGCACCCTGCCTCTTCCTATTCCCATGATGTCCTCATCTATCATGGTATCTCCCTCCCAGGCCTCCCACTCTGTCCCTGTTCCAGCTCGACCCTCCCATTTCCCTATGTTCTCGTCCCCCACTCCTCGCCCTCCGCCACCCCCCCCACACCCAGTGTGCTCATGTAGATCTCATCCACTTCTCCTTCAATGGGTCATCCATGTGTCTCTCCTAGGGTCTTTCCCTGTAAGCTAGCCTCTCTGGAGCTGTGGGTTGCAGTCTGGCCATCCCTTCCCTCACATCTAGTATCCACTTATGAGTGAGTGAATACTATGTTTGTCCTTCTGAGTCTGGGTTACCTCACTCAGGATGATATTTTCTAGTTCCATCCATTTGCCTGCAAACCTCATGATGTCATTGTTTTTCTTTGCTGAGTAGTACTCCATTGTGTATATGTGCTACATTTTCTTTATCCATTCTTCAGTTGAAGGGCATCTAGGTTGTTTCCAGGTTCTTGCTATTACAAAATAATGCTGATATGAACATAGTTGAGCATGTGTCCTTGTGGTACGATTGAGCATTCCTTGGGTATATGCCTAAGAGTGGTATAGCTTGAGGAAGACTTATTCCCAATTTTCTGAGAAACCGCCATACTGCTTTCCAGAGTGGCTGTACAAATTTGCACTCCCACCAACAGTGGAGGAGGGGGCTGCACTTTAATCTGCAGATGAGTTTATGGAAAGCCATTATCTTAGCAACATTTGTCTCACTGGTGAGCATGGCCACCTGCCCATTGGTTTAGCTCATTCATTTCTCTTAGAAACATTTTGCCATTTTCCATGTGTAAACTTTACAATAAAATGTTTTTTATTAGTTCTGATACTACTGAGAATGAACTGCTTTTATTTCATTTTTGGACTATTACTATGTAGAGATACAATGAATGGATTCTTATCTTACAATCCAGGGACTCTGCTCATTAATTCCAGTGTGAAGCAGTATTCCTTGGGACTTGCAGTGTAGGGCTGTGTCATTCATTTACTTCTCCATGTTGTTACTTACTGATTCACTGCAGTGCCCTGTGAGTGGATGACTTTGCCTTGCCCCATGTAGGGAGAATTAAGCCATGTGCCGTCCGTTAACTGTGATCTGGCTGGATGAGTCTCACAGATTCTGAGAGGCAGTATAATGTTTGCCAGAGATGCCCGTGTCCTGATCCTGGAATCTGTGACCATTGCGTGACAGAGGACTTGACCTTACTGTGATCCCAGGTGAAGCTCAAGGAAAGATGATGTGGGAGGCCAAGTCAGGCGGATCAACCACTGTCTCCAGCTTTGCAGGGAAAGAAAGGAGCTGTGAGCTGGAGACAGAGGCGGCTTCTAGAAGTTGGACAAACCAAGGACACATTTCTAGAACCTTCAAGCATGCAGCTCTGATGACACCTGATGAGTCATGTCAGCTTCCAACCTCCAAACTGTAAGATGGTACACTTGTGTGGTGTGATGTCACTAGGGCGTGGCTCTCTCATAGCAACAGGCTAAAGCGCACTCGGGCGTTCTTTCAGGCCACAAAAACTCCATGGTTTGAGGAGAGATTTTTGAATTAATGTGGGACTTTGCCGAACACTCTTCTGAGATGATCCTATAGGCCTTGTTCTCTATTCAGTGGCCTGCTACATTGGCTAATGCTTAACCTTACATTTCCTGAGGTCGATACCACATGGTCATGGTATATAATGTTGCTGAATTTGAACCTGGGTTGGCAATATTAAGGATGTTTTTGTATGTGTGATTATCTTTCTTGGGCTTTGGTATTAGAGAAACATTAGTCTGATAACTGCGTTGGGAGCACCCCTCTGTGTTCTGCAAACATCTTCGAGTGTTAGATGTTACTGACGGCACACAACAGCGAAGCCGTGTGGCCTCTGCTGTCTGTGTGACCTCAATTCACAGGCCACCTCCGAGAGACTCTCCCTCTCAGGCTGACGCAAGAAGATCCTGAGTTTGAGACCGGTCTCAGCTAGAGAGAGACCCAGTGTCAGTGAAACAACCCCCTACCCACTCCCGCGCCACACACGTCTGGCTATGTTGTCCAAGATGGCCTCAAACAATTCACAGCCTCCCAAGTAGCTGACAGGCACATGCCACCCCAGCTAATTATTCCTCGGCCAGTTGAGGTGACTTGTGTCTGTCCAGGGATTTGTCCATTTCATTTTAGTTCTCCTAGTACCCCCCTTCATAAACCCTGGTAACTTCCATAGAAGCAAGAGTAATTTCCTCCTTGATGATTTTTAAAAATTTTAAATTAAAAATAATTTTAAAAATTTAAAAATCTTTAATTTTGATCAGTGTAAGAATGTTTGGTTTCCCTTCAAAGCACTTTTGATTTTCTGTTTATCAATCTCCACTCTTTTTTGAGGGGTAGGTGAACTTTTGAGGCAAGTCTCACTCTGTAGCTCAGTCTGTCCTTGAATTTGCTCTGTACCGCAGGCTGGCCTCAAACCCAAACAATGCTTCTGTGGCAGCTTTTTTTTTTTTTTTTTTTTTTTTGAGACAGGGTTTCTGTATGTGGTTTTGGTACCTGTCCTGGATCTCGCTCTGTAGACCAGGCTGGCCTTGAACTCAGAGATCCACCTGACTCTGCCCGCTGAGTGCTGTGATTAAAGGCATGCGCTGCTGCCGCCGCCGCCGCCGCCGCCGCCGCCGCCGCCGCCGCCGCCGCCGCCGCCGCCGCCCAGCCTGTGGCAGCCTTTTAAATGAGGTTAGCCGTGAGCCATCTTGTTGACTTTAATGTCTGACTCACTCTGGGGATGGACGGGGCACTGCATGTGCTCAGGAAGTGCTCTGTCTCCAGCTTCTCCTCTGATCCTTTGGGTCTCGCTTGTTTTCTTGTTTAAGGTAAAACCTGCATTTTTGAGACCTTTTATTTTCTCAACCAGGTGTTTAAAGCTATAAACTTGTTAGGACTAAGGATAGAATATTTGCCTGCTATGTTTGAGACCCTGGGTTCAATCCCGCCCCCCCTCCCCACTGTGTATGTCACTTTAGTACATGTTCCAGTTTCACTTCCTGACTCATTTAGTATTTAGAAATGTTTATTGGGTTGTCCTTGGTTAGAGAACACATAATATACTTCAGCCTCTGTGAGTTGGCATATGGTCTGAGACATGAGCTGTCCCAGAGACTGTTCATGGACATCTAAGTGGTCAACACCATCTAAGAAGTGAGTAACACCAACATCTCCAGTTACCGTGGACGAGTCAGTCTTGGAGCCCAGGAACTGTTTTCTGTCTGTTCACTACAGTCCTGGGGACTCAGGAAACCACGACTGGGACAGATGACAAGGCCGCACAAGGCCGCAGAGCCTGTGCAGCCAGGGTCACCGACAGCGGCTGGGCTCCGTGGCCTTAAGATGTCATGTCTCCCTCCACACACACCAGTCCGACTATCAGCTGGACTAGAAATCAGAGCCAGCGGTGCTCCCCTGCCTCTGATGCTCACACTGAGGGATGGACAGAGAGAGCCAGCCAGCCCTGAGTCCAGGTCAGGTGCTAGTGCCGCACCCCACCCCGCTGCCGCCCCATCCACTTCTTTATTCTTTCTTTGTTGTTGTTGTTGTTTTTCGAGACAGGGTTTCTCTGTGCAGCTTTGGAGCCTGTCTTGAAACTCACTCTGTAGACCAGACTGGCCTTGAACAGCAATCCGCTTGCCTCTGCCTCCGAGTGCTGGGCTTAAAGGTGTGCGCCACCACCACCCAGGCCCAGTTCTTTACTCTTGCCCTGGCCCTTGTTAGCCCTGAAGACACCCCCCCACAGTGGTGGACAGGCCAGGAGAAGCCTGCCTCTCCCCTGGACAGACACCGACTACAAGTTCAGCTCATGAGGGGTGGGAACACCGAACACTGAGTACCAACTGTGTGTGTGGGTGGGTGGGGTGGGGTGGAAACGGAGCCAGGGCCCCACTGCAGTTTAAATGGCTACTTGTGTGACTTTCACCTCAATTAAAAGTAATTTGGTTTTGTTTTGAGATAGTCTCTTTATGTAGACCAGGCTGGCCTGAAACTCAGAGAAACACCGCTCTACCTCCATGCACCCCCCCCCCCCCAGATGTCTCTGCATTCTGATCCCTCTCACTCAGCCTGTTTCACCTCCTCCTGTAAGCCGCTTCCCACACTTTCACACAAACACTACCTCTTGGGTGAGGCCTCCCGGCCCGCAGATCTAGAAGGTCATAGTGAGCATGTGCTGCACATCTCCTGTCTCTCTGAAACACTGGCCCCACTGCCTGCTGTCACTCTTCCTTGTCCCTGGACAGTAAGGCTTGTGTCGACTACCTGCTAAGATCTCAGCATCTGTTACCCCTCAGGTCAGGTGCCCAGGTCACCAGAGTGAGTGGCTGGGGTGGGCAGAGAGGGACAGAAGCTGGACATGCAAACCATCTTATTTAGGACTTGATATTTCAGAGGGGGCATGCCAAATGTCCCCTGGGCTGGACACACGGTGCTGGGTGGTGCAGAGCGTTTAAACACACTGGGCATAGCGCAGTAGCATGGCCGCATACACATTCTGGAGAAGACATCTGGGCTCTGAGATCTCTGCACACTGAGGCTCACAGTGGGATACCACATTTATTTGGAGGCTGGTGGGAACCATGGTGCCTTAGAGCTATGGCAGGATTGGCTAAGCACACATGGTTTAACACTTATCGCATGCACCATCATGGGGGACAATCTGCAAGTTCCATTCCATGCCACCTCCAGGGAGAGAGCACTGGCAGAATTAACAGCTCTACCCCACGTCTCTAAAGAGGAACCGTGTGGCAGGGATTCAGGTTAGAACACCTGTGTCCTGATCCACAGCAGGATAGAGTTCGAGGCGGCTGAAGGAAACAGGCCCCAGCAGAGCCAAGGGTAAGGTGAACTAGAGCCTGGGGGCTTGGCCAGCAATGCGAAAAGCAATGCAGACAGCAATGCGGACAGCAGGGCAGGATACACATGCCGTGACAGGCTTGAAGGACGCTGGCCTCACTCAGATCAACCGTCCCCTGGGGGTTTAGAGCAGGCACCCCAGTCTCAAATCCTTCCTCCACCTGTCTCAGGGACCTCGGTGTCATTGGGCATCTGCGTCTGCTCTCCCCATTCTACCCACTCAGACCTAAACTACTTGAGCTGCAGTGTGACCTGAGCACCCAGAGCCTAGGGACTGGATGGGCCACAGAGGCTAGAGGAGGAGGGAGGAAAAGCCAGGCAGAGTGCTAGCTCACTTTCTCCCTGAAGAGGCAGGAAGCCAGGGTGGGATGCCCAGCCTCAGCCCACTCTAAGAACTAGGTGCAAACCGATGTCAGGTGACCACAGAGACAATGTAGAGTCCATAAGCAGGGGTTATGGGAATAAATACTTTTAACCTTTTTCTCTTATAAATATGCATTAGAACATTTGATAACACAGGCTAGGGGCTCTGCATTAACTTAAAATAAAAGCAGACTAGATCCTGCACGAGCAGCAGGACAGTCACTTAAAAGTCCCCGTCCCTGGGTGCCTCAGTCCCGTGGCACCTTGAACTGGTCCTTCTCCCTGCGGATGGCCCTCATGGTAGTCACAGGGTCCGTCTCACCAGCATGCTGCTGCACAGACTTCTCCCTGCGTAGGCAAGAGTTAAGAACAGGCTGGAAGCAGAGCCTGGGACATGCTCATGCAGAAAAACAGCCAGGGCTAGACCAAACAGGTCCTACCGGCAATATGCAAATACCCACCCAGCCCAGAGTCCCAGAGCTTCATGGATCCTTAAAGAAGCTCTCCAAAAGCCACCGCTCATGGGTCATGAGTCCCCCACATCCTTGCCAAGATGTCAAGAAAAGCGTATCTTCACATTTATGGAACAAAGCCTGCCTCTTGGGTACACTTAATAAAGTTGGGGTGTGAGGGTCAGGCCCATTCACTTCAGGCTGGTTTAGCCCTAGTTCATCTCTTTGCTGGGGGTGAACTTGGACAAAATCATAAAGCCATGAGCTACCACAGGAAGGGAAGGCCAAGAGAGGGCCCTGCCACACCATCTTACTTCACTCTCATGAAGGGGTTATAGGTGAACTCCTCTGCCAGGGTGGATGGCACCGTGGGCTCCCCGATGGCATACTTCTCCTGTAAAAGACGCCACTGTCAAACAGGGACCAACACGTCTCACCTTTCAATACCGCAGTGATCTTTAACTCAAGTCTATCTTAGAAAGCAGAGCGAAACAACAGTCAGTGCAGACAGGCCGGGCTCATGGGAGGGACTAGCAGTTGTCTCCAGCTATGTCCCCAAGAGTAACTGCTGCCGCCAGTACGTTGCTCCTGCCTGTGCTGTCTCTGAAGGGAAGGGCAATCCTGTCTTCCTACGGTGAGCTTTATGTTTCACACAATAAAAGCACAATGCAAAGATGGCAAGCCCCCTCCCCACAAGAAAACTAGCATGAGGAGCCGTGAGTGACTTGGGCTCTCAGCACAGAGTGTGCAGGGCTCATCCCCCTGCCAGGAGCTCCCACAAAGTACCTGGAGAATGGCCAAGCAGTAGAGTGCTGGGGGGCACTGGCCACCGCCTTGCCTGGGTAGCCTTGATCCTGAGTGCCACAGCCCACGGCAGAGACAATGCTAACAGAGCTGAGGGAAACCTGAGTTTCTAAGCTAGGAGGTCTCCAGGAGCTCTTGCCCAACTATTGCCCGGCTAACATGGAGGCCTCAGGGACAGAGTGGACAGCAGCTGCAGACCCCACATGAACCCTCCCTCCCTCCCTCCCTCCCTCCACACCAGGACACACACAGCCCAGGGTTATGAAAGGGACCAGTAGCACTGACAGTTGGCTAGCATGCAAAGTGTCAGGAACTCTAAGGGTTCAAAGGGGAACTTAAAACAGGGGGGCAAATTTTCAAGTTGTGAAAATCAGTTTAAGAGTTAAACATAACATTTGGCTATGCAATTCAGCAATTCCACTTTTAAACATATACCCAAGAGCAGAAAAGAAAAAGCAAGAACAAAAGGATGTTCACAAGCATTCACAACACCTTTATTCATAACCCTAAAAACACAGAAAAGCACACAGAGAGTTCACCCACAGACAATGGACGAACTCCTGTAGTGAGCCACCTAATACAGGATGTACTCAGAAACAAAACCAGCAGGGACAGGCCTCAAAATGAGGCTGAGCAAGAGCAGGGAGAACTGAGGGAGATCATATGATTCTGCTATAGAAGCCTCTAGATAAGGGCAATTGATGGGGCTAGCGAGATGGCTCAGCAGTTGCTGCTCTTGCAAAGGACCTAGGTTCAGTTCCCAGCACCCACATGGGAACTTGTAACCACCTGTAACTCCGATTCCAGGGCTTCTGATGTCCTCTTCTGGCCTCCATGGGCACTGCATGCATGTGATACACATAGGTACATGCAGGTAAAATACTCATATACAAAAAAATCAAAATAAACCTTTAAAAAGTGCCTTGCAGAGAAGAGCAGCAGTGCTCTCTAGCTTGACTAGGGCAGGGATTATATAGATGTGCACTGTCAAAGTTCATCTAACTACAGATTTCATTCAGGGCATTCTCATGCATGCAAATTACCCTTAAAGTTCAGTCTGTCTGGCATTGTGAGGCTCTGGGTTTGATCCCCAGTTTTGATCCCCAGAGGAAATAAGGAAACAAAATAAGTTGCAGAGTGGTATTATGGTATGGACAGTGTGCATACAGTGTGATCTTTATGTGAATATTAAATGCATACTCTAAGAATCAGGTATGGCCGGGCGGTGGTGGCGCACGCCTTTAATCCCAACACTTGGGAGGCAGAGCCAGGCGGATCTCTGTGAGTTCGAGGCCAGCCTGGGCTACAAAGCGAGTTCCAGGAAAGGCGCAAAGCCACACAGAGAAACCCTGTCTCTTTCCTTTTTTTTTTTTTTCTGAGACAGGGCTTCTCTATTGTAGTTTTGGTGCCTGTCCTGGACCTTGCTCTGTAGACCAGGCTGGCCTTGAACTCACAGAGATCTGCCTGACTCTGCCTCCCAAGTGCTGGAATTAAAGGCGTGTGCCACCACCGCCCGGCAGAAACCCTGTCTCAAAAAAAAAAAAAAAAGAATCAGGTATGAATATAAGGGGGGTGATGGTTTTGATATGCTGCCCAGGCAGGTCTTGAACTTGCAACACTTCTACTTCAGCCTCTTAAGGAGGATTAGATATGTGCCACCACACCTGACTGAACATTTGAATTTGTTGTTTTGAGATAGTCTCATGTAGCCCAGGCTAGCTAAGAACACACACTGTAGCTGAGACTGGCCTAGAACTCCTGACTCTCTTGCCTCACTTAGCCTCCTAAATACTAAGATATGTCACCATCCCAGGTTGAATTTTTTGGTTTTGTTTGTGTTTTTGAGACAGGGTCTCACTACGTAGTCTTGGCTGGTATGGTACTCAGAATATTTATGTAGCCTCTGGCCTCAAACTTGTAATTCTTCTGTCTCCCTCCCGAGTGCTGGGATTACGGTATGCTGGATTTTCTAGTATGACTTTGTAAATCCCTTCCTGAGTTACAAAGGATGCTGGACAGGTATTTATCTTAAACCACAACACAACGACGGACTTAGACAATGAAGCCCACTTCCTACACTTGGCAGCAGAAGGAGCCGCACCAGAACCTCCCAGGTATGCCCAGCTCTCACTGACGATATTTACAGTGAGTGACAGGGAAGCAGAACCCTGGAGTCTAACACAGCCCTCAGCCCACTGCCTCGGGCTGTGCCGTGGTAGCTCACGGGTGCTGTCCTGGAGATAACCCCTTCAGGTGAGATCCCCCACTGTCTGGGTGACTGCAGAAGCAGGTTCCTCACAGAGGGTCCAACTGACTCACTGCTTAGTATGTGGGGAATACAGCTGGACCCTGAGGCCAGAGCTCTGATGCTAAGATGCAGTGTCCACAGGCCGCACTGGGCCCTCCAGATGGACTTACTGCATGACCAGCACTGAGTGAGTGACACTCAGCTGCCAACTCCTCTGCAGATAATGCTGTGTCTGCATCCAGTCCCTCGGGAAGGCACTGCACCACGATGGGCCCCGAGGACGTGCTCCAGGATTGGGTCCCACTCACCTTGGCCCAGGCCAGTTTCTCCTGGATGGCAGCATTGCTGGGTTCCACGTGGCGTGCAAACTTGAGGTTGTTTATGGTGTACTCATGGCCACAGTAGACTTTCTGAAGAAAGAGCCAACACATGAGCTCTGAGTGATTAATCCACCCTTGGGAACCCTGAGGGCTCAGGGCCATGTCATGTCTCAGCCTGACGTGGTACCCCGTACAGGGAGCAACTAGAGGATACCACAGATTAAGAACTAAAAAATTGCTAGGTGATGGCTTTGCCTGCTTCCCCCTCAGCTCAGAGGTGAGGCCAGCAACATGCAGACCAACTGTGAAAGCAGGGACAGTTCCTGGGCCTGAAGAGTGGGTCCAGCCTAAGACAGAGCTGCTTCCTGGAGCATGTGGGGCCTTTGGAAAAGGGAAGCATGGCCTACTGTGTCTGGAGGGAGCCGACCCAAGACTTCGAGCAGCGCCTTGTACATCTCGTCTGCAGTTCCTTCATAGAACTTCCCACAGCCAGCAACAAACAATGTGTCACCTGAAAAACAATGGCGGTCCTTCACACCCTGGCCTTCTGCACCTGGGCTAACCCCAAACTTAGGAACAGGCACCAGAACATAACCCAAAGCCAACCACCACCACCACCATTAGACATCTTCACCCAACATGGCACAAGGCCATCCACAGCTCTCCGTTCAGCCAGCCTCCAGGTTCAACCACAGCCATTAACTCACTGTTTGGGCCTGAAACCCAAGGCACCCTGACCCACTCTCAGGGCCCTAGTCCCCCCATAGCTGAAATCATCACAAACTTAGTCCACTTCCCACCTCTTAGCAGCCCTCCTGGGCCCTTCTGGGATCTCGGGATGTCCCCTTTCTCCTGGCATCCATGTTCCTGATACTCTTTCCCTTTGTGGCTGGGATACCTGAGGCACCCCCTCCCTGGTCCCCAGACTAGCATTGCTCTTGGCCTCACCCTACCATCAGTAGGGACAACCTGGCTGCTTCTGTTCCCTACACACCCTGGATTTTCTACTGTGGCCATTTTCTACTCATAGTGCGACTGTACACCTTGACTGCCCCTCCCAGGGTACCTGGCTCTGCTCCTGGGCCTCCCGGACTGCCATGAGGAGGCATCCCAAACCTGAAGTCCTGAACACTTTCTGCCCAGTCTGTGCCCAGCCTGCCTATCTCAGCTGAAACAGGCCTTATCCCACACTACAGCTGCAGAAGATGCCTGGCCCTCCCACCACACCCTCTCAGCCATCCCCGCCTCCCCTCCCTCCTCCTGTCCCCCTCAGATCAGCTGGAGTGGCAGCTACCTCAAATTTCCTGAGCTCCCAACAGTCCATTTTCATCACTGGGCCTCACTGCTGATGCCAGATCTCTCCCTTGTCCCAGAGCATACTGTGCAGTCATAAAATGACTGAAGAAACCTCACCCAACATGCCAGGTGCTGCCCACCAACAGTCACAGAAAGTGCAGGACATTGTGGGGTCTACATCCATGACACTCGGTACCTTCTACCTCCCAGGCCAGAGTCAGAGCCCCAGCCTCAGGCTCAGCTGGGCTCAGTGGTATGGCATCTGCCTAACATACACAAGGCTTTGGGTTCTATCCACAGCACGGTCAAATAGAATGGGGCTGAGGAGATAGGTTAGTTGGTAAACGCTTGCCTTACAAGCATCAGGACCTGAGCCCGATCCCCAGAACTCATGTAAAAATCCAGGCCGCCTACTCGGCAAAGTTCTAGGCTGAGAAGAGTAGGAAGTGTTGTCCTGGTCTGCTTTTCTGTTGCTGTGAAAACCAAAACCAACTTAGAGAGGAAAGAGTTTACTTCATCTGACTGCCATGAAGGGAAGTCGGGCAGGAACCTGGAAGCAGGAGCTGAAGCAGAGGCCATGGAGGAACGCTGCTCACTGGCTTGCTCAGCCTGCTTTCGTAAAGCACTCAGGACACCCCTGCCCAGGGGTAGCACTGCCCACAGAAGACTGGGCCCTCCCATAATTACTAATCAAGAAAATGCCCTACAGACTTGCCAATCTGATGAAGGCGTTTTTCTCAATTGACATTTTGAAATTAACCAGCACAGCTGTACCTGGGGGATGACACCCTCCCTCTCCCTCTCCCCTGCTCTTACAGACACTGACACAGACTTACGCAGGGCACACAGCCATGCCAACAGGGGAGGGCCAGCCCCACCTCAACCTGGACAGTCATGAGCTGAGGACCATGATTATCAGCATCTTACCACAGCAGTACTGCAGTTCAGAAAAGCCCTACCAAAGCCGCCAATCCCAGGGGAACATGGACGCACCGCAGAGATGCCTTGTTCATGCTACAGTTGGGGCAGGCGGTGCCTCTGCTCTCAACCCAGTAAAGGTGAGCCTTAACACCAAAAGGGCCCAGGGCCTGAGCATGACCCACACACCACCATGAGGAAGACAAATTCAGGTCAGGTGTGCTGGTTCACACCTGTAATCCCCACACTCAGGAGGCTAAGGCAGGAGGACTGCCACAAGTTCCAGACCAGCCTGGGCAACAGAGACCCTGTCTGAAAACAAAACAAGATATCCCACCCTCCCTCCTCCCCCACCCCTCACCAGTATTCTGCAACATGTTTAAAAACAAGCTCAGATTCCTGGGCAATTTCATGTTTACAGAACAGAGCTCTAAGTCTTCACCCAATTCCCCTCAGTATTTATTTCTCCAGGTTTCTCCCATCTCAAAGTGGGTTGTGACCTCATTAGGACATGCCGGCATGTCCCCCAGCCAGGCTCTGAACCCCCAGTGGCTGTCACGGGACAGCAGCACATCCTCACACTCTACATCACAACTCTGAGAGGCAGGAGCCAGGCCCTCTGCGGCACACTTGGCTCCCAGCCCCCAGCCCATTTGAGTGCTGTTGTCGAAAGGCTGTTCTGCTTCCCAGGCTCCCAATCAGGACCTGCATGGTTTTGTTTTTCACTTCACAAGGGGGAAATTCCTCTGATTTCTGGACAACACCTACTTGCACTGAGTGTGAACCGCACACAAGGCCCCAGCATGTGGACCACCCACTTCTGAGTCAGGCTTCTGGCTCTGCAGGGTCCCTGGGTGCATGTCACCCAGGCCAGGACTGAGGTACTGCCTTGTGCTGGCCTAACCCAGACCACAGGGCTCTCTACAAGGCTGCAGGACGGATACTTGGAACCCCTGGGGCCTTCCTCAGCCAGCCCCCCTCCAACCCATGTCCATTTGTTGGCTGCTAGAGGATGAGGGTTGAGGTTGCAGGGTGGTGAACCTTGCAAATAGAGGCTGGCTCCCTCAGACACCTGATGCAGCAGCCAGGTGCACAGCAGCCAGGTGCACAGCAGCAGCCCAGACTCAACTCACAGAGCACCCCTGCACTCTGTATTTGAACAAACCCCAGGCTCCATCCTGGAGGCTGTGGCTTCCTTCCATGGAGGGCTGGAGAAGGTGCAGCCCCTGCTTCCCTCCCAGGAGCCTTTCCTCACACAGCCAATGCCAAAGACAGTCTTCCCATGAACCTGCACCCCACCCCCATCCTCTCCGACTCACCTGTGAACACAGCCGAAGGCTCTGAGCTACCTGGCTTGCTCACAAAGTAACAGATGTGTCCCGAAGTATGGCAGGGTGTTGACAGGCATTTGACAGTGAGAGACCCCACCTGAAAGAGAGGTGCCGGCATGAGCCTCGACCACCAGTAGCCTTTCTAGAACATCACAAGTGGCAGCGCTGCTATGACTCCCCTTCCTGATCACCTGAATACACTTAGTCAAGACGTTCTACACACCCGAAGAGCATCCCAGGATATGGAGAGGGAGGGGCCAAAGGATCTCTGCTAAGGTGGGGCTCAGGTCAGATGTGTCTGTTCAAGGATAAAACTCAAAGAGGCTAATTTGGTTTTTGCCTCCAGAACTGAGCCAAATCTAAACCAGGCATTTTCTCAGAACAGACACTTCTTTTCTGACCACCTCCCCAGCTCTTTACATCAAGGGTTCAAACCTAAGGCTGACCTAGCAATGCAGGCATCCCTCAGACACAGTCAGCAAGGTCGACACTCTTTCCACATCTGCACAGCCTCTCTCTGCTCAAGTTGCTCACATTCTGACCAGTTTTCCCAAATGTCCTAACTGCTGCATGTCCTAACAAAGGCGGATATCTCCACACAACTCCACTATCACATCCAAGAAATCCAAAGGATCCCAGAGGCCTGATTGAAATTCTCCAGTCGACTCAGAGACCCACTCTGTAGTCTTCCCAATGTCCAGTCACACTTTGCAGTTGATTTTCTCACTATGCTCTGGGGTTTTTGTTTGCTTGTTTTTTTGAGACAGGGTTTCTCTGTGTAGCTCTGGCTGTCCTGGAACTCACTCTGTAGACCAGGCTGGCCTCAAACTCATAGAGATCCACCTGTCCCTGCCTCTGAGTGCTGGGATTAAAGGCGTGCACCACCACCGCCTGACTTCACTATGCTCATAAAGAGAGGACTGTTCAAGCAATGCTGAGACAGGCCTGGGGAGCCCTTGCCTCATCAGCCCCCTTTCCAAACGCTGCCTGAGGACCTATCGTCCTGGCAGGGCCTCCCGAGCTCTCCCCGTGGCTCACTATGTACCTGCAGTGTGGAAAGGTGTGTGACTTTGTGCGTCAAGGCCCCAATGCGCTCATCACCTCCATACACCTTCAGTCCAGGCTGCAGCTTCACCAGCTTCTCATTCCCACCAGCATGGTCCCTAGAAGTCAAACAGGAGGCCTGGGGTCACCTGATGAGATGGAGGGGCTGCTCGCTTGCCTTTAACCCCTGACCAAATGGAATTTTCACTTTGCCTATACGTTTTTCAGTAGAAACAGGCAACCAGGAACCACTTTTTACCTGCCATTTGGCAACACTGAAAACAACTTTTCCCAGGTGTCCAGCACGCCCCTGAACAGAGAAAGCTGACCACGTAAGGCTAGAGAGTCCCACGCATGGTTCCATGGAACCTGGAGAGGTCTAACTTAAACAGAAGCCTCATTTTTTTTTTTTTTTAAGGTTTATTTATTTATTATACATACAGTGTTCTGTCTGCATGTGTCCTTGTAGGCCAGAAGAGGGCACCAGACCTCATTACAGGTGGTTGTGAGCCACCATGTGGTTGCTGGGAATTGAACTCAGGACCTCTGGAAGAGCAGCCAGTGCTCTTAACCACTGAGTCATCTCTCCAGCCCCGAAGCCTCACTCTTACCACACCTCCTGAGGTGAGGGATTGGGCACCAAGGAGGGGGTGGGGGGTTGGAAAATTCTCCCAGGTAATCCAAATGTGCATCCCAGTTTTGGCCAACACTATTGAGTTATTCTGGGAACTTCTAGAACCATGATACTGCCCACCTGAGGGAATTTGCCACTACAGGACAGGCAGGGTGGTGGCACCTCCTAGAACCAGGGATTCCCACAGTTCCCCAGGGAGTCCTTTTGCAGAGGACAGGGCCATGGTACAGGCACAGATAGGAGTATCCCCACACTGTGGGTCCCCCTCAGCTCCAAGATGGGCATGGGAAACACCTGTCCCCTGTCAGTCCCTTGGATACCTTGCTTCAGAGTCAAACAATCCATGGAACAGCAGGGCTGTGAGATAACAGGAAGGAGCAAGTGACCTGGCTCTCTGCTCCACTGCCTCCAGGCCGGGGATCAGACACAGGTCAGGGAGGCCCATCGCCTCATCACCTACCTTTTCAAATGTCACTACCAATAAGCAATAACACAACTTGATCGCCCTTTGAGCCGCAGGCCAAACCTGTAGCTCAGCCTTGGGCTTGACGATGACATAAACATGAGGAGGTGATAGAAAAAGCCAGAATCCTCCACATTTTCAGGAAAGAGGCATCTGAAGTAGTAGTTACTGAGGTGGAAGAGAAAACACAGAGTGTGGAAAGTGTTTGATGGCTGTAAGGCAGATGCCACCAGATCCCCAAAGGTGGAAGTGTCAGCAGCTGGGAGCCCAGGGAAGGAGCCTCAGAAAACAGAGCAGCTGTAATGTGTAGCACAGGCCAAGGCTAAGGTAAACTCCCTGTCCCGGTGCTGAAGCCTCATTCAGGACCTCAGGCCTGGCTAAACCAGCCACAAAGACAGTGACTGAGCGGCACAGCTCCAAGCTTTGCTTACACCGGGGAGTCAGTGGGAGCTCCCGGCTCTGACATGCCCAAGACAGGGTCAAAGAAAAAGGCTCTGGCTTTCTTCATGGAGTCATTTAGAAAAGAAAATTGAGAGCCTAACAAACATTTCTTCTACCTTTGAGGAGCCTTAAAAGATCCAAAAAGCAACTTCTAGGCCGGCCAGAGACCCTGACTCAAAAATAAAAAACAAAATAACACAAGTCAGGAACGAGACTTTGGGCAACACTATCCCAAAGCCCCAAATTCGAGGGCAGCCTGCATCACAGAGTGAAATCCCATCTCAAAACACCAAAACCAACCATACAACAAAAGCCAATCAACACTTCTGGAAACATAGCCTTTTCCCTCCAAAAAAAGTCAGGGCCTCACAGCCTGGAGCTCACTATAGACTGGTGAGCACTAAACTCACAGAGCCCACCTCCCTCCAGCCTTCCATTCTGTTGGGTTTTTTTTTTTTTTTATTTGTTTGTTTAAGAAATACTGATGCCTACCTAGCCTTCTTTTCTCTGACATGGATGGATGCCAACACCACTTTTTATGAGCCTAAGATATGTGAAAGGCAGCCACCGGGGGTCCTCCTGTGACCAGAGAAGCCTAGCTTTAAAGGGACAGCAGTGGACACTTGTGCCTGAGGGTCTGTCCCTAGCCTCTGTTCCTCATCACACGTCACAATACCTTACCTGGAAGTTGCTGCATTAGCGGAACCCAGAGGTCAGTGGCCCAAGAGAAAGAAGGAAGGAGCCTTGCTGTGTTCTTAGAATCCTTCCCTGCTCAAGGGTCTGCCCCTTCTGTGTACAGTGACTTCCCGGTGAACAGCAGGTCCCACCCACAGGTACATGCACAGCCTGGCACTTACCAGTGGTGGTGAGTGGTGAGCACTGTGGTCAGCTTTACACGGTGCTTTTTCACAGTTTCTATAACCTACAGGCACAGGGGAGGCAAAGTAAAGGCTCAGTCACACTTCTGGTCCTGGTTCACCTGCCCGCAGAGGGGGTGCCCAGCCCCATCCCACCCGATGACTGACCACATTCCAGACAACAGGCAGAAGCAGCATTTCTTTTCTCTCCATCAACCTAACTGTTCTGTCCCACCCACAACCTCCCTGAGCCCGGGCAGCTCTGACGGAGGTCATTCACAGCACTGGAGCAGAAGCATGGCAGATGAGTAGGCTCTCAGGATTCACACCCGTCCAGGCACAGAGGTTTAAAAGTGTGTGTCAGGCTTGCCGCAGAGGCCTGTGGTCTCTCCGGCCCTTCTCACTGCCCCATCTACCAGCAGCTGGACACAACTTTGTTTTGAGTGAACTAATTTCCACCCAGTTTCCACAAAGCTGTAAAGACCCTGTGGCTGTAACCCATGTGGACGAAGGCAGGGTGCTGGCTGACAAGGCACAGGGAGCCAACAGGAGCCACACACACCTTCTGGGGTTGCACTGGGTCTACAATGGCAGCCTCCTGGGTGTCCTCATCAATGACCAGGTACATGTAGTTGTCAGTCAGGGCCGGCAGTAGCTCAACCTTCATCGTGCCTTGCTCCACAGTCAGACTCTTTCTGAAATCTGTGTGATACAGTAAGATTCCCAGCAGGGCCTGACCTGAATAAACACAAAGGAGAAGGGGTTGGGGATTTAGCTCAGTAGTAGAATGCTTGCCTAGCAAGCGCAAGGCCCTGGGTTTGGTCCTCAGCTCCAGAAAAAACCAAACCAAACCAAACCAAATCAACAACAACAAAACACACAGGAGGAAGCTCAGTGTTCTGCAAGGACAGCTTCCCGAGACGTCAGGGTAGCCATACCCCTTCCACCCAGTGCTTTGACAGCTGCCTTTTCCAAGCTCCCGAGAGGGAATATCCCATTTCACCACATCCTCCAGGAAAGCGGAGGCTAAGTAAGTCAGCCCGTCGCAGATACGGAATTATTATTTTGGGTTTTTGTTGTTTTTTTTTTAAGATTTATTTATTATGTATAGTGTTCTGTCTGCACGTATCCCTGCAGGCCAGAAGAGGGCACCAGATCTCATTACAGATGATTGTGAGCCACCATGTGGTAGCTGGGAATTGAACTCAGGACCTTGCGGAAGAACAAGCAGTGCTCTTAACCTCTGAGCCATCTCTCCAGCCCCTATTTTGGGTTTTTTGAGGGAGGTGTTTTTTAGGTTTTGTTTGGTTGCTTGCTTTTTTTTTTTTTTTAAACAGTTCTCCCTCTATATCCCTGTATAGCCCCAAACTCACTGTGCAGTCCAGGCTAGCCTTAAATTCAGCAATCCTTCTGTCTCAGACTCTTTTTTTGTTAGCAGTGGAAGGGACAGAATCCCAGGAGTTCACACATGCAAGGCAAGTGAGCTACACTTCAAGCTAGACCTGGAATCCTGCTATTTCTTTTCAAGAGTTCTTACAGGCCTTCCTACCTGCCTGTGGTGTGACTCAAACCTAAGGAAGGCAGAATGAGGCCCAGAGCAGAGCTGCTCACCCTCCATTCACGGCTTCGGCACTAACCAGAGTTCAGTCCTCTGGACTTCCAACCATTCTCAGGCCTCTCCCAGATGAGAAAACAGGATCTTATACTAAATGGCCAACATAATGGAAAACACATAGTGCCAGCTCCTGAAAATAAGAAACTGGCTGTCTGAGACTCAAGCGTGAAGGACACAGAACGATTATTCAAGCAAGGACTGTCCTGGGGTGCACCGAGGAGGTTGAGGGACTGAGGGACAAAGGTACACTCGACTCCACCCAGTCGACAGATGCCAAATATTCTCAGCGGTAAAACTCTCATTCAACCTGAAAACACATGGGGCCTCCAGAAACGTTTTCTGTCTTGTCTTTAAAGAGGGGAACCGCACAAGGTGGTAGAAGACAACGGCATTCTGACTCTCAGGAACCCAGAAAACAACAGCTTTGACCCTGTGATAGACAATACTATCAACTCTAATAACCATGGCCAGCAAAACTAATCAAATGGTACTGTTTGTTTTGTGGTGCCCCAGGTGCCCCAGGACTTTAAGCACACTAGGGAAGTGCTCTGTCACTGCATTAAACTCCATCTCTCCTTTTTGGCATTTTCCAGACCCTTCTCCTCATGTTCAGCAGAATAAACGTCTCTGTAAGATCAGGTTTCTGTAATCTCTGAACTTCCTAAGCCCTGGCACTGTCCAAGCCCATGGGGGGCAGAAGGATGGAAACAGGTGATATGAGCCCGTTTATGTGTTTCCTGGCAGAACACTGCAAACACTGTATGGCTAAATAATGTTGTTATTAGTGCTCACCCCACTCTAGGTCCCAAAAGAGCCTGATGGTAACCTGGAGAAGATTCGATAACTCCTAAAGAAGGAATTCACCCACCGAGGGCACCTCCAGCAACCTCTTTCCTAACCGCACCTAGCCTGACACTGCCCAGAAGATGCTCTCAGCTCCTTAGTTTGCTAAAACTAGGGGCATTTTGCTTGAATTGAGGTCACAGCTCTGCAGCCTGTTCGAGATCAAATCCACGGACCCGTTTTGTTTTGCTCATAACATTCTTTAAAACTCAAGACTTTCAGAGAGTTGCCTCTTCTCACCGGGCGAGCTTCTGCAGCACCTAACGCTGAGCTGCGGACTCCCATAAGCGGCGCTGCCCAGCAGTAACTGTATCCTCGTCTAGCGCTGTGTTCAGCAGCGACACTAAGGGGTATGAATTCCTTAACTGGAGAGACCTGTACTTCTGGGGTTCTCAACGAGCGGACTTCTTTCTTAGTAAAGATGGACCAAGCACTTTGAATCACAATTGCTTCCAAGTTCCCGGCTAGCTGGACTCGGGATGGCAAGCTCCGGGGTGCTGGCAACCCACTGTCGCCACATCGGCTGGACACCAAGAGGAAAAACAGCTGGCTTAGAAACTGAGGTCGCGACCCCAGAACTGGAGTCCTACTCCGGCCGAGTAGGAGCAGATGCTCGCCCTCTGCCCCGGCCCTTGCCAGCGCCACTCGTCTATGCCAGCCGCCTACGCGACGGCCCTCAACACGCCGGGCCCCGCTTCTAGACCGCCCGGCAGCGCTCAGCACCTGCGCCTGGAGACGGCGAAGGCTCGCCCAACCGACGTCCGGCCTGCCAGCACCGGGCCGCGCCGCGTCAGCGCCCAGACACACTTACCCAGACCGCGGCGCGCGCAGGCGGCTCCCAGCGCTGACAGGCTCTGGACGCACCGCGGCCCGAGACCCAGCACCATGACCCTCCGGGTGCACAGCCGGGTCGCGGAGTCCGCAACACCAGCGTCGTGGGCATCAACACTGGCGTTGGCGACTGCAACCAATCAGTGTCCTCCTCGCGTTGCTCCCGACCAACCAGCTCCTGCACTTTACCTAAACGCCGCGCCCTCACTCCAACCGTGCCCGCCCATAGAGCTCACAGCCAACCAGGGGCTGTCTCGCGCCGCCGTGCCGCCCCCAGCCAATCAGCAGCTCCTGCCCCAAATGTTCCCTACCGTGCCCTGGCAGCCTTGGCCCGGAGACCGGGTCTGGAAGTAGGTGTAGACGGTGAAGGGAGGCCGAGCGTGCGCCTCCTGGTCTCTTCCGGGCCGTTGCCCTCGCGCAGAGACCTTTAGCTGACCTCAGCGTCCAGCTGCTGCGCAAGCAAGGGTCGAACAGCGTCCTAAGGCAGCTGTCCCCTCGAGGCCGCCGTAGACCGGGGAGTCAACGGTCACGTGACGCAAGGTTGTACCATGGCTTCCCCCAAGCCACTGTCTCGCTTCTGGGAATGGGGCAAGAATATCGTGTGCGTGGGGAGGAACTACGCAGACCACGTCAAGGAGATGCGCAGCGCGGTGCTAAGCGAGCCTGTGCTGTTCTTGAAGCCGTCCACCGCGTACGCTCCCGAGGGCTCACCGGTGTTAATGCCCGCTTACTGCCGGAACCTGCACCACGAGGTGGAGTTGGGAGTGCTCTTGGGCAGGCGTGGTCAGGCCATCCCCGAGGCCGCCGCCATGGACTATGTGGCCGGCTATGCCTTGTGCCTGGACATGACTGCCAGAGATGTGCAGGAAGAGTGCAAGAAGAAGGGGCTGCCCTGGACCCTGGCCAAGAGCTTCACGGCCTCCTGCCCTGTCAGCGCCTTCGTGCCCAAGGAGAAGATCCCTGACCCTCATGCCCTAAGACTGTGGCTCAAGGTCAACGGTGAGCTCAGGCAGGAGGGCAAAACATCGTCTATGATCTTTTCCATCCCCTACATCATCAGCTACGTTTCCAAAATAATAACCTTGGAAGAAGGAGACCTTATCTTGACCGGGACTCCAAAGGGCGTTGGGCCAGTTAAAGAAAATGATGAGATCGAGGCTGGAATAGACGGGGTGGTTAGTATGAGGTTCAAGGTGGAAAGGTCAGAATACTGAATGTTCTTAAAGAGTGTCAAAAGAGAAGGGAGACAGAAGCAAGTGGAGGTAACTAAATGACAATCTTAATGAAAATCTAACAATTATGTGATGAGGTTGCTAGGTCTATATCAAAGAACAAACAACGTGATCTAAAAGGACTGGGATGGGATTAGAAATGGGAATAACCAAGGCAAAGGATATGTGATGCTTCCCAAGAGGAGATGTGTTAAACTAAACTCTGAGAGGCTGTAGTTTTTGTCTCTAAAACTGAATGGAATAGACTTTTCTGTAAACCATTCTGAAGTCTATAGCGAAAAGACTTGAAAACTGCAAAGGAAAGTAATTCATTAATGATACTAACCTTTAGAATGCTGTTTATACAGAGCACTCCAGTTGATTCTTAGGAGGGAAGGCACTTCGTCCCAGAATCAGATAAAAGTTTTGTTAATCGAGCAATTGGTGAAGTCCTACCTCGTTTACTTTGGTTATATATGTTGGGCTGTGGCTTCTGAATTTGGGAGTTAATTTTGAAACTGTTTTCCAAATAAACACTATTTCTTGTGTGACCGAAAAGTGTACTTTCTTTCCCAGTGTGGGAGGGCCGCTTTTTCCTCTGGGGCTTCAGACTTTGACCTCTGGCTCCTGAGCACCGAGCTTTAACTTATTAACAGAGTGAACCAGTACCTCCATGTCAATCAAAGGAAGAGGCCCTAGGAAACTGACAGGCTGGAAATGCTGCCTTTGGTCTTGCCTGCACCCTTCCCTGATTAAAAAGCCTGGCACAGCTTTCAGAGCCCAGTGGAGTCTTGTAGAATTAAGCAGAGGATACATAGTCTGCTGGCCCCTTTCAGGAGGCCTGTTATATCTCTAGTAATTTATCAGCACCATAGTTCATTCCATATTCCTGTGCATTTTGTGTTTTTTAGCAAAGCTGTGAGATTGGTAATGTTATGTGTCATCCTGATGACAATGTAGACTTAGAGGCTAGAGCCAAGTTGTAAAGAAATTGTCACAAACTCAGAACCTGAAGTTTTTGTTGTTGTTTTGTTTGTTTGTCCCCCCCCCCCCCCCGCCCCCCCCCCAAGACAGGGTTTCTCTGTGTAGCTTTGGAGCTTGTCCTGGAACTCACTTTGTAGACCAGGCTGGCCTCAAACTCACAGAGATCTGCCTGCCTTTGCCTCCTGAGTGCTGGGATTAAAGGCCTGTGCCACCACGACCCGTCGTCAGAACCTGAAGTTTTAACCACAGTGTAGGTAGTGACATATAAATAGATATATAAGAAAATTTGAACATTTATTCTCTGAGCCCAAGGCCTAATTATGATTTATTATATTTGTTTAATAAATATTTTTTTTTTTAACAGAGTCTCATTTTTGTAGCTCAGGATGACCTTGAACTCATGATCCACCTGACCTAAGTTTTCCATTATTTTATCCTTTAGTAGTTGATTTAATTACTTAGCAGTCAATTAATACAGATGAGTTAGGAGTTTTAGATAAGAAAAAGGAACAAAACACCTTAAGGTTCATCTACCCAGAGAGTGCCAAAGTTAAACATTAGGTATACATTCTTCCAAATCTGTATGTGGATATTATTATAAGTGGAATTTGCTTCGACATACTTTTTTTTTTTTGAAATAGGGTTTCTCTGTGTAACAGCCGTGGTTATTCTGTAACTTGCTTTGTAGACCAGGCTGGCCTCAAACTCACAGAGATCTGCCTACTTCTGCCTCCCAACTGCTGGGAGGCACTATTGTCTGAACTACTTTTTTTTTAAAGACAGGGTCTCACTGTGTAACTCAGGTATACCTCATACTCCTCTTTCCTTAGTCTCCTGAGTGCTGCTGAAATAACAGGTATGTGCCACCACCACACAATTTCCAGCCTGGTTTTTACACTGCCTATTGTGACTTCCACTTCAGTCAGCACCCTCTGCAATATGGTTCTCATTGACTACGAAAGACTCTAGGTCAGTCCTCTGGTTTTAGATGTTAGGATTTGCTGGTGGAATCAGCACATTGTTAGTCCCTGATTCCTGTGGCTGGGTTCCCAAAGTCAAACATTGAGCTCAAAGGGTATATCTGCCCATATTGAAAGTGGACTGTTAATCTAGCTAGTGAGTACAAGGTCCAGCTGAGAAACGCCTACCAAGTTGACAGACCAATTAAGCAAGCTGCAGGCACAAGCTAGTGCTCCGAATGTACAGTGCCCTTGGGGTCAATGTCCACCAAGCAACAGAATGAGTTTTGTCACAAACATCTGACATCAGCATTACAGGTGTAGCACACAAAGTCCTTGGATGCAAGAATCAAAAACTGGATTCAATTCCCTCAATTCCTGAGCTGTTAAAATCACAATAACCCTCATACCCAGAAGATACATATTCCTTCAACTTATTTTAAATAGTCTATGAAAAGGTTGAAGGATTCATCCAATGAAGTCAAATTACCCTTCAGTAGATTCAACAACTATAATTTTCAGAGGTGGAGAGATGAATCAGAGGTTAAGAGCACTGTCTGTTCTTCCAGAAGATCCAAATTTGACCCCCAGCATCCACATGGCTGCTCACACCTATCTGTAACTCCAGTCTAAGAGAATCTGATACCCTGTGATCTCCTTGGGCACTGCATGCACATGGTGCACAGATATACAGGTAGGCAAAACACCCACACACATAAAACAAAAATAAAACAACACAAAATCGTTGGCCAGTCATAGTGGTGCATGCCTTTAATTCCAGCACTTGGGAGGCAGTGTGGTCTACACAGTGGGTTTCAGGACAGCCAAGAATACATAGATTGTCTCAAAACAAAAACCAAAGAATTGTCATTTGCTAGTCACACATAAGAAAGTAATTCCGGCTGGGTGGTGGTGGCGCACGCCTTTAATCCCAGCACTCGGGAGGCAGAGCCAGGCGGATCTCTGTGAGTTCGAGGCCAGCCTGGGCTACCAAGTGAGTTCCAGGAAAGGCGCAAAGCTACACAGAGAAACCCTGTCTCGAAAAACAAAAACAAAAACAAAAAAAAGTAATTCTGTAATGTTAGTCTATGCAGATGTCTTGACATCTGTTACAAGTGATTTTTATTTTTTTTTAATGTATTGAAGCACATGCCTTTAATTCCAGCACTCAAGAGGCAGGTAAATCTTGGTGAGTTCAAATCCAGCCTGGTCTACTTAGGAAGTTCCAGGCCATCCAGAGCTACATAGTAAGACCCTGTCTCAAAAAATAAAATTTCATTGGGTATCTATAAGAAGTGAGCATTAGGCCAGGCTCAGTTTCACAGGCCTGTAATTCCAGCTACTCTGGAATAACTATGAGGATAGCAAGTTCAAGACCTATCTGAGCTAGCCAGTGCAACTTAGTGAGACTGTCTCAAAATACAAAGTAAAAAGAAAAAGAAACAGTGGAAAGTGGGGAAGAAGGCTGATGAGAATGTACTTAGTGATGAGGTGTTTGCCTAGTATTCATGAAGTCATGGGTTTGATCCCAGCATCATATAAACAGAGCATGCCTAGCACTCAGGAAGTGGAGGCAGGAGGATCAGGAGTTCAAGCTCATTCTTAGCTTCATATCAAATTCAAGGCCAGACAAAATGAGACCCTGCGTCACAAGAAAGAGGGCTGAATATATGTGTGTGTGTGTGTGTGTGTGTGTGTGTGTGTGTGTGTGTGTGTGTAGTACTTGCCTATCACCATCATGTAGAAAACTCTAGGTTCCATCCCCAGTACTGGAGGGGGAAAAGTATTATACATTCACTTAATGTATTATGAACATCTTTTCAGGCTAGTGAACACAGGTGCATACTCATCTAATTATTTTTAATTGGTGTATCTTCTTCGAGCATGTGTCCCAGAAGCAGAGCATAAGATGGGGATTGTTGTCCAGGTAACTTTTTCAAGGGGTACTCTCAGGAGGACAGTGAAGGAACTAGAAAGGGCAGAGAGCAGCCCCTACGATGCAGGTGGGAGAGAACTGGAATGAAACCCAGCGGCAGATGACTCCCATTGGAGAGAGCACTAAAGTAGTCTGCAGGGTCCTAGTGCACTCTGCCTCCTTCAGGGCCTCATCAGGCATCACTGCTCCTCACAGAAACCAGGAGATCTTGGCAAATTTGGAATTAATGGGAGCCAGGTGTGGGGCAACATTCTCCACAGGTTTAGTTTCTGATGCTTAAACTGTTAGACACAACAAGACAAGGACCAGTTTTCAAACACAACATTGAACTCTTATTCTTCAGGGGAAAGCAAGGCTATGAAACTGATTAGCTGGTTTACACTTAAAGTTTTAGGTACATTTTGTCAAAAAGAATGTACAAATTTGTACTTGACAAGTGTTATGTAACAATTTCCTCCAAGATAAAACACTCCATCTTTATGGAAGCCCCTTAATGTTCTAAAGTGAAGTGTAAAAATCCAGTTCTTCAGAGAAGCTAGTTAAAATCTCAGGAAATAAACAACCAGTAGTTTCAGGAAGTCCCTGAAACTGACCAGATGTCTAGACCCTTCTGAAGCTTATATAAACAGTAAGGACTGCTATGAGATATTCTTAGACATGATGAGCTGCTTACAAGAGTCTCAGACCAGCTGAACTTTCTGGAAGGGGCAGAGAACCACCAACTTACCTGGAAGAGACAGAGACCCCTCTGGCCCCAGTAGTTCCAACTTTGAAGGGATCTTTTAGCTTCCTGGGGGGTAGGGCAGGGCAGGGCAGTGCTGCTTGAGAAGGTCCTAAAGGAGGCAGGCTGAGCTGCCTGGAAGAGGCTCAGACTCTCCAGCCTGTCAAAATATCTGCAGTTCTCCAGTGAACTGCGGGATTCCTGCTTTTGTGCAGCCTCACGAGTGAGCTTTGGTGATGCAGCTGTCTGACTCACTTCTGCTCCACTAAGTGATCTCACACCTACACTCCTACAAGTAACCCCATAAAACTCATTGGCTCATCAAGTTGGACTTTGGTAGGATCCCTGTTTTGGTCTGCCATCGGTTCCCTGTCTGGGGTGAGTAGATGTTTAAGTAGTGTAACACAGCATGAAAGTTTCAGAATGCCTCTCCCAACCCTACAAACTCTAGCCAAGGCCAAGTTCCATGGCTAGGTGATAATTTGCATCTCTTTAAACAGCTATCTGCTACATCTGTACAAATGATACTGTAGAAGCTGCATTATCAGGTTGGTTTTCTATTTCCTTTCAGTATGAACACCAATCAAATATGCAAAACTTTTGTCTGTTTTTTTTTTGTTTGTTTGTTTTTGTTTGTTTTTTTGAGACAAGGTTTCTCTGTGTAGCTTTGGTTCCCATCCTGGAACTCCCTTTGTAGACCAGGCTGGCCTTGAACCCACGGAGATCTGCCTGGCTCTGCCTCCCAAGTGCTGAGATTAAAGGCATGCACCACCACTCAGCTCAACAAAATATTATATACCTATTTTTAAAAGAGATTATAAAGCCAGGTGGCAGCGGCGGTGGCGGCGGCAGCAGTACACGCCTTTAATCCCAGCACTCGGGAGGCAGAGACAGGCGGATCTCTGTGAGTTTGAGGCCAGCCTGGTCTAAGGAGCGATATCTGGGACACGCACCAAATCTACATAGAGAAAACCTGTCTCAAATAAAAAAAAAAACAAAACAAAGCAAAACAAAACAAAAAAGTAATTACGTGTCAAAATATATTAGGAAAAATTCATACATCAAAAATATTACTGTGATAAGGAATCAACAATAATTGGTATTTTTTGTTCAAAGACTAAGCACATAAGGATATGTACTTTGCAAGAATTAACCTGAGTTTTCCCAATTGCCATGAGAATTTGTAATTAAGAGCCACAGAACAAGAAGCTTAGAACAGGAGGCCTGGGAATGGCAGATGGAGCTTGAACCTACAGCCACAGAGCCTGCCCACTCAGCTACCTCTGTCTGAGCTTTTATGTCCCATCTGGGAAATGGGCAAAATAATTCCCCTCATACATATAAGATGATACCAGTAAAATGCTATTCCTAAATTATATAAGAAAGATTCAGAGCCAGGCGGTGGTGGCACATGCTTTTGATCCCAGCACTGGAGAGGCAGAGGCAGGTGGTTCTCTGTGCATTTGAGGCCAGCTGGGTCTACAGAGCAAGTTCTAGGGTAGCCAGGACTACACAGAGAAAACCTGTCTTGAAGGAAAAAAAGATTCAGTAATGTTAGGTAGCTGTTAATATTATAGCAATTTATGGGGCTGGAGAGATGGCTCAGTGGTTAACAGCACTGGCTGCTCAGGCAGAAGACAAAGTTCGGTTCCCAGCACCCATATGTCAGCCCACAACTGTCTGTAACTCCAGTTCCAGGGGATCTGATGCCCTCTTCTGCCCTCTGCAGGCACCAGGCATGTGGGACACAGACATACGTGCTGGTAAAACACTCATACACATAAACAATAAAATATTAAAAATAAAAAAATATAGCAAATTATGAACTGGGCATGCCTAGAGCTCTAGTACATGGGAAGTGGAGGCAGGAGGATCAGAAGTTCAAGGCTAGCCTAAGACAAATAGTGAATTTGAAGCCAGCTTGATCTACAAAACAGCAACAAAATACGTAAGTGCACACATACACACACACACACACACAGTAGCAATTTAATACCTAGAAATGTATCTAGGCAATGATTAAGTACAAGTATAAATGTTTCACTGTTATTTATAACATTAAGTAGAAAACAACTCTTTTGTTGTTTTGTTTTGAGATAAGGTCTTTCTATGTAGCTTTGGCTGTCCTAAACTCAACTATGAGACCAGGCTGACCTCAAACTCACAGAAATCCTCTGGCCTCTGCCTCCCAAGTGCTGGGATTGAAGGTGTGCACTATCGCACCCCACTAATAAGCACATACTTTACAAATAGGTCATACTATAATGTGCTTCACACTTAATTTATTTTAGGGACACTTAATTTATAATAAACATTTTCTTAAGTCACTAAATATTCAGAAATATATATATTTTTTGAAGCCTGAACAATACATGTTTTATTAATTGATCAATTAATTTTTCCCAGCCCAATCACAGTTTCCCCTCCCTCCTCTCCTCCCAATCCCTCCCTTCAACTCCCCCGGCGTCCACCCTCTCTCTCTCCCTTCCCTTCAGAAAAGTGCAGATCTCTCATATATATCAGTTAGTCATGGCATATCAAATTGCAGGAAGACTAGGCACCTCCTCTCCTATTAAGGCTGGATGAGGCAGCCCATCAGGAGGAAAGGGTCCCAAGAGCAGGCAACAGAGTCAGAGACAGTCCCCGCTCTGTCTGCCGAGAGTCCCACAAGAGGACCAAGCCTTATATTCTTTTTTTAAAAAATGGTTATATTTCATTATATGAGTATAGGACAGTGAGTATAATCAATCTAATACCATTGCACACTTAAGATGATTTCTAATAGGGATGTGGGGTACATGCCTTCTGTCTCAGGACTGGGGAAAAAGAGACAGGCATATCTCCAAAAAATTGTATGTTTATAGTTATAACATTATAATTTATAAATGATATACTCTATTTAATATGGATGGAAAGATAGAAGACAGTATGCAGGAAAGACATACAAAAGTGTTATTTGTCAGCACGGGACAACATTTGTCCTAACAGCCCAAAGGTTAAAGAAACTCAAATGTCACCAGCAGATGAACAGATAAGAAAGTCCAGCTAAAGGAATGTTTCTGAGCTCTACAGAAGAATGACACACGTTACAGCATGGGTGAACCTGAAATTGCTACACTAAGTGAGAGCAGCCAGTCACACTGACAAATCCTGTGGGACCCACGCAGGGGAGGTGCCCAGACCAGCCTAATTCACAGGGATGAGATGTAAATCAGAGGTTACCTGAGCTCTAGGGAGGGGATAAGGGTGGGCTGTCTAATGGATGAAGTTGCAGTATGGAAGGAAGTAAACAATTCTGGAAGGGTAGTGAGCATACAACATTATAAACATACTAATGACACTAAATGGTATATGTAAAAATGGTTAAGATAGCCAGGTGGTGGTGGCACATGCCTTTAATCCCAGCACTCAGGAGGCAGAGGCAGATGAATCTCTGTGAGTTCAAGACTAGCCTGGTTTTCAGAATGAGTTCCAGGACAGGCTCCAAAGCTACACAGAGAAACCCTGTCTTGGAAAAAAAAAGTTAAGATTATGAATTTTATGCTATATATGTTTTATCAGAATATAAAACAAAAATACATTTTAAAACATGATTCACAAACTAAAAACTGTGAGAGATTATAGTCATCCTGTTCTATTATCTATTATTTTCTATGAAAAATATAAAACTTGATTAAAAAATTAGTTGTGAAATAGCCCAGGGTTCCTCAGGATAAAGAATGCACACATACATAGATGGTATTTCTGCCATGTATTGTGAATGTAACAAATAACTCAACACAGCATCATCTACAAAGGAAAAGTTGTCTAATTACCTAGCGTGAACCCTGTAGCTTGGCAGAAACCAATCCCAGGAAAGCAGTTCATGGGGAAACAGATGGGAAGCATGGGGAGACCACGGGTGTCTGGAGAAGCAGACGGGAGGCATGGGGAGACCATGGGTGTCTGGGGAAGCAGACGGGAGGCATGGGGAGACCACGGGTGTCTGGGGAAGCAGACGGGAGGCATGGGGAGACCACGGGTGTCTGGGGAAGCAGACGGGAGGCATGGGGAGACCACGGGTGTCTGGGGAAGCAGACGGGAGGCATGGGGAGACCACAGGTGTTTGGTGTGAGGTGGGAGTACTTCTTCTTTGCATGCCTGCATTTTGGCCAGTCTACAAATGAAATTTCAGATATTGGTTGATTTTGCTTTTGATCTTAGTTAAAAGGCAATTTCTGACTGTTTTTGTAAACTTAATCACATAAATGTGTAAGTTAAACCTAAGACATACCTTTGATTTGGCGTGGCTTGTCATTAGGCCGGCAGATTCCCATACCACCAGCAAAGACCTACACCTAGGTGACAATTCAGAACCATGACTGAGAGATAGGGTCACCTTGGTTGTGAGCAGGTAATTTAGAGCCCTCTGCTGGCCTCACTGGTACTCACCTGTCCCAGGGAACAGCATTGCCAGGGCACCCACCAGGAGACTGTCTCTGTTATGTGGTGTAAACTAGCGGTGAGACAGCCAGGACAGCTGAGGACCGTTGGCCCAGGAACCAGACCGGTGCTTACAGACCTGCCCTGGCCCAAAAGCCTCTGAGTGGGATCCAGGGAGGGGGCACCATTGTGGTTTGGGTCAAAAATGTTTGGTTGCCCCTATTGGACTTCTGGGAAGTGACTGGATCAAGAGAGCTCTGACATCATCAGTGGATTACTCCATTCCGGGTCTGTTGGGAGGCATGTGAAACTGAGGCCACAGCCAGGCATGGTGATGCACCTTCCTAATCCTAGCACCTGGGAGGTAGAGACAGGAGCATCAAGGAACCTTCAGTACATAGTAAGTTCAACACCATTCCTATAATCTCAGTACTCAGGAGGCTGACACAAAAGGATTGTAAGTTCAAGGCCAGCCTGCCACATAGGAAAACCCTGTCGAAGAATACAGAGAAAGAGAGAGAGGAACTAGGAGATGGGACTCAGCAGAAGGAAGGGATCCTTGGGGCATGTTCTTAGGACCCTTATCCTCTCTCTGCTTCCCAGTCTCTATAAAGAGAGCAGCTTTGCTCTGCCACATGCTGCCAATCTTAACATTCAACCTCAAGTGAAAGCAATGGGCGAAGGCTAATGTCTGGTTTATAAACCAAAGTAAATCTCTCCTCCTTTAAGTGTATTTTTTGGAATTTTATTACAGCAACAAAAGCTGACTAACAAGCCCATGCCCACTGGCAGCAATAGCAGATGTGAAACCTGCTAGGGCACCCTCACTTCTCTCCTCCCAGCCAGACTGCTCCAACTCTTCATCCTTCCTTCTTCCTAGCTTACACGATCCACATCTCCCTCCTCAAAGAGAACGGGAGAAAGCACTTGATCAGTTCCTCTTGCCTGTGTCGATCAAGTCCTTCACTACCTCATTTATTAGGACATCTGGCAACCCTCCACATGACTGCATATAGTAAAAACAACAGACAACATTAGATAAGGCACACATACCTTCCAACACCAGCATCATAAGAGAGTTCATGTACTCACTTTTCTGTCTATGTCCAGGACAATGGGTCAGATTTGAAGTTTGCAGTCGGTGCCGAGCTAGGGTGGGTCTTACGGAGGGGCTGGTTCCTGAAACAAGTAGCTCCGATCGTGTGGGGCTGTGATTGTGTGCTGCTTCAGAGAAGAGTAGGATGAAAAGCAGCTGCCACACTTGTGTCTTGAGAAAATTTCCTCTCCAAAGTTCCTAGGACGCAGCAGACATCACTCCTGCAGCTCTTAAAGCTGGTCTCCTCCCCAGTGACTCATGAGTGCCGAGCTTGCATCAGCAAGCCTTTGCGTGCACCAGGTAGCTCCAGAGCATCATCACCAAAGCCAGGGCCAGCCCCTGCACAGTCACCCTCCTCTCCACCATCAGAGCCTTTCACTGTGTTCTGTCAAGTGTGCCACCACACCACAGGGAAGACAAAGAAACCGTTCACACCCGGGAGGGAGATCAGCATGTTTATTACTGCACATAAGCAAATACTTTCCAGTGTGAGAGAAGACAGGCAAAGCTATTGGTCTCCCAAGTAGCTGAGCCAACTTCAGAAGGAAACAGTGACAACCTAGGAAATAGTTTCACTACATTTAGGCCAAATGTAATTTTACACATAATTCTCAAACATGCCACTTTAAAGAGTTAAATTCCTAAACCTTTCCAGATTTTGGAACAAAACATGGTTTTAAGTGTGTCCTTGTCCAGCCAGGTTCCTGCTTGCTTCGGTGGGATCCGCAAGCTTACAGGAGAGTATGCTAACTTTCAATCCACCCCTTGCTCTGTGTGATAAAATCAGCTGAGGAGGAAAAGAGACAGAGGGTTAGATTTAAACACTACCTTGTACACACAGTTGAAAACCAATACCACAAAGGAAGAACTCCAAGTTTTATTGTTGTTGTTTGGTTTTGTGCTTTTCTGAAACAGGGTTTTGCTGTGTAGCTCTGGCTGGCTTCAAACTCATGATCTTCCTACTTCGATGTCATGATTGCTGGAATTACAAGTGTACACTGCCAGCCCCAGCTTGGAATCACTTTAAGTGGCAACAATTTTTAACTGAAATATGAGAATCATAGAAAATATTTCATCTTTATAGGCAGAGTTTTATTTTGGATTTAAGACAGAGTCTCATATAGCCCAGGATGACATCAAACTCCCTATACAGTTGAGAATGAACTGGAACTTCTGGTATTTCTGCCTCCACCACGCAGGTACTCAGATTACCTAGCTGGCATACTTGATCAAATCTGTCAAATAATAAATCTTACGTTTATATTTTTGCTTGTTTGAGATAGGGTTTTGTGATTTGCTATTACACGTGCTGGTCTCTAACTCCTGGCCTCAAACAATTTTCCTGCCTTACCTTCTGAAGTAGATACAGGCTGAAGCCATTGCACCTGGCTCACAGGCTCTGGTCTCTATTGTATATTTTTGTGTACTATAATTATATCTGCCCAAGATCTTTCATGAGTCTGATTTAAAAGTCTTCTAGGGTCTAGGTATATGGCTTGCTGGTAGACTCTTAACTATGGGGTTCCATCACTAATCTACACACACAAAAGTTCATGTCTGTAATCCCAGTACTTGGAAGACTGAGGCAGGAGGATAGCCTTGAATTTGAAAACAGTTAATAGTGAGGTCCAAGCTCAGAGGGAAACCCTAGCTCAAAAGAAACAAAACAAAAATACATTTTTTTTTTGGTTTTTCAAGACAGGGTTTCTCTGTGTAGCTTTGGAGCCTGTCCTGGAACTCACTCTGTAGCCCAGGCTGGCCTCGAACTCACAGAGATCCACCTGCCTCTGCCTCCTGAGTGCTGGGATTAAAGGCGTGCACCACCACCACCCAGCAACAAAAAGACATTTTTACGTGTACTGTATACAGGTCTGTACATCACTTGCATGTCTAGTGCTCTCCGAGGCCAGAAGAGGATACTGGATCCCCTGCAACTGGAGTTAAAGACTGTTGTGAGCCCCATGTGGGTGCTGGGTGTCACCACTGCCCAGCTCCAAATACAATCTTTTAAACATATGTTTTGGAAAGATCCAATATCCTTTTACTTGAGGACAATTTGGTGTACATGAATCAAATCAGGAAAACTTTATATGTGTTTCCATGAATTTAAAGTGATCAAACAGAGCTAGAAGCCCTTGATGCTCTTGCAGAAGACCCTGGTTCACTAGTCAGCACCCATATGGTGGCTAACAACCATCTGTAATTCCAGGTCCATGGGGTCAGATGCCCTTTTCTGGTCTCCACAAGCACTGTACACACATGCTACATAGACAGACATGTAGGCAGAACACCCATACACATAAAATAAATATAAATAAATGGTTTAAGTGATCAAAGTCATTAGCAAGGTTATGTCTGTCTTATGATGATAGAACAGAACATTTTGTGGGTTCATATGAATGTGGGGAGATGCAGCCTCTGACTAACTTCTCTCCTGGGCCTGGGACCCATGGTTACTACAACCTGAAACCCAGGTTCTAGAAATATTGGTGAGGCCATTGCCGACTCCATGTCTGCAATGTATTCAGATTAAGCTTGAGGCTACTAGAAAGAGACTATCTGGAAATAGTACAGCCCCTTTGCTGACATTTATACCCCCATTCTCTGCTATTTGCAGAGGTTGTACTGATGAGAGGACATCATTGCTCTGACCACTAAGGGCATGTGTGCTCATGAACACGTTTGTCCATTTCCTCAATACTAAATTCTAATAGAATAGATATCAGCAAATACAAACTGGAGCTCAGCAACTTAGGATTACAGGAGAAAACACTGAAAAACATAGCAGGAAGGAAGGAGCCCTGGCTGTTGTCCTCTCACTAGAGTGTCTCAGGAGTCAGTGCTGGCCTTTCACAGTTGTAGGATCACAGAACTACACAGGCTGAGTGGAGGGAACTCACATCCAGGGACTGCAGGGCTAAGGAGAGGCGACACTGGAGTTCACACCACGTCTCTGTCAGCCCAGATGCAGGACGCTGAACTGCTGTTTTACAAGCCTCACTCATCAAAGGGCAGTGCACACAGGCAGGCGCTGTGGTGTCTGTCGCCTTGTCTTGACTGGTACCATTAAAGGGCATTTCTTCGCTGGCCTATTTAGTGTTATTGGTAACTCCCTTTAGTCCATGACTATTTCCACTGTTTCCATGACAGCCAAAACCTTCTGCACATCTAGAATTGAGAACTATTAATGGCAACACACTCCTGAGCTGGGGCACTACTTGATGGGGGCACTTGCTTAGCATATGAAAGGCCCTTGGTTTTATCCTCAGCTCTGAAAAAAAATCTTCATGAAGAAAAATCTCCCATGAAGATTGTTTTACTGCTTGAATTTATAAAATAACAATACTTTAAAATACACTCACTTTTACATAAATTTTGCTTCTTTCCAAAAGAAACTGCCACTTCAGTTTTGTTTTCTGTTCACTTGTCATTGCAAGAAACTCATTTATCTGGTGAAAAAGAAAGATCAAATAGATGTTTCTGAAGCAGACATGGATAACTCATTTGACAACACTGTGAAGCACACTTGCCCACTAGAAATGGAATTTGACTCACAGCATTACAGCTCAGTTCCTTTGACAGGGAAGATAAAGCATGGAAAACTATCACCAGAATCACTGAAGCTGGTCAAGAGTTCAGCAGGGAAAATTCCTCCCAATAAATTGGCTCAGAATTCTGAGTCAAAATTTAATGGTTAGTTTTATGATCTGTCTTTGTTTTGTTTTCTTTTTCTTCTCTTATTTTTTTTTTTTTTTTGTTGGGATAGGATCTCATATAAGCCCAGTCCTGTCCTACAGACTCACTGTGTACCTAAGGATCGCCTTGAACTCATGATCCCCTTGCCTCCACCTCACAAGTGCCACTATGCTCAGCTGTGACCTGGTTTTAACAAATGTGTGCCAGTCTTCATGTATCTGCTGCTGTTCTGTAGCTGCAGGACTGGGACAAAATGTGAACTGGCTATACATCTGGATAGGAGAGATATGGCCAATACAGATTCCCAGAACAGCCAATGCATGTAGTGGGTAGTCATTCCAGCTTTGATTTGGAAGTTCCAACCCCCATTGAGGCTTAGGTAACTGTCACGCCTACAAGGCGGGGCCAAGAGAGGACCCTGAAGACCCGAGATCCGGATGCGCAGGCTCTCTTGGTTCCTGGACCCTGGACGCTGGAGGTAGACCGAGCAGAGTTCTCCAGAGAACACTGCCGGACTGCGCCGCCACACCTTTCCCAGACCTGTAAACTATCCCTTCACTTGTAAGTTACCCCACAAAATAAACCTCCCTTTTAACTACGTGGAGTGGCCTTAATAATTTCACCAATAAATGCATTCCTGATCAGTAACTCCAATATGTTTTACCCATGATAATTGACTATATAAAATGTCATATTTAAGCTGGGTGGTGGTGGCAGAGGCAGGCGGATATCTGTGAGTTCAAGGCCAGCCAGGTCTACAGAATGAGTTCCAGGACAGCCTGGGCAACACAGAGAAACTGTCTTGAAAAATCATTTAAAAAAAAAAAAAAAAAGACCAGTCTGAGCTACATAGCAGGACACTGTCCTAAAATGTCATATTTAGTCCTCTGTTTTTCTGAAGGCCTGCAGATCATATATTCATTAAAATTACATTATGTTTAGGGCTGGAGAGATGAGTCAGTGATTAAAAGCACTTGCTGCTCTTGCAGAGGACCCCAGGATCAGTTCCCAACACCCATATGGCAGCTCACAACCATCTTTCATTCCAATTCCAGAAGGTCAGATGCCTTCTTCTGGCCTCTATTGGCACCCAGGCAGGCTTGTGATGCACAAATATATATTCAGGCAAAACCCAATACACATAAAATACAACATTTAAAAAGACAAATTTAAAAATATGTATGTTTATAAACCAAGATGGCTTTTCCCAAGATTTCTATTTAATAGTTTCTATCAAATGTTCAACAAAATAATCTATAGTTTTAAGGAAGAATATTCAAGAATATTAGAAATATCTGTATATATTTCTTCCTTTCTGCTATTTACCGTGCAGCCCAAAGTTTCCTCCGCAATACTTCCTGTGAGACTGCAGGAATGGAGGGTCCCAGTGTGGTCAGTAAGATCAACCAATACATCAAAACTGAGTAAAAAAGGACTTAAGTCTGGAAGAATCTTTGTTGCAAATTGTACAGGTGTTGGAGGCTTCATTTACAATATAGCCACAGCTGGAACTGAAAAGAAACAAAAGTTATTCAAAAGATAATGGTCCTCAGTGTCAAATTTGATCTCTAGCAGCATTATATCTGTCTTAGTCTAATAACATTATAAAATGTTCTAAAATCCCAGAGGTTAGTATCTTTACTATGAAACTAGATACACAAAGCCATTCTGTGCCAAAACTACATAGAACATACATATACAATGACAACATGTAAATCTGGGGACTTGGATGAGATGATCATAGTGATGACTTCACTATCCTGATGGAAGAAAGGCATTATACCTTGCAAAATGTAACTTTAGAGTGCATTGGACAAAGGGTAAGAAAGATCCCTCTGTTCTTTTGTTTGTATTGGTTGAGAGTTTTCTGTTTAGAAGACAGGGTCTCATGTAGCACAAGCCGGCTTTAAATTCGTGGTCTTCCTGCCTCCACTTCCCAACTGCTAGGATTACAGAAGGTTACCATTACACCAGGCTCTATCTCTTTATTTTAAAATAAGTTTATTTTCCTATTTATTTTACATCCCAGGCATAGTTTCCCCTCTCTCCTCTCCTCTCAGTCCCTCCCCACTACCCTCCTCTGTTCCCACCCCCCAATTCACTCCTCTTCTGTTTCTGTTCAGGAAAGGGCAGGTCTCCCATGAGTATTAACAAAACATGGCATATCAAGTTGCAGTAAGACTAAGCACTTCCGAGTGTATTAAGGCTGGGTGGGGCCACCCAGTATGAAGGGTAGGGTCCCAAAAGCCAGTAAAGGAGTTGGAGACAAGCCAGGTGGTGGTGGTGGTGGCACATGCCTTTAATCCCAGCACTCAAGAGGCAGAGGCAGGCAGATCTCTGTGAGTTCGAGGCCAGCCTGGTCTACAGAACAAGTTCCAGGGCAGGCTCCAAAACCTACACAGAGAAACCCTGTCTCAAAAAAAACAAAACAGAACAACCAAAAGTGTGAGACAGCCACTGTTCCCACCATTAGGAGTCCCTCAAGGGGCCCAAGCTACACAACTGTAATATATATGCAGAGTACCCAGGTCAGCCCCTATAACAGCAAAATCTGAACAATCCAAACACAGCTGAAGCACAAGAAAATGACCTTAAAATGACTATATAGAGGTCCTTAAAGAGGCTATGAAAAAAATCCTTGAAAGAAGTTGAAGAAAACACAAACAAAAAAGTTGGAAGAAATCAATAAATCCCGAGAAGGAAAGCCAAGAAAACAAACAAACAGATGAAAGAAGAACTGTTCAAAGACCTGAAAATGGAAATAGAAGCAATAAAGAAAAACACAAACCAAAGGAATCCAGGGAATGGAAAATCTGGGGGGGGTGGAAGCAAACAGGAACTAGAGGAAATAGATTCATCAGTCAAAAGAAAAATGTTAAGTCTAAAAAATTCCTAACACAAAAAACATCCAGTAAATCTGGGACACACTATGAAAAGACCAAACATAAGAATAATAGGAATAGAAGAAGGAGTGTCTCTATATTTTTAACTTTGTGTGACTCTCAAGTTAATCTCAGTAAAAAAAAAAAATCAGTCATAAAAATCTGTAGAGATTTTCATGATAACATTTTAGATATTTCTTGCCAACCATTGTTTGACTAAAATTAGTAAATGTCTTGGGCTTTACTTTTTATGCAAGGAAATGACTGAGGATGGAGGTTAGATATGTCATGCATTGAAAAAAAAATTAAATACTGTCTCCATATTGCTATAAAATATGACAAGCAAAACTGTTTCTGCCAAATCATAAAACAAGTTTAGTCATTCCAATTAAAAGTTTCAAACTGAGTCTACCAGGTTGATCTCAGTCCGAGGGGAAGGCTTTTGCCCTGGAGGGAGGGAGGTGGGAATGGGGGGGTGGGCTGGGGGGGAAGGTGAGGGGGGCGGGGAGGGGGGAGAACAAGGGAATCCGTGGCTGATATGTAGAACTGAATTGTATTGCTAAATAAAAATAAAAAAATTAAAAAAAAAAAGTTTCAAACTGAGCCAGGTGATGGTGGTGCATGCCTTTAATCCCAGTACTTGGGAGGGCAGTAGCAAGAGGATCTCTAAGTTCAAGGCCAGCCTGATCTACAAAGTGAGTTCCAGGACAGCAAGAATTAAACAGAGAAACCCTGTCTTGAAAAACAAAACAAAACAAACAAACAAACAAAAGAAACAAACAAAAAGTTTCAAACTGCCAGGCAGTGGTGACACACGCCTTTAATCCCAGTGCTAGGAGGCAGAGGCAGGTGGATCTCTGTGAGTTCAAAGGCCAGCCTGATCTACAGAGGAAGTTCCAGGATAGCCAGGTCTACACAGAGAAAGTCTGTCTGGAAAAAAAAGTTTCAAACAATATTATCTTTTATGATGCAGAAATATGATCTATTTTTACTTTAAAAACCAGGGTGTTTTTTTTTTTCTTTTTAGTAGTGCTGGAAATTGAACTCAAGGCCTTGCTTGTGCTAGGCAAGCACTAATGCAGATAGCTCTACTCTAGGCCTAAAAGTCAGTTATCATCATTGAATCTGTCTTAGAGTTTCTATTACTGTGACAAAACACCATGACCAAAGAGCAAGTTGGGAAGGAGAGGATTTTATTTGGCTTACACATCTACATTGTAGTCTGCTGTAGAACAATCTTTTTGTACCCTGTGAATATGTATTACTTTCATTGACTAATAAAAAGCTGATTGGCCAATAGCTGGGCAGGAAGAGATTGAGTGAGAGAATCAGACTAGGAGAATTCTGGGAAGAGGAAGGACAGAGTCAGAGAGCTGCCGGCAAACGCAGAGAAGCAAGATGAGAATACTATACTGAGAAAGGTACCAAGGCCAGGTGACTAAGCATAAGTAAGAATTATTGGTTAATTTAAGGGTAAGAGAGTTATCTAGTAACAAGCCTGAGCTATCTTTTATAATTTTATAATTTATAATTAATATTCAGCCTCTGAGTTGGTTATTTGGGAAGTAGTAGGTGGGAAAGAAATGTCTAACTACATATGGTGCCCAACATGGGACCAAAATGTCAACATAAAACCTGACAAAGTGCCGGGCGGTGGTGGCGCACAGCCTTTAATCCCAGCACTCGGGAGGCAGAGGCAGGCGGATCTCTGTGAGTTTGAGGCCAGCCTGGTCTACGGCGCGAGATCCAGGAAAGGCGCAAAGCTACACAGAGAAACCCTGTCTCGAAAAAACCAAAAAAAAAAAAAAAAAAACAAAAAAAAACAAAACCTGACAAAGCTTACAAAAAGGATTATAGACACACAAAAACAAAATCAAGCCGGGCGGTGGTGGCGCACGCCTTTAATCCCCAGCACTCGGGAGGCAGAGGCAGGCGGATCTCTGTGAGTTCGAGGCCAGCCTGGGCTACAGAGCGAGATCCAGGAAAGGCGCAAAGCTACACAGAGAAACCCCTGTCTCGAAAAACCAAAAAAAAAAAAAAAAACAAAAAAACCAAAATCAAGCACAGCTTCTTGGTAGCTGCTTTTACTTGGGTGGGCTGTTTGCTGGCAGTGAGCTGAGGCACAGCTCCTTTAAGAGAGGGACTTCCTGGCTTGGTACTAGTGCAAAAACAGGCAACTCTTTTGAGAGGCCCTGCTGCCAAACACTTAAATGGTGTTTGTGAGTAGTGGGCAGCACAATATGTGGTGGCAGTGTGGACCCAGAAACTTCCCAGAGTTGGGACAGTAAACATGGCTCCCAGAATTGGCAGTAAACATACCTCCATCATGAGACTATTTCCCACTAGACTCTCAGGGAACCAAGGGGGAGAAGCCAGCACCAGAACACCATGATCTAAGTTTACACAGCAGTTTCTTTCTTTCTTTCTTTCTTTCTTTCTTTCTTTTCTTCTTCTTTCTTTCTTTCTTTCTTTCTTTCTTTCTTTCTTTCTTTCTTTCTTTCTTTCTTTCTTTCCTTCCTTCCTTCCTTCCTTCCTTCCTTCCTCCTTCCTTCCTTCCTTCCTTCCTTCCTTCCTTCCTTCCTTCCTTCCTTCCTTCTTTCTTTCTTTCTTTCTTTCTTTCTTTCTTTCTTTCTTTCCTTTTTCTTGCTCATGCAGACAAAAAAAGGTTACAGCTACATAGTAAGGACAGATTCAGATAGAAAAAAAACCTAAATGGGTTACAGTGTGTTTAAAAAAAAATAGGCTTTGGAGAAGACAAAGAGTATATATAGTCACAGGTTCCTTGGCCTAACCGCGGGCTGTACAACTTCCTGTAGTACCTGCTAATCAGCCAGCTGCAGGGGCCTGGGACCAAAGCGACCTCACCCTTCCTTAGGAATTTTCCATTCTTCTCTCCTTTTGCTTCCCCCCACTCCCCCCTCCCTGCCTGAAGCCCTGCTTATAAGCCTCAATACCCAGTCAATAAACGAGACCTTGACGCGAAAAAAAAAAAAAATATAGAAAAAAATAAGAAAAATATAGATTGAACATAATAAAAGTCCTTAAAAAGGGGGGAGTAAAGTAATATAAAGGAAATAAGCCACCTAAAGATGGAATATACACAGAGAGTCTGGATTATGTATATTATTGTATTGTCTTTAAAATTTTTGGCTGCTTTGGTGCAGGGAGTAGGGGCTTGGATCTGCCTCAACTGAATGTACCAGGCTCTGCTGACTCCCCATGGGAGACCTTGACTTGGAGGAGGTGGGAATGGGGGGATGGTGGTGGAGGGGAAGGCTGGGGGATGGGAAGAGGGAGGAAGGGGGGGGAAAGCATAAAGGCTATTCCACACATGTTCCAGGGATTGTTTGCAAGGAGGTGGATATTTCTTTCTAGAAGTATCCCTAAGTGTCTTTTCAGGGGTCAACTACTACACAATTCTAATAAATAAGAAGCTAAAATAAATGTTCATGAAAAAGGATATTTTTCTTTTCATTATTAGTAAACATACTGTATATTTTCAAAATTGTAACTATGGTATAAATTGTAATTTCTGGTCGTTTGGTTGTTCCTGTTTCTACATTGTTCTTTTTCTCTCTATTTCTTCTGCAACCTTGAAAGCATTTTTGAAAAGGGAACTATGTTTCCATAACTTTGGGGGTTTGTTCTCCAAAATGAGATTTTTCATATATTAAGGGTATGTGTCTACTTTTTCTCTTTCTTTGCTGATGCTTAAGTTTAAATCCTTACTGTTCTTTTCTGGTGAAAGAAATAAATGAATAGTTTTAACTAAAAAAATATTTTTTGGCTGCTAAGAGACCTTGGATTATGGAAACTGCTAGATTAAACCAACCTATATTTTTAAAAATTACCTTGATTTCAAAATTCTAAAGTCAAAAGATATGTCGCTTTGGGAGAGAGATTATGCTTTTGTTTCCACAGGAAATGAGAGGCTATGGATTCATTCCAGGTTAAGGAAAATCAGGTTTGATCGAGGAGGACCTCCTGAAATCCTGGCTACAGACATAAAAAAAATAAACCTACAAAAAAACCCACAAAACACATAATGTATATTTTACCTGTTCAAACATATAACAAAAAATCATCTTTGGCTGACTTGTGTACAATGCACAATCTATACTTGTATTAATACAGGTATGTATATGATGTTACCTTTAAAAGTCTGTGTAGTTTCAGAGCAAGGAAACCAGACACTAATAAAAACTGGATGACCTAGATGACCCAGCATCCAGAACATCTCCAAGGCTGCTGAATGAGATGATCCAGCCTCACAAAATACTATAGTCAGGACTTGACCATAATCTTGAATTTTTCTCAAGGTCCCTCAAAGATTACCAGCACCCCCAACCAACAGGAAGTAGTCTAGAGAACTATGCCCACATTCCCATAAAATGGATTATAGATGTTTGTCTTTGTTTAGGGGGGTTGGTTGCAAATTATTATTGGTCATAGTAAAAAAAAAAACTAACCAAAGGAGTTAGATTTAAAGATCTCTTTCTAAAAGAAAAAAAGGGGATAGGATATAGGAATGATAGGATAAAAGGGTAGATTATTGAATCTACTTTAATCCAAAAAAACAACTTAATTATTAATCTTAAATATTTTACATTGGTATGGATTTTATATTTTAGTTTATTGATACAAATTTAAAGTTAGTTTTGTTATAAAATATGTATATTTCTACTCTTGTTTGGGGTATTGTGCTTATGCATCTCATTTAAAAATGTAATGTATAATTAAGAAATAAAGATTAATAGTCTAATAGCCAAACTAATAGTCACATTAGGTATGTTTTCAAGGTCATACACAGATATATTTAGATAGATGGTCTTCAAACACTTCAAAGACCTACAGAATATGGCATTTAATATGTTTAATAACCTAAGGCTTTTCATGACAGTGAGACACATCTGCTCCTGGAAGCACCAATCTACTTCAGAGAAGTAACTGAAGAAACTCCATATGGAGCTTACTTTCCTTATGGCACAAGTTAGTCATTAGAGCAAGAAACTGCCCTTGCCTCAATTGCTGACAATATACTGTCCAAACTGAACCATCAGGATGCAAGAAAAGTGACTGCCAAACTTTGCCAAGACAAGGTAGGACAGTCCTTCAGAATTCCCTGCTTCTCAGGAAAGTCTGTCAGATATGCTAGGCCTGTAGGCCAGAGGTGGATGCCCCAACATTACAGAGGAACTTTGGGTGACTGTCCAGGCAACAAGATGTCCCTGTTGTTAGGTAACATTTCACCCTTCTGGGGTCTTTGATGGAATTGAAGACAAGATAGTGATAGTTATAGTTTTCCTTAGTTATGAAAAAGGTAAATTAGGTACAAAACTTTGGACTCACAAGATAAGATAGATAATATTTTCTCAAATACAAACAACTGGATATTTAAACTATAATTCTTACTTAATAATTGTTTTGTTTTATATATATATATATAGTTTTACTATGCTAAAAATGTACCTTTTTAATTGGACAAAAGGGGGAAATGCTGTGAAATAATCCTTCTGTACACTGTGAATGTGTATTGATCTCATTGGTTAATAAAAAGCTGACAGGTTGTAGCTGGGCAGGAAGTATAGGCCGGACAGCCAGACACAGAAGATTCTGGGAGGAGGAAGGGCAGAGTCAGGAGAGACACCAGCCATCTACCATGCAAATAGGACATGTAGAAAATGAGGTAACAAGCCATAAGCCATGTGGCAAAGCATAGATAGAAATATGGGTTAATTTAAATGTAAGAGCTAGCTAGTACCAAGCCTGAGCTATTCACTGAGCATTTATAAATAATACTAAGTCTCTGTGTGGTAATTTGGAAGAAGCTACTGAGACAGGGAGCAGGAGGTCAGGACAGAGAAATGTCTGACTACAGTAGTCTCTCACTGAAGGAAGCCAGAACAGGAACTCAGACAGGGCAGGAACCTGGAGGCAGGAACTGATATAGAAGCCATGAAGGAGTGCTGCTTACTGGCTTGCTCCCCATGGCTTGCTCATCCTGTTTTCTTATAGAACCCAGGACCACCAGCTCAGGGATGGTACCATCCACAATGGGCTGCTCCCCCCACTGCCCCATTAATCACTAATTAAGAAAATGCCTGAGATGGATCTCTGTGAGTTTGAGGCCAGCCTGGTCTACAGAGTGAGTTCCAGGACAACTAGAGCTACATATTGAGACCCTGTTGAGAGAGAGAGAGAGAGAGAGAAAGTACACAAGTGAGCCTGGTCTTATGGAGACATTTTCTCAGTTGAGGTTCTCTCTCCTTTCAGATAACTCTAGTTGTGTCAAGCTGACATAAAACTATCCAACGCAGAATATATTTTGTCATGGGAACTTTTAATTATGTTTTATTTATATAAAAACTTCTTTCATACAATCACCGTTAAGGCAAAGAATAGCTTTAAACTACTATAGAGTTTAACTTTGTTAACAATAGTTATTTTTTACAAATGTGAATTTGTTAAAAAATAATGTCTACTTACCATCTATTTCTAACTACTTTGGTAGTTTCATCATCAATGTTCAATGTAGAAATGTAAGCATAGAGGATGCCATAGAAAGGATCAGCTTTTCCTTCATTTCTCAGAGCTTTTACTTTCAACTGTTCCACTGTATAGACATCAACTACTGAGTTTACTAAAAATAAAAACAAGTATTACAATTCTATATATGTTCTCAGATAGGGCAAAGGCTTATGTCCCAATAGGAAAACAATGAAATACATGGAAGACATTTAAGTAGCTAAGACAACAGAATGACACTCTATTAGCTATTTAAATGTGATTAAACAGCAGATATGAACATCACAAAATAAGAAGAATGAGAAATTAAGGCTTCATTGAATGAAGAATTTCTAATTATCAAGTGATAGCATTAAAAAGATAAGAAGAGAGAAGCCATGCTGGCCACTAGAACTCTAGATTAGTGGTCTCGCCCAATCATCATCTGATGGGAGCAGATGCAATACCCCCACCCAAACCATAGGCAGAGCTCTGGGAGCCCTGCAGAAGAGGAAACAAGGACTGTAGGAGCCAGAGGGGTTGAGGAGACCAGGAGAACATGGCCCACAGAATAAACTAAGCAGGGCTCATAGGAGCTCACAGAGACTGAAGCCTGCATGGGTCTATACTAGGTCCTTTGCATACATGCTGTGGTTGTTTTGCTTGGGGTGTTTGTGGGAGTCCTAAGTCTGAGAGTGGGAGTGTCTGAGTCTTTTGCCTTCTCTTGGGACCCTTTTCCTCCCACTGGATTGCCTCATTCAGCCTTGATATGACATGAGGGTTTGTGCCTAGCCTTATTGCATCATGTTATGCCATTTTCAGTTGATATCACTGGGAAGCCTGCTCTTTTCTGAAAGAAAACATAGGAGCAGTCGATCTGGGGGGAAGGAAAGGTGGGGGGCAGAAAAAAAATTTAAAAAGCTAAGCCAGGTGGTGGTGGTGCACACCTTTAATTCTAGCACTGGGGAAGCAGAGGCAGGCGTATCTCTGTGAGTTCAAGGCCAGCCTGGTCTACAAAGTGAGTTCCAGGACAGCCAGGGCTGTTACACAGAGAAATCCTGTCTCAAAAAAAATGCTAAGAAGAATAGGGCATGGAGACTCATCCAGAACATCTGGATTATGTATATACATATATACAAATATGGGTTGAACTCAGGGTCTCAGGGTCTCATGAATACAATACTTTTTGCCAAACTCTGTGAGCATTGTACTTGCCTGAGGAAAGAATCATTAGGTCTCTCAGATTGGTTAATTTTTTAAATTTTATTTGCATTGGTGTTCTGCCTGCATGTATGCCCCTATGAGGGGTCAGATCTTGGAGTTATAGACAGTTGTCAGCTGCCATGTGGGTGCTGGGAACTGAACCCGGGTCCTCTGGAAGAACAATCAGTTCTCTCAACCACTAAGCCATCTTTTCAGCCCCAAGATTGGCTAGTATTAATATAAGCTCCTCCATTAAAAAAATTAAGGGCTAGAGAGATGATTCAGTGGTTAAGAGTATTACCTGCTTTTGTAGAAGACCTAGGTTCAATTCTCGGTTATCCACATGGTTGCTCACAACCATCTGTAACTCCAGTTCTAGGGGATTCAACAGCCTCTTGTGGCTTCTGAGGCTATACATGGTACACAGACATACATGCAGATAAAATTGCTATGCATATAAAATAAATAAAAAAATTTAAAGCCAGGTGTGGTGACTGACACTTTTAATCCCAGCACTAGGGAGGCAGAGGCAGACAGATATCAACCTGGTATATGTAGTGAGTTACAGGCCAGTCAAGGTTACATAGAAAGACCCTGTCTCAGAAAAATAAATTAAAACAAAATAAATCAAAAGAGGAGCTAGGAATACAACTCAATGAAACAACATTTGCTTAGAATGCATGAGGTCCTGGTTTGACCCCCCAACAATGAAAACTAATCTCTCTCTCTCTCTCAATCTCTCTTTCTCATCTAGAAGGTCACTTACAGTTTATGGATTCTCTCAAGTAACTGTCAATTTCATCAGCCACATCTGTTTCTTTATTTTCTCTTATATAATTCAGCAGGATATTGGCTTCTGGTGTATCTTAAATTGAAAATGCATAATAAGGAAAAAGCCAAATAATTATCTTTTAAATTACTACAAATTTAAATTTAGCATTTAAATTAAAATTATCTTAAGTGTAACACACAATACTACATAAGATCATAATCCAACAGACTTATTATTAAGCCATTAACACTGTGAGGCAAAGTGAATCAATATGGAAAGATGTTGCAGCTGTTGCTAGTGAAAATGTGCTATAAGACTCTTTTCTGTTTTGTTTGGTTTTTCAAGACAGGGTTTCTCTGTGTAGCCTTGGCTGTCCTGGCCCTCACTCTGAAGACCAGGCTGCTTTGAACTCGCAGAGATCTGCCTGCCTCTGCCTTTTGAGTGCTGGGATTAAAGGTGTGTGCCGCCGCCGCCGCCGCCGCCGCCGCCGCCGCCGCCGCCGCCGCCGCCGCCGCCGCCGCCGCCGCCCGCCGCCGCCGCCACCCAGACTCTTTTAAACTGAAAAATGTGAATGTATAAAAGTATCTGGAGGAATAGACATGCAAAATTATTTCTAGGTGTGTGTGTGTGTGTGTGTGTGTGTGTGTGTGTGTGTGTGTGTGTGTGTGTGTGTGTGTGTGACATGATGGGGGACACATATGCCACTATGTTCATGTAGAAATTAGAGGACAACTTTCCTGAGTCAATCCTCCCCTACTTATACACAGGTTCCAAAGAATGAACTCAGGCTACCAGATATGACCAGCAAGATTTTCTGAATATTATATTCATTTCTTTTCTCTTTTTTTATTTACTTTTAAAAGTTGTATTTGTTATCCAGGCAGTGGGTACGCACATCTTTAATCCCAGCACTCAGGAGGCAGAGGCAGGTGGAGCTCTATGAGTTTGAGGCCAGCCTGGTCTACAGAGTGAGTTCCAGGACAGTCAAGGTTACACAAAGAAACCCTGTTTTAACCACCCACAAATGTATTTGTTTGTGTTGAGGAAAGATACAGGTAGCTCAGGCCGATCCAAACTCAGAATCTTCATGTGTCAGACTTCCAAGTGTTGGGATTATAGACACACACGATAATGGCTAGCTTATTTTTTTTGTTGTTGTTGTTAGTTTTGTGTTTTTGTTTTGTTTTGTTTTTTTCAAGACAGGGTCTCACTTGTGGCTTCAAATTCAGACAACTGCCTGCCTCTGCCTCTCAAGTGCTGGAATTAAAGGTGTGAAGCATCAGGCCTGGCTCCATGGCTAGCTTTAAAAATGTCTTTAATGTTATTTTAAAGCTTTGTTCCTCAAATTAAAATATGAGTTTTCTCAGGAGTAGTTAGGTGGCCTGCCATAAGGCAAGAAAATCATTTTGAAAGGGTCTTCACAGGATTCTAATGCCCATCGGTCCCAAGACCCCAGCCTCCAACACAACTCTTAGTTGCAGAATCCCACTTGAACATTCCACTATTGTGCTGACAGTGCCTAGACTCCTCTAACTCCCTCGGGCAGATGTAGGAGTTTTTTCCTCCTGCTTCCATTACATATGTCCTACCACTATTCTTTCTCAAACCGAGGGTATATTTCTCATGAACAAGGGTTGTGCTCTTTCATAGTGTATACCAATGTCCAACACCATGACTATCCTTACATCCATCTGACCTTCCACTGCCTCCTGTCTTGTCCTAAAAAAGACTGAAGTTATATACATAGTTGGTGCATAAAAAGCATTCTATGAGTATTTGTGAATTAATGGGTGAATGAATGAATGTTTTAAAGTCCTACTAGAACTGCTAGACATTGAAGGGGAGCAATTGCTAAGAGAGCTGCAGCAGTCAAATCAATGGACACCTCAAAGAGCATGGCTCAGACTGTCCATAGGGAAGACAGAATTCCCTCCCACTCTAATGAATACTCTCAAGGCAGGAAAACCACAAGGAAAAAGGTAACATGTTTTCTGTGATAAATACCTAAGCCATTTCTACAAGGTAGGTAGGTGTGGCCCAGGAAATTAAAATATGTCTGATTTAAAACAACCAGCCAAGTTTAAACACCTTTATAAATAGCCTGCTAAATTTACATCCTTGACAATGTAAATTCAAGAACTGTGTTGTACAACATAGTGTCTATAGCTAATAATATCACATAACAGGATAGTGGGCTACATTCAATTCTTAAGAAAGATTTCTTTGTACACACCTTCAATGCTAGCACTTGGGAAGCAGAGGCAGCAAACCTTTGTGAGTTCCGGGCCATTGAGTGCTACACAGTAAGACCTTGTCTCAAAAAAAATAAGATTTTTAATTATATGCACATATATGTGTCAGTGCAGGGTATAACATATGTGTGTAGGTGCCCACAGAGGTCAGAAAAGGGTATCACATCCCCTAGAAGTTGCAGGTGGTTGTGAGCTGCCTGATGTGGGTGCTGGGAACTAAACTCAGCAGCACATTCTCTTCACTGCTGAGCCTCAGGCTGCATTCCTAAAGAGCACTAAGAATGTATTTTGTATTTTACCACACAAAGGTGAATATTGCGTCGTGGTTTGGATATAAAATGGCCCCAAAGCTTCATTTGTTGTATGATTAGTCCCAGGCTGGCGACATTATTGAGAGGTGATTAGTTCATAAGAGCCCTGACCTCATCAATTCATTCATCTATTGATGAACTCCTAGCTAAATGGCTATCAGGAGGCGGGGCCTGGTTAGAGGAAATCATTAGGGATGAGTTTCCCACTTACCTCAACCCTCCTCAGCTACCATTAAGTGAAAAGCTTTTTAAAATGTAACCTGCAGTTTGGTTCTTAAATACATTGTACAAATATTGGCTATGTTCATGACCACTTCCAAAAGAATGAAAAACAGAAAGCATTTTACCTGGATTAGTTGTGATAATGGTTTTTGAGATTACTGTTGCTGCCATGCAGTTCTGAAATTTGTTAAAATTTATTCTTACATCTGAGGCAAATATTACTGTTTGGGGGGAAGCCATCAATTTTTAAAGTTAATATATGAGGGATGAAAATGATAAATATTTTCAACACAATCTTAAAATTATAAGACCTGTTTCTCTTGGCATCCAGCTCTGTGCAAGTAGAATGGATTCATTATCCCAACTGCATTTGTTTAAAAAGAAGTGAAACAAAGTGAATGCATTAGAAAAATCTGACTGTGACATATTTACACCTCCCCTCAAAAGAACCCCCAAAACAGAAAAATGAAAACTGTCTTAGTGACTGGGGTTAACAATTTCCAGGTAATCAAAGAGGTTAAGACTTCATACTTTAAATTTTCTAATTTATTACTACTGTGTGTACATGTGTGCACACACATGCTCACATCTTCCCACTCAAGCCACAACATATTCATGGAGGTCAGAGGACAGCTTCATGGAGTCAGTTTTCTCCTTCTGCCTTTATGTGGATTCTGGGGATCAAACTTGGGTTGCCAGGTTTGCTTGGAAAGTGTCTTTACTGGCCAAGTCATCCCTGAGGCCCAAGACATCATCCTTAACATCTATGCAAAAAGTTGGTTTTCAGCATGTACTAATCTCTAACATCTACTCCACAAGTCCTTTATTTGCCCAGCACTTGGTTACTTAGAACTGAATGATTCAAGGCCTAAAATCTTCAAAGTCAAGTCTTCTAATCATTACAGTTGTGTCTCCCAAACGGATACATAGCTCAGAGGACTTGATAGGTAATGGTACTTGCAGGCAGAGGCATCAGGAGTCATAATCTTCAAGACTTTAGAGTATAGCCTATTCTCCAGGGTACCAGTGAATCTCAAAAAGTTTGACTTATTTCTCATCAGTGGACCCCAATAAAGCAATACTATTTGTTATGAAGCAGAATAATAAAACTTGTCACAGTGGAGTACCTCTAAGTGAATCTATGCCATCTAAGGTTGCATACAGAAAAATCTCAGCCTTCAAGAAAGAAGTTTGCTTTTTCAAGTGTTGCTCATCTCTTATTATTATACCTCTTGATACAACATTTTTTTATATATATAAAATGAAAGTTTTCTGTCTCAGTGATAAGAACAGGATGTTGCAGTTAGTGACAGATGTGGAAGATTACCATGTCATTGTGAAAGAAGGCTCTGTTTCATCGAAGAGTTTAACTTCACACCTCTGGCCTTTTCTTCGGTCTGAAGTTGTAAAGTATTTTGGCTCTCCAACCTTAGAAATTGAAGGAAAGTATTGTTCCTCTCCTACAGATGTGAAGGTACTTAAATATAATCAAATAGTTTCCCTTTGACCATGAAATTCTAAATATTAACAAGGAAAGAATCATTAATAAATATCTGATTATCTGAATGTACTTTCCGCCTAAACTAGGTGTACTTAGCAAGCCTTGTAAATTTGGACACTTTGAAGAGAGAATACAGAGGTCTGTGCTCAAAAGTAGACGAATAAAAATGATTTGTCAAGATACCAGGAGAGCCAGGTAGAGTGGTAGACAACTATCATTCCAGCACTTGGAAGACTGAGGCAGGATTGTCATTCAGTTCAAGGCCAGCCTGAGCTACATAGCAAGGTACTGATTCTAATACATAAAGTCGGTGTAGTAGTGCAAACCTTTACTCCCAGCACTGGAGAGACAGAAACAGGTGGATCTTTGTGAGTTCAAGGCCAGCCTGATCTACATAGCAAGTTCTAGGACAGCCAGGGCTACACAGAGAGAATCTGTCTAAAAACAAAACAAAACAAAACAAAAAACCCAAACAAAGAAACAAACAAAAAACCCTAACTAACTAGCTAACTAAATGAATGAATAAATGAGAGAGAGAGAGAGAGAGAGAGAGAGAGAGAGAGAGAGAGAGAGAGAGAGAGAGAGAGAGAAGGTATCTCTGGTGGCCTCATGGGAAGGTCCAAAAAATAGTCATTTGACCCACTTCTAAGCTACTATCACTGCTGCACTTATGGGCTAGACTGAGCACTGTGGGAAATATCTGAAGAAAAATGCAAAGGCTCCATGAAACAGGATCTTCAAAAGAAGGTCAGAAGAAACATAAGGCCAGAGGATAGGAGAGGTCAGCCATAACAAGGGAGTAAGTAAAATACTGACGTTGGGGTTGACAAGTCAAATGGGGAACTAAAAGGTATAAAAGGGGTGATATGACGTACAAAAGAGGGTGCCATGCTCATGGGGGTGAGGGGAGCTGTTTCGAGGTTTTACATGCAAATGATAACATTATTAAAGGACTTCGAGGAAACAACTAATGGTTGTCTGAAATGGCCCAGAGAGTGATTTTGCCTAAATTTCAAGATTGTCCTATAGAGTATCAGATTCTCTATCCTAAACAACAATTTTCTGCATGTGCTATATTTTTGTGACGGTTTACTTTTTGGGGGTGGGGATTGGGGGTACATGGAGCCACACTCCCAGCCCTTCAAAGTATACTTTTGAGGTCCACCTTTAAATTTTCTATAGTGCCTTTGTCTGTTCAACTCTAAACTCAGAGCTTGTCACAGTTACTGAGACAGATGCTGATGTGACAGAAGTTGTGGTAACTCCTGACTTGTGTGGGTACTGTGCTCTGCTTCTCACCAGCACCTTACCACAGCAGCTCCCACTGCAGTCTCCTAGGTCTTCTCCCACCCTCCTCCAACTGAGCCACTCTGAGAACACACATACACAGGTGATTCCTTGACTTGTTTGAAGAACATTATGGCTGTTCATGTCAATAAGTTTATCTTTTTCATTTATGTCTTTGTTTAACCCAGTATACAAAACTTTCATATACCTAATGGATCACTCATAAATATAATAGTGCATGTTGCAATTAGCAATCAAGTATGATTTTATTTTTTTAGTGATCCACAGATAAAATGCTAATTTCCTTATAATGAGAAATGTTATTTTCTTAATTCAACTTACTACCAAGGTAAAGAGAAAAAATTGTCCCATCTGGTGCTTACCACATTCTAAACATAAATCAGGTGACAGAGTGCCCTGCCAAAATGCAGGGAGCTTTGCTAAGGTTTCAACTTAGTGATTTTCTGACTTACCAATCTCACAGCTGCAAGCACATTAATAATCCTCCCATCAAGACTGTGTCCATTTGCAACAATGTCAGTCAAGGAGTAATAATCTCGAGATTCTTTAACAGGCAAGTGTATCAAAGAAAGTAACTTGGTATCCACTTCATAAGGGGAACAAACTTTCACCATTGAGTGATTCTCACTGAGCAATAGTTTCCAGTTGCTAAATGAGAAAAACACAAAAAGCGAGCACATTATTGTTAATTAAAACAATACTTTGGTTCACATTAAATTATATAGCTAGGTGTGGGAGCCCACATTTGTAATCCCAGCATTTGGGAAGCAGATCTAATTTGCAGAAGGACTAACACATGTTCAAGGCCACCAAGGTATAGGTAGGGAATTCCAGGCCAGTCTGAATTGTAAAAGCAGACCCTGTCTTAAAAAAATAAAACAAAAACTACATTCAGTTACTTCTGTTAGAATTTAGAGTGCACTAAGAAAGTTGTATTTTTACCATTAAATTTTTGTGAGGTTTTTATTTTATGTGTAAGAATGTTTTACCTAGGGGCTGGAGATATGGCTCAGAGGTTAAGAGCACTGGCTGCTCTTCCAGTGGTCCTGAGTTCAATTCCCAGCAACCACATGGTGGCTCACAACCATCTGTAATGAGAGATCTGGTGCCCTCTTCTGGCCTGCAGGGATACATGCTTTATACATAATAAATAAATAAATCTTAAAAAAAATGTTTTACCTAAATCTGTGTCTGTGAACTATGTGCACGCAGTGCCTGTAGAGTCTAGAAGAGAGGTCAGATCCCTTGAGACTGGAGTTACAGATGGTGTGAGTCACCATGTGGGTGCTGGGAATTGAACTCAAAGCCTCAGGAAGAGCTGAGCCATCTCTCCAGCCCCTAGATTTTTACTCCTAAAAACATCAAATAATACTATAAAATATTTTCTATATAATTCATTTTTATATCAGTCTTTAAATATTTCTTCAGTGAAATAATGTTCTTTTAATTAAGAACATACATTTGAGAATTATTTTTTTCTGTGAGTTCTAATCATACTAGTTGTAGGACCTTGCCCAAGACTTGAAACTGCAGTTCCCTTTTCTGTTAAACAGGATAAAAACTACTCTAAAGCTTAAGATTATAAAAGCATGAGGTTTCATTTTTTAAAAGATTTATTTAATGTCTGCATTCTTCCCTCTGCATGTATGTCTGTGTATCACATGTGTGCCTTGTACCAGTAGAATTCAGAAGAGGGTATCAGATCCTCTGGAAGTGGAGTTAAATGGCTGTGAGCCCCAGTGTGGGTTCTAGGAACTGAACTCAGGTCTTCTGAAAGAGCAACCAGTGCCCTTAACCACTGAGCCATCTCTCTAGCCCCATATCAAGCCCTTGACCTGGATATAATTAACGCCATGCTCTAACCAACTGAACTAACTGGCCAGCCATCATTATTTCTTTTATGACTCTGATTGCTTTACCTAAGTACCTGGGGTCAAGAATTCCGTTTTGCTTACTTCTGTAGTGCTATATGTGAAGTAGATTTAGAACTCTCACAATGTAGTGGACCTGGGGTTCCCATTTCCCTGTATCAAGCTCCTTTCACAAGTCTTGACAAACCCTCCTCCACAGAACTCTGGTCCAGTCCCTCCTTCCTACTTTGACTTAGTCATTCACACTATCACTTCTCCAAATCATTGCCCTTGTCTCCTGACTCATCTCCTCTGTGACTCACCCTCCACACTACAGTCAAATTGATCTTCCTAAACTACAGAATAGGACATTATTCCCCAGATAAAAGACTTTCTGTTCCTACTCATCCCTAAGAAGTGAATTTCATCTGAGAAGTATCTCTGCTTCTCCCTTTCCTCACCCACTCTGTATTCCACCTATGCCAGATTATTAGCTATGAAACTTCTATTTTAGGTGAAAATGTGTTGAATGCCAGCAGTTTCCTATTGCCCAACCTAAAAGTTAATTATTCTGGATATTCTGGAAAATGCCAGGAGGTTTCACATTTGTTGGGTCTGCCAAGCATGTCCCTCCAACCTCCCATACATATTTACTAAGAATCGATTGTGTGCCTTTCTCTAATCTAGGACTGGGGAGAACAGTATACAAGATACACTCGATCTCATGAAGCTCATATATGTGAGCAGGGATCATAAGAACAACAAATCAAACCATCTCAGAGTGTGATCTGGATTACAATGCTAAGAGTGGGGAGGAAAGTCTTGGTGAGTTACTGAAAGGGCTTCTATGCATGAGAGGGTCAAATGAGGTAACATTCCAGATGAGACACTGATAACCCAAAGAAGCAAATATTCAAGTAGATAGGAGAACATTCTCTGCAGAGGGACAAGAAAGCTGAGCGGATCTTGGTGCAGTGAGTCCAGGTGTTCATGGAAAGGACAATCCTCAGTGGCTGCAGAGACAAGCATGAGTGGAGGTCAGAAGAGCAGGTGCCTGTGCCATAGCCTGCCATACTCAGCCGGAGTCATTTATAGAGCAGCATGGAGTTAGCTGGCACAGGATCACCTTGGAGTGAGGCTTCCTCCTGACTCCCTACCCCAGCATTATTTGGAAGGGCTGATGAGGGATGGACTGTAGGTAATGGATAATTCAGGGTACAAAATCTCTGACCCTCCCCATAGGGTCCTGCTCCGAGGGGACAGGCACACTCCTGAGCTTTCTCCTGAGTTCCAGCTGCAGCTCCCCACCCAGCCCCATTCTTGCAGGGTTCTCCTGAGAGCCCTCCCTCAATAGGCCACTTGTAAAGAATCTTCCTCTCAAGTTCTCCTTCCAGGAAACCTGGCCTAAGATAAAGGAGGGCGTGTGAGTAGAATGAGAGCCTGATACGATATTATATATATTCTAGCATTTAGCATTTATCATCTCCTGTTTAGTGATTTTTTTTAAAGATTTATTTTTATTTGTATGTATGTGCTTTTGTCTGTGGGAGTATATTTATGTGTTTGTAGAGTCCACAGAGGTCAGAAGCGGGCATCAGCTTCCCCAGAGCTAGAAGTACAGACTGCTGTGAGCTGCCTAATGTGAACGCAGGTCCTCTGCAAGAGCAGCAAGTGCTCTTAAGTGCTGAGCCATCTCTCCAGCCCCTCCAATTGTTTAGTTTAAATTGTAACTGGAGTCTTGTTTTTACAAATCTAAGCACGATACTCCATATCTGAAAATTCTGCATTCACAAACCCACACAATCATGTATCAAATATTTCAGAAAAAAATAAAATACTATAACTAATATAAATAAAAATACACTGTAACTACTCACATAGCCCTTAAAGGACATTAGGTGTTATAGGTAGAGATGATTTCAGCTATAGAGGAGGATGTATTTAAGCTGTGTGCAAGGGATTTGAGCACCCATGGATTTTGGTAGCCTCAGGAGACTTTTGATTTGATCAAGATAAAATTAGCTTTTGTGATTATAAAAATTATAAATTATGTCATTTATCTTAAGGATAAATATTCTAAGTGAGAATTCAACTCATTTTTGAAATTGAAATAAAGTAACTTCCAAAGATTTCTGCTTCTCTACAAAATTACTAATATTAAATAACTGAAAAAATAACTTTTCCACAAAATTATTAATATTATGATTCTAGCACAAAGATTGTTGCTCTCTGGACTGGAAAGATATTACCTAGGAGTTGCAGGGCTGAACTTTTCTTCTCTTTCTGTCTCCTTTCTTTGGATCAGGGGATTTTCAATTATCACTAAAACAGAGGGTAAAGTATGGTACCATCACAAAATCATCAGAAGATTAATGAGAGCTAAGTGGGCACAACAGTGACCCTCAAACCGTGGTTCCATCCTCCACAGGCATCTTCTCATGTCACTAGGAGAAAAGGGCTCCTGGAATGTAGTCATCAATTCAGCCCTACATAACATTTCCAGGGCTTTGTGTCTTAAGTCCGAACAGATGACCCATACTAATATTACTTTATTGATTTTCTTGTATCCAACATTTGATTTGGTTACAACATGCCCTTCAAGAAAACAAATGTTTACTTGACCTTTACTCCACATCTAACTTCACAAACAATCCTTTATTTTATTTATCCTCACAACTGTCAACCTGTAACATTTAATAGGGAAATTCCTCTCTCTAGACATGGGTGTTCATTCATTCAAGGAATTATAACTGTACTAGGCCCATGAAGTTTTTCAAAGTTTTCTGTCTTCATAGTTCACACATTCGACATTATTCAACTCAGGAGAGACTGTCCATATCCCTGGAACACACATGGTTAAGTGCATAGAGTTGAGCACCCCTTAACTGATGTGTGTAATGTGTGTTTGGTCCTGCAGCACTGGAAAAGAATGCCTTGATTACTGTATCGCTCTTCCCTCCCCTTTTCCGGACAAACAGGAGAACTGGAGCACAGGCTTTCTTATTTCTCGTCTGGGCTGGACTTGTCATCTGTCAAGTGGTGAAGTTTATCCTCGTCCCCTTCCTTAACATTCCCAACAAACTAATGGGTGTTATTTAATGAGACCCAACAAAATCTTGTTCCCAAAGCTACAGTATAGATAACTATTGGCCCAGGATATGTCTATAGAAAGATATGTGATTATAATAATTATTATGGGATTGAGGCAAGTTGGAATGTGAAATAATCAAATGATGGCAAAATATCATCTAGTAAAAGTATCACTTACCATGTACCAGGAAACATTCAGAAAGCATGCCTTCTAACACTGGCTTTTTCTGATAAGGATCAGAATAACAATTTTACTTTTCTGTGACTCCACTCAGCCACAAACTTACCGCAAGAATAATACTGTAAGAGGAACATTTTTTTTTTTTTTTGGTTTTTCGAGACAGGGTTTCTCTGTGTAGCTTTGCGCCTCTCCTGGAATTCACTTGGTAGCCCAGGCTGGCCTCGAACTCACAGAGATCCGCCTGGCTCTGCCTCCCAAGTGCTGGGATTAAAGGCGTGCGCCACCACCGCCCAGCAAGAGGAACATTTTTAAAGTGCTGCTGGGCATGGTAGCAGAGGCCTGTGATCTCAGCATTGGGAGGCTGAGGCAAGAGAACTGCCTCTTGTTCAAAGTAAGTGACCGAGGGAGTTTCATTCTCTCTCTCTCTCTCTCCCCCTTCTCCCCTCTCCCACCCCTGCTGGTTTTTTGAGAGAGGGTCTCATTGTGTAACAGCGGCTGGCTTGAACCTTGTTATGTAGACCAGGCTGGCCTCAAACTCATAGAGATCCACCTGCCTCTGTCTCTCAAGTGCTGAGATTTAAGATGTGTACCACCATGCACAGAAAAACTTTCTCTTAAAACCCAACCAAACAAAAACTAATGCCTACTTACCACACTCACCAACCTTAAAGCTCTCAGAGAGTGGCCTGATATAATCTTCACTGCCCCAGGAGGATACATTCACAAAATGGTCTGGGGAGTCACGGATGGTGAAACTGAAAGTGTATCTTTCTGATCCAATATCTGAGGAAAAACCAATGCTTTAATATTTCAGGTAAATGTGACTTTGAAAAAATGATTACCCAACAAAATAATAATGATGATGGTGATAAAATATTTAAAATGGTAGAAAATGTTATTTCCTAGATATAGTCCCTGCTTTATTTAGTTTAGTTTTTGTTTGTGAGACAGGGTAGAGCAGACTGGTCTTGGACTTTTGGTGATCTTCTTGATTACTTAGTCATCCCCTAATGTACATTCTATACTACACTATGCTTTCATGCATTTCCAAGTACAGTGTAATAAGCAGCCATGGTAGTTAGATCTCACTATGGCCCTTTTTCTTCCCATACTTGTGTATTCAAAAGAAAGTGACATGCAGACCTGAACGGTCCAGATGTTAGCTTAGATTTCCTGTTTTTCAACTATTATAGTCACAAAACCCTAATTGAGTATTATTTCACAGGGGAGGCCCAACAAGATTAGGAAAAACTTTAACCAAAGTCGTAAATCATACCTAAACAGTTGTTTCAAAACAATCTGTGTGCAACTAAAGTACCACTAGAGGGCAGCAAGTACATTTTTTTTTTTACAGAGTGGGATTTTTTTTCTGTTGCTTTTGGTAATTTAAAAAGTAATATAAGAGGGATTAGAGAGATGGCTCAGCAGTTAAGGGCTCAGTTCTCAACAACCACCTGCAATTCAGTCTCCAGGGGATCTGATACCTGGGTTTAATTTCCAGGACCCACATGGGGACTCATAACCAACTCTAACTACAGTCCCAGGGCATTGGACATCCTCTTCTGGTTCTGAAGGTACCAGGCACATGCAGACAAAACACTCAAACACATAAGACAAATAAAAATTTAAAAACAAAATAAAACCTAAATCTGCCACTGCCCTCCAAGTGCCGGAATTACAGACATTCGCCACCAAGAGCAAGTTTTCTGTGCTACTGTTGTTATTCCATGTGACCATTGTCCTCTCAGCTGTGTCCCTCTGCCATCTCTACCCAATGTGGAGATGACCCACAGGTCCACTGTACACAGTGTCATTAGAAGCATTTGAACTGGCCGTGCGTAGAGGCACACTTCTTTAACCCCAGCACCTGGAAGGCAGAGGCAGGAGGATCTCTGTGAGTTTGAGACCAGCCTGGTCTACAGAGTGAGTTCCAGGACAGCCAGGGCTACCTATGTGAGACCGTGTCTCAGAATAAAAAAAGAATCATTTAACTTTTGTGTCTGCTGGAGTCCTTCTTCATGGGTGAATGTAGGAAAGATCTTAGATCACTTAGTGACTAAGACCAGTAAATCTAGTTCCAAGTTCATACTCTTAGACACCATTGTATCTGGTAATATGAAACTACAAATTAATGAATTGGTAAATTTAATTAACTATATTGCTAAAGCCTTTAAAATATAGTTGGAGAATATCACACTATATCATTGAAAATATTATCTGTCTTTATACATACACAGCCTTGAATTGAGTATGACCATACATGTAGAAGGCCTGGCCTTAAACACACTAGAAAATATAGCCAGTTAAACATACTTTGTAGCAGTCATATGCGGTACTTAATGAAAAAAATTAAGAAAGAGTTAAATAGAACTCAGCTTTTTCTGTCTGGAAAGCCTTTGACATCTGTTTTCCCAATAACTATACCGATTATTTTCTGAAAAACAAAAGAGTAGAGAAGACCAATATTAAACACAGATGTAGATGGTAAATTTAATTTCATGGACTTGTTATATTTTACCAGCTCTAACAAACATTTTTTGACTAGGAAATATTTAAATGCATTTATTCCAGACAAACATCTAACAATCTTCACAAACATTCAATTCTCCAAGGAATAGTACAAAGTAATGAGAGAGTTAGCTGCTATTATAAATATAATCATTTACTTAATGTTTCTACTTTATTTTCAATCACTAGAGGGAGCTATCAATCTTTACTGAATTCATCCAAACACATGTATAATGCAATTTAAAGCTTTCCTTTGCATAGGGCTTTCTAACATAAAACTGCTTAGCTGCTGCTTCTTCTCTTTTCTCTCTCTCTCTCTCTCTTTCTTTCTTTCTTTTTTTAAAAAGATTTATTTATTATGTATACAGAAGAGGGTGCCAGATCTCGTTACAGATGGTTGTGAGCCACTATGTGGGTGCTGGGAATTGAACTCAGGACCTCTGGAAGAGCATTCGGTGCTCTTAACCTCTGAGCCATCTCTCCAGCCCCTTTCTTTCTTTCTTTTTCTTTCTTTCTTTCTTTCTTTCTTTCTTTCTTTCTTTCTTTCTTTCTTTCTCTCTCTCTCTCTCTCTCTCTCTCTCTCTCTCTCTCTCTCTCTCTCTCTCTCTCCCTCCCTCCCTCCCTCCCTCCCTCCCTCCCTCCCTCCCTCCTTCCTTCCTTCCTTTCTTTCCTTTTTGTTTTTCTTTTCAAGACAGAGTTTTTCTGTGTAGCCCTGGCTGTCCTGGAACTCACTATGTAGACCAGGCTGGCTTCAAACTCACAGAGATCCACCTGCCTCTGCCTCCTGAGTTCTGGGATTAAAGGCATGCGCCACCACTACCTGCCTGCTTAGCTTCTTATTCCAAATATGTTGGGCAATAATATAGACTGTAACAAACTTAGATATTGCCACTAACTTAAATCTTAAAGTTCTAGACCTTAAATCTTGGAGATACTAATGTCTCCTCAAAGTTTTAACGTTCTCTTCAGTGAATGCCAAAGAAAAATTAAATATTCCCGGGTGGCAGTGGTGCATGCCTTTAATCCCAGCACTTGGGAGGCAGAGGCAGGTGAATCTGCCTTGGAAGCCAGCATGGTCTACACAAACAAACCCTGCCTAGAAAAACAAAACAAAAAAAAGAAAAGAAAAATTAAATATTAAAAAACATGCTTTAAGAAATAAAAGTAGCCTAGAAAAACAGAAAAGAAATAAAAGTATCTTTCTGAAAGGAAAAAAATTAAACTTTAATGAAGAATCCTAGCAACTGTTTTCAACCTTGCAATAATTTGTGATATTTAAAATACAGTCAGGGGGACTGGAGAGAGAATCAGCCATGAAGAGCACATGCTGCTCTTGAAGAAGATATGTTCCGTTCGCAGCACCCACATGGTGGCTAACAACTGTCTGTAACTCTAGTTCCAGAGGATCTGATCCCTTCTTCTGACCTCCACAAGCACTGCATACATGTGGTACACAGGCATACATTCAGGCAAAAACACCCATAGGCATAAAATAAAAATAAGTCAAATACACTCGGACTTTAAGATTATCACATTCCAGCTGAACAGTTGGCCATGTTATCATATTTACACATTGATATTATTTCTTAAATTCCATATACATGCACATCTTACTGAATTTTGTTGGAGAAACATACTAATAGAAAACTTGAATAAAACTTTTTAATTGGGGCTGGAGAGTTGGCTCAGTGGGTAAGAGCATTGGCTGTATTTCCAGAGGACCTGGGTTCAATTCCCAACACCCATATGGTGTCTTACAACCATTTGTATGTAATTCCAGTTACAAAATATCCAATGTCCTCTTTCGGCATCTGTAGGCACCAGGAACTCATGTGGTCCACAGACATACATGCAGGCAAAGTATCTGTGCACATAAAAATAAATAAAAGTCCAAAAAACTTTCTAACATTTTGAAAAAACAATTAGCAAATAGTTTCAAGGAAAACTATAAGTTTTTTTACATCAATAAACTTTGCATTGCAAAGTGTTAGTGTTACATATAAGTTTATTAATTTTAAGAAATCTGATTTGCAAAAGCCAGATAAACAGCATACTGCTTGGAAATCAGACCTGATGGTTCACATCTGTAATCCCAGCATTCACAGAGGTTGAGGCAGGAAAAACAACGGAAAATTTTTTTTAAGATCAGTCTGGTGGTCTAGAGAGAGAGAGAGAGAGAGAGAGAGAGAGAGAGAGACATACACACAGCTGCTCAGGGACAAAGAATATGGTAATTTTGTACTTATTTTATAATAAATGCTTCATTTTATCAATCCAGATTTTATTTAAATAAGCCTCAGTATGCTAGGAATCTACTCCAAAATTCCACATCAAAAGTCAAAAAAAAAAAAAAAAAAAACAGCTGGTGTGGTGGTGCATACCTTTAGTCCCAGCACTCTGGAAGCAGAGGCAGACAGATCTCTGTAAATCTAGTCTGGTGTACATAGTGAGTTCCAGGCTATCTAGGGGTACCTGGTGAGATCCTATCTCAGAAAAAAGCAGCATGTTCGCAAGTACTTAAAATATAAATTTTGATAATTTTCTTAGAGAATTGCTACTGTTAAATGAAAACAGCTTAATTTTATAACGGTAAATTTGAGCATTTACTAATTTTGTTATTTTATTATTAAGATAATACAAACGAGTTTATTACATTTATTGTGTGTGTGTGCGTGTATATGCGCACACACGCATGGTGAACATATGATGGGCACAGAACAACCTGTAGGAGCCGGTTCTCTCCTCCCACCTTATGTGTTCTAGGGTCAAACTCAAGGGCCCAAGCTTAACATAAGCACATTTGTCCACTGAGCCATCGGTTTGAGTAATTGCTAGTCATATCTATAATCCTATGTCTACTACTCTATAGACAAAAGGAAATTTAATTTACATTTAGCTGACATAAATACAGAGCTTAGGAGTATTTAATTTCTCACAATTATACCAATTCAGTGAGTATCTGTGTACTTGTCAATTATACAAACATCTGTCCAGTGAATCAGTAATGGTGATATAATGTAAAGTTGCTACATAAAGTCTCATGAGCACATACTTGACTATCAGTATAATAGTCATAGAAACCTACCAGATTAGCCATATTTGGATGCAGATCTGAAAGTGCAGTGAAGTTCTTCAATGCCAAGGAGCTTGCCATGCTTTAAATCTGTGTTTTAGAAAATATAATTTGTATGTATACATTAAATATTGAAAACAAATTGTTAAAAAGGTGGTGGTGGCACACCCCTTTATCCCAGCACTCAGGAGGCAGAGATAGGCAGATCTCTGAGAGTTGAGGCCAGTCTCATCTACAGAGTATGTTCCAGGACAGTCAGGGCTACACAGAGAAACCCTGTCTTGAAAAACAAAAACAATAAACAAAACAAAAATTAAAAATCCAAAAGTTAAAATTAGCTAAGGAAGCACTAGATATCCCCTGGCAAATTTTTATAAAGGTGAAATGTAACTAATTCAGATTTAACCTGTAGAAAATATGTCCAAGGGCTGGTGATACGGCTCATTGGATAAAGCACCATACAAGCTGACAACTGAGTTACATCTCTGGAACCCATGTAAAAAAGCCAGAAGTGGGGGCTGGAGAGATGGCTCAGAGGTTAAGAGCAGTAACTGTTCTTCCAGAGGTCCTAAGTTCAATTCCCAGCAACCACATGGTGGCTCACAACCATCTATAATGACATCTGGTGCCCTCTTCTGGTGTGAAGGCATACATGCAGGCAGGGCACTGTATACATAATAAATAAATCTTAAAAAAAAAAAAAAAAAAAAAAGCCAGAAGTGGGGTTCCCATCTGTAGTCCCAACAGTCCTGTGGTCAGATGGGAGCTCAAGACAGGAAAACCACCTAAAAGCTTCCAGACTGCCCTTGAGTACTTAGATAGGCAGAAACAAGAGAGCTCCTACTTCAACGAGGTAGGAGAGAACTCACTCTCAAAAGCTGTCCTCTGACCTTCACATATGCACCCCATTCACACACGCGCGCACGCGCGCTCGCGCACACACACACACACACACACACACACACACGATGATGACAACGACAACAGGGCCTTTGAATGGCTTGTCCGGTAGAGGGACTTGCTCCCCAGCCTAAGAACCTGAGTTCTAGCCTCAGAACCCCATATGGTGGAAGGAGAAAGCCACTTACAGTGCAATGGGTTGTCCTCTGACCTCAGCACCTCTACTATGGAGACCACACCCCACCTCACTACACACAGAAAAATTAAATGTCACCTTGAATTTATAAAAAGAAAAGGAAATACGTTCAAGCTCTGTATGGTGGCTCTTATCTTTAACCCCACCCCTTGGAAGCCTGGAATAGGAAGATGACCATGAATTTCAGACCCATTGGGCTACACATGAAGTCCAGGCCAGCCTGTGAAAGGCAAAGTGAGAACCTGTCTCAAAAACAAACAAAGCAACAACAAAAAGCCAGGCATGGACAGTGGAGAGATGATGAATCAGCAGTTAAGAGCACTTGCTGCTCAAGCAGAGGTCCTGGCTTACAAACACCTATTACTCCAGGTCTAGAGGATATGACACCCTCTTCTGACCTTGACAGGCACCACAAATGCACTATGCATACACATACACACACACAGCCAAACACTCATCCATATAAAATAAAAAGAGATTTAAAAATCTAAGGCGGGGTGGGACTAGAGAGATGGCTCAGCAGTTGAGAACACTGGCTGCTCTTCCAGAGGACCCAAGTTTGGTTCTATCACCCACATGATCACTAATAACCATCAAAAACTTCAGGTCCAGAGGTCAGATGCCTTCTTCTGGCCTCTACAGGCACTGCACACAGGTGATGCACAGACCCACAAGTAGGCAAAACACCCATACACATAAAATAAAAATAAATCTTAAAAACAAAACAAAAAAGCTGGGCATGGTGGCACACACTTGTAAAGTAGAAAGGGAGCCTCCTGACTCCAAAGTAGCTGGATGGCAGCTAAGAGCACTTGTTCAAAAGAGCAAAATGACAAACCCACATGACCACTTACAACCATCTAGAACTCCAGTTGCAGGGGATCCAATGCCCTCTTCTGGGTTGTACAAGCACCAGGCACATAATTAATGCACAGACATGCAAGCATGCAAAACACCCATACACATAAAAATATTTTAAGTATATTTTTTGTAAGTGTCCTAGTGTAGTAGTTTGAATGAGAATGGCTCCCATAGGCTCATATACTTGAATATTTGGTTCCCAGTTGGTGGACTGTTTAGGAAGGATTAGGAGGTGTGGCCTTGTTGGAGGAGGTGTGTCACTGGTAGAGGGCTTTGAGGTTTCAAAAGCTCACACTAGGCTCAATTTCAGTCTCTCTTTGGCTCAACCCTCCCCTTCTCTCTCCTCCAACTTGTGGGTCAGAACAAGCCCTCAGCTATTGTTCCAGGGCCTGCCTGCTGCTGCTGCCATGATTCCTATCATGATGGAAATAGACTAACTCTGTGAGCAAACCCCCCATTTAAATACTTTCTTTTAGAAGTTTTCTTGGTCATGATGTCTCTCCACAGCAATAGAACAGTAATTAAGACATCTAGCTAAGTTTCAATTTATCACTCACTAAAACTTTGCAAAATTTAGCAATTTTTAGTGCCATATAAACTTAGAATTTCAGGTGAATGATGAGTCAATAGCCCATCTGAAAAATTTAAATATTTATTAACATCAGACCTTCCTTAAAAAGAAAACTACAAGCTAGAGAGTTGGCTCACAGTTAAGAGCATCTGTTGCCCTTGCAGAGGACCTGGATTTGATTCCCAGCACCCACTATCGGTAACTCCATTTCCATTCGATTCAGCGCCCTCTTATTACTTCAGTGGTTATCAGGCACACACATATGGTGCACACACATACATCCAGTAAAATACTCCTATATGTAAAAGAATAAAATAAAATTAATTTTATTTAAAAAAATACAGAAAAACTCTAAACACCTCAACTCTGACAGTTATTTACACTTTTGAGGAAGGTCATTTTAAACACATTTCTAGATGCATTTAGTTGCTAAGTTCCAGAGACTGAGGTGGCATCACATATATTTTCATGTGTCTGTCTGTCTGTCTGTCTGTCTCTCTCTCTCTCTCTCTCTTTTTCGAGACAGGGTTTCTCTATGTAACAGCTTTGGCTGTCCTGGAACTCATTCTATAGACCAGGCTGGCCTTGAACTCACAGAGATCCGCCTGGCTCTGCCTCCCAAGTGCTGGGATTAATGGCGTGAGCCACCACTGCCTGGCTTATGTGTGTGTCTTTATCTTTTTTTTTAGCCAGGGACTTCCTTCGCTGCCCTGGCTAGCCTCAAACTCCTGAGTACAAGTGATCCTCCCATCTCAGCTTCCTATGTCCTGTGACTACAAGTGTGTACCATCTCCCCTGACTGTACCTCAGTGCTACCACTACACAGAAAGCACCAATAAAAAACAAACAAATAAATGGGGCTGGAGAGGTGGCTCAGAGGTTAAGAACACTGACTGCTCTTCCAGAGGTCCTGAGTTCAATCCCCAGCAACCACATGGTCGGTCACAACCATCTATAATGAGATCTGGTGCCCTCTTCTGGTGTGCAGACATACATACAAACAGAACACTGTATACATAATAAATAAATAAATCTTAAAACCAAAACCAAAACCAAATAAATGGCTGTTTGTGCCTCCTATCATCATTACAAAAGTTTATGGGTGTTTTTTTTCTTTTTTGGTGTGTGTGTGTGTGTGTGTGTGTGTGTGTGTGTGTGTGTGTGTTTGTAGTGCATGCATGTGTGTGATGTGCTTACAGGTACACATGCCAGCACACGCCCTTGCAGAGGCCAGGGACTGACTAGAGTGTCTTCCTCTATTACTCTCCACCTTTTTTGAGGTGGGGTCTCTCACTCAATCTGGAGCTCACTGATGGCCAGACTACCAGGCTAGCAGCCCCTAAGATCCTCTTGTCTCCATCTACCAGTGCTGGAATGCTAGGCATGCGACCTAGCCTCCCTTTTCACCTGCGTGCTAGGATCTGAACTCAGGTCCTCAGGCTGGTGCAGCAAGCACTTTACCCACTGAGCATCTCCCCAGCCCAAAGGTTTATATTTTAGTAAAAATTGAACAATTCAACCAAACTGATCAACTTGATTTCACTTTTTTGTTTTGCTTTGAGATTATTCACGTTAAAAAACAGAGCCTCTGTGGTAGTTTAACACACAGTTGATCCCTAGTGTGGAGTCTTGCTGGAGAAGTACATCACTAGGGTGGAATTTTATACTCTCACCCTTCTTCCTATTCTCTCATTATCTACATACGTGCCTACCTATCTATCTAGCTACCTACCTATCTACCAACCTACCTACCTACCTACCTACCAATCCACCTACCCACCCACCCACCCACCTGTCCGTCTGTCTGTCTATATCTCTCCCTTCCTCTCTCCCTTCCCCCTTTCTCCCTTCCCTTTCCCTCCCCCTCTCTGCTTCCTGTGTGTGGATGTTGGAAATGTTCCTGCTCCTACTGCCTACCATGCCTTCTTCGTCTTGTTTATCTCTCTGTAACCATAAGCCAAAATAAACTTTCTTCAAGTCTCATTTTGGCATGATATTATACCACGGCAACAGAACAGTAACAATACAGAATCTTTAACTCTATGAATGTCCTCATGCCCAGGCTTTGTTCAGTACCAGGAAGCATCCCTGACACCTGTAAGGATTTTGTATTTCAGGCGCTTGTAGACTTAGTAAAAACTGATTTTGCATCCCAGCCCCACTATTTTGTGGTCATGTATTATGACACTACTTATTTCCTCACATTAAAATGTGACTACTATCTACCTTGCAGTAAGAATTAGAAACTGTGCACAATGTGCCTGGATGTTCACAGGCTCTCAAGAAACGACATCAGTTCTTTTCAATAATATCCAATGTAGCAGGTTTTTGCAGCCCAGGCCTTCCTGTCCCAGAAGATACAATTGGAGATTAGAAGTGTTAAATTTCTTACATTTCTGACTGGTCTTATCTAATTTATAATGCAATTTCACTTTCTGAAATTCTTGCCAAGCACATTCATTTATCCATTCATCCATTCAGCAGCTATTACATTTTTTCTGGTTGAGTTGTGCACACACTGTGATGAGCATGTGAAACTCAGAGAACAACTTGTAGGAGCTG